TCAAAATTCCTCACTTTCAGAAGCTTCTTCCAACTCCCAGTAAAATTACTAGAATTGTTAAGTTACAGAAAGTCTATTTTAAGTAAATATATGTGACCATGTAGTTGATAGCAAGCCACCATCATTATACAACACATCAATGCAAATCAATAATTCTCGCACCAGGCAACCACAAACAATAATTGCTCATTTCTGAATGATAATAACAGAATTGCCAAGCGCAAATATATATTGCTTCAGATACCGTGAGAAATCAATTGGTAAGCCAGTGATTTCCACCAATTTGATGAGTAGTCTTTTCCAAGTCCATGAAATGGAAGCTTGTCAAAATGAGCATCAAGAATTCTTTTTGCCTGTAAATTTAGAGAAACAAAATATCAGCAGAAGAAGCACCTGCATAAGAATTTAGCAGGGAGAAAAGAATGAAATCTTGAAGCCTTAGAGAAAAAAAATCAAAAGATTCATAGGAGACTTTAAATCCATTGCCTATGCCTTATCCTTGCAGCTAATAATTTTCCTTACACGTCAGAAACTTTAAACTCCTCGACCCCCACCTACCCAAAGAACAGGTAAGTAAGGTAGTTTTATTTCTTCTTCCCCCTCTAAAAAATCTACTGAAAGCATGCAGCATTTGGTTTTTGATCAAAAGAGATATCAAAGTTTCCTTAAATACCCTGCTTTTGAGTTTTGACGTACCAATTATATGTACATCAATAAATGCAAATATACATATATGCATGCATGTATGAGTATATTCAGTAACAACTGTACATAATCTATAATGGAGAATGACCAATAATCATGAGTTATTTGCAATTATAATACTTACCCGAGATCCACGAAGAACATCTACAGGCATGTTGAGGCCCCAGTTACCCTTACATGATTGAATGCAAGACATTAAAAGAAATGATTCCTTAGACATGTCACGCTCCCTCTTCAAAACCATGCAGTTATCACAATTTCCTGAAAGTGCAATGCATATTTAATCATGCTCAAAATTGGATATAACAATAAGTAATTTTGAAAATAAAAGAAGGTGTTGTTATTGAGAGCCAAATAAGGACAAGTCGTATTAGAGGATGTATTCAAGAAAGAACCAAACCACATTTCTCAGCTGAAAATTTTTCCCCAAAATAATCAAGCAAGAATTTTCTTCTGCATGTTGTTGATGAGCAATAGCGTTGTGCAGCCATCAATGACTCCATAACAGCCCTTCTTTGATTTTCCTGGAGAATGGCAGCAGGAAAGAAATGCAGAGGATAGCAAATTTCAAATATTTCATCATTGAAGAAATTTAGTAGAGTGGGTGAATCATCAGCACCATTTTAACAAGCCGAAGGAAAAGCTTGACTAGTTTCATGAAAGAAGAAACAAAGGTGCGTACTGTTCTTAATCCTCCACAATAGAAGTCAGCTTTTGCAAAGTCACTTCTTGTATAATATAGCCAACAGACAGAAGGTATACCATCTCTCCCACATCGCCCACTTTCCTGATAATAAGATTCGATACTCTTTGGACAACCATAATGTATCACTTGCCTTATGTTCGGCTTATCAATACCCATGCCAAAGGCAATAGTTGCAACCATGACCATCAGTTCATCTCTTACAAACAATCTGAATAAGAAATTAAAGAATCATTTAATAATAAGGAAATAAGGTGATGATTCAAGGAGAAAAGGGAGAGAACAATGTACACAAGTTGATTTAATCAGATGTAGGGAAACCAAAACCACTACACTCCTAAAAAACATGAGGTGAAAACCTGTGGGACTCCTCACGAGCTTTGCTGCTCATTTGACCATGATATATTCCAGTCTTAATTCCTGCTGCTTGCAGTGACTTGTCAATCTTGAGAATATATTACAAAGACAAAATATTGTATGGAATTTAGTAAAAATATTCATAACAGATGAAAATAAAAAATAAAAAAGCATCCAGAGCTTGGAATGGGAAGAAAAATCGTCAGATAAAATTTGTCAACATCTTCACATGATGATAATCAAAATTAAGACAAGAAAGCAATCTGTAAAAGTTACTTTGTTTGGAAAGGAACTTTTTAACTTCCTAATGTTGAAACAACTTCTCTTCTGCTTCAAATGAAAAATGATGAGTACATAATATAGCATTACAAGGAGGTTACACTAATCTAATCTATGTGATGCAGGAACATATCAGGTATCATTAATATCTCTTACTAAATCCTTTTCCTATCTCAATTTACTCTTCTTGTTATAGCACTAGCACAAATCAGTAATAACCATATTCTCACAGCCAAATACATGACACCAAAGCTTAGGTGCGCTACTATGAGTTTTAAACAGTCCTCAAAAGCCCTCAAACAGATAGCTCCTAACCCCTTTGTTGTTACATGAAATGAAATAAAATCTTTTGTGGTTAGACAAATGTGAAACAAAAAGTAAAGGTAGTTTAAGAGCTTCCTCTATTATAATTACAGATGTGGTTGGTTTTTTCCTGTATTGAAAAGGGTGGTGAAGCTTAATTCGTTTGACGATTGCAATTCCCTTTTTCAAACAAAGAAGCGAATAATAAATGGCATACAATTGTTAGTGATAAAAACAGGAACAAAAAGAACCTGCTCAACGTCTTTTATTGTTGTGCAGTAAATAATAGTTGACCCGGGCTTCCTTGCAAATTTTGATATTTCTTGCACGAGCTCATCCACAAATAGAGGACTACGACTGAAATGTTTGACACCGTAGAAGAGATTTTTACGATCAAATGAGCCAATAGCAACATAAGGATCATTCATCTTCAGAGAATTGATGATGTCAATTCTGACCCTGGCATTATGCATGCAGAATAGAAAGCATTAAACCTCCTTTTCCGAAAACATTGTAAAGCAAATAAACAAATAGAAAAAACATAGTAGATAACATCAAATAATTCAGAGCCCTGTATAACTAATGCAACAAAACAATTATATAAGAACTAATGCTTCTATCTATCCAAGAACATTTTTTGGAGTACAAATACAAAATTTTTAATTGCTACACGAGGACGAGGTGGGGGGTTGGATTTCAAGTCTAGACTGAAAGAATGACTTTCTCTAGAGATGAGTTATAGATGTACAGTTGAAAGTAAAGTATGTCATAAAGATAAAGTAATAAGTAAGACTCAGACCAATTTATAGAAATCTAAGGTTTGCATAAATCCGTTACTGAATGTCAGTTGGCAAGCACAAAATTTGTCTTTCTCCCAACACATCCTTCCACTAAGCCAGGCACAGAGAAAGGAAAGGATGGACAATGTATGATCATCTCAGTTCACAAAAATATGTGGGGTACATACTTTTCAGTGGCGGTTGCAGTTAATCCAACAAATGGAACATCCAAGAGAATATCACGTAACTTGTCTAACTGCTTGTATTCCACCCTGAGAAACCAAAACAAAGAAGAGAATTCCTCAATACTAGTAAACAAATGAAAGCGATTACTAATAAAGAAAAAAAGTTGAGGAGTAAACCAGCATAATTGGTCAAAATAAAAGATATTTGGCCAAATATAACTCAAAAAAGAAGTAGGGAAATATAGGAGGAAAAAAAACTAAAGCATTAAGGACAGGACCTGAAATCATGGCCCCACTCTGAAATGCAATGAGCTTCGTCAACAGCAAAAAGACAAATTCCTGCCTCTAGCAATTTTGACCAGAAGCTATGGAAAAGAAAAGAAGAGAGCATTTCCATCCTAAGTTGATTGTAAAACATAAAAGCATTTAAGAAATTCAAGATGGGGAAAAGAAAGAATAACCTGAGAGGAGTGGAGCAAGCCTTTTCAGGAGTCATGAACAATAAATGAAAATGGCCAGTCTCAGCTTTGGTCTGGACAGAACCATCAGTCTGAGCACTTCCAAGAAACTCAGCTCTGATTCCACGTTGTTTCAAACTCATCACCTAATTTTTTATATATATAAATATATTTAAAAAATAAATAAATAAATGAGAACATATCATTCCTAAATTAAATTGACATGCATTGATACATAAAACTATAGAAGAAATAAGTTCAGTTAAATAAAAAAGAAATTAAATAGGTACCTGATCTTGCATCAAAGAAATAAGAGGGCTTACGACTACGGCAGTCTTTTCAAGAACCAAAGGAGGAACCTGGTAGCTGTAGTTTAGCCACACATACCAAAATAAATAAATAAATAAAAATCTGTTTGTGAAAAAGCAAAAAGGTTGGGAACTATAATAATGTATGTTGGTATTGGTATGGTACCATAAAGACTTTCCGCTGCCAGTGGCCATGACCGCCAAACAGTCCCTCTTGTCCAGAATTTGGTCGATCACCTCCTTCTGGTAAGGCCTGAAATTCGAATAGCCAAAGTATTGCTGTACACGCAAAACAAACAAAACCCAATTAATTAATTAATCAATCAAGTAGCATAATGTTAACAATAATTAAACAAGATTATTTTTTTGCTAATCAATTGTGACTTATTGTAACAAACAACCAAGAAAACCACGAATACGAACTCCAGAAAAAAAAAAAAAAAAAAAAAAAAAAAACATGTAAACTGAAATAGAAATGTGATGAGGGTGAGGGTGAGGGTTTGGGCTTGGGTTTAGGATTTTAATTAAAATAATATATAAAGAAGAAGAAGAAGATGAGGTAAAGTACCTTGAGTGTGGACAGCATTGCTTGCCGTCCGTACTGTGTGTCTGCTTCTTTTGGTGTCTGGCTAATCAAATCAAAGCGAAACCAATAAATCGCATTTGCTAGTGGCAGTGGTAAACTGGTGACGGAATGAGTGCGAAAAACCCACAATCTTTCCCGCTCTTTCCTATCTTGCCACTTGGGTTGGGTCTGTGCCATTTCGCTTTTATCCTCATGGGCTTCAGCCTGTTGTTTCTTTTCTAGCCTTTTGAGTTGGATTAAGTTGGGCCTATTTGCTTTTAACCTCGAGCGCTTCAGCCAATTCTTTCTTTTCTTCCCTTTTAGATTGGGTTGGATTGGGCCTCATTGCATTTAACCTCTAGGCTTCAACCCGCTGGACTTTTCTGTTGGGCCTCATTGTTTTTAACCACCTAGGCTTCAACCTGCTCCTACTTTCTGACCTTTTAGGTTGGTTTGGGTTAGGCCTATTTGCTTTTAACCTATGGGCTTAGCAGGCTCTTTCTTTTCTTACCTTTCTGGGTTAGGTTGGGCCTCTTTACTTTTAACCTCGCGGGCTTCATATTCTGCTCTCTCTTTTCTGGCCTTTTCGGTTGGCCTCATTGGCTTTACTCTCCTAGGCTTCAGCCTGCTCTCACTTTTCTGGCCTTTTAGGTTGGGTTGGGATCTTTGCTTTTAACCTCATGGGCTTTCGTCTACTCTTTCTTTTCTGGCCTTTTGGGTCGAGTTGGGTAGGGAACAATAAAGCCCACCCTTTCTTTTCTTGCCTTTTGGGTGGGGTTGGGCCTCTTTGCTTTCAATCTCATGAGCTTCAGCCTGCTCTTTCTTTTCTTCCCCTTTTGCTTGGGTTGGGGCCTCTTTGCTTATCACCTCATGGGCTTTAACGTGCTCTTTCTTTTCTGTCCTTTTGGGTTGTGTTGGGTGGGTCTCTTTGCTTTTAACCTCATGGGCTGCCAGCTCTTTCTTTTGTGGCCTTTTGGGATGAGCCTCTTACTTTTAACCTCGCTAGCTTCAGCCCGCTCTTTCTTTTCTTGCCTTATGGGTTGGGTTGGGCCACTTTGCTTTTAACCTTGCAGACTTGAGCCCGCTCTTTCTTTCTTGCCTTTTGGGTTGCGCAATAACCTCCTGGGCTTTAGCCTACTCTTACTTTTCTGGCCTTTTAGGTTGGATTGGGCCTCTTTGCTTTTAAACTCGCAGGCTTCGACCCGTTCTTTTTTTTTTTCTTTTTTTTTGCCTTTTGGGTTGGGTTGGTTTGTGTTCTTTTTTTCTTGCCTTTTGGGTTGGATTGGTTTTTTGTCTTTTTGGGGCCTCAACCCGTTCTTTCTTTTCTTGACTTTTGAGTTGGCTTGGGTTGTGTCACTTTGCTTTTAGCCTCATAGCTCCAGCCTACAATCTTCGATATTTTTCGAGAAGGAACAACTGCATTTGAGCTGAATGTCTTGCAGACGCAGCCATAGCCATAGGTTAAACGGAAAAGCAGGCAGGCAAGCAAATAAATATACATGTACTTGCTCACATGGTATTATCACACGAAACAAAACTGTTTCATGTTTCCAACCATGTTCATTTAACCTTAAAAATGAAAAGATATTATCTTCTACTCAAGAAGCTAGCGTGATTTAAGAAAAAGCATTGATGATAACATCTACTGATTATTTTCCCTTTAAAACCCGTAATTCAAAGCAAGTCTTTATGGTTTGGTTTTGTTCCAAGTACAGGACATCTCTTCTTAGTTGTGATCCTGTATTTCAGCTGATGAACTTCTCTCTTCTGTGTCCCAGTAAAAATCAAGGCAATTGTTATTTGTCCTAACTAATACACTGGACATTCAAGAAATACATATGGTCCAACTTCCTTCTTTTAACCAAGTTTCTCTTGATATATGTAGCATATCTACGAAAACAGCAATCTGTATCCCTCTGCCTCTTGAACCATCTCCTCCATGCTTCTGTCAGTCCTTTCCTTGTCTAAATCCAGCTTCTGCTTTAATTCCTTTTCCTTCTCGTCTATCTAAATGACATGGAAAGAATCATTTGTTACACTCCAATTGATGGAGCATAAACATCAGGAAGCAAGCACAAACAGTGAAGGATAGACATTCTAAGACTTACTGCATCATAGATCTCATCATTCTTCTCAAAGTCACCAACTTTCCTTGGGATTATGTGAATATGAACATGGGGAACAGTCTGTCCTGCCTGCGCCCCATCCTAAAACACCAATAAACTTCAAGTGATTAGTTTTCAAACACCCAGAGCATGCATTGATTACCTAGTGGCTCTGATAACAAGCAAGAACCCTCATACTAAGAACATATGAGTTTACGAGGCACTATCTTACTTGGATGGTAAATGTGAGTGATGTTGCTCTGTGGAAACTCTCAAGCTGACTGCCAATTTTCTTTGCTGTGAGCCATAAATCACTGGTCTCGTCAGCAGTTAGATCAACAAAGCGCTTTGCTTCACGCCTTGGGCAGACAAGCACATGTACAAAAAGTCAAGCCAACAAAATTGAACACTCAACTAGGTGTACCATTCAGAATATATTGAATCAAATGATGCATAAATCAAGAAACGCGATCAACATTCTAAGGGCATATATTACCATGCATGAAATGACTTCAGCAGGTCAGATACCATCAGCTATGTTATGTTGCTGTACAATGTCTTTCTATAAATGCTAAATGCATATGCAAATTGTAAGTGCTTCAATCTTCTGGGCCTAATGCCGTGCACTCCAGTCAAGATGGTCAGTCAAACTCTATTATTTTTTTTAGGTTGTGTGCATCAAATCCAATTCTTAAATACTTAAAAGGATCGCATTAGCACCGAAGCCAGGCCAACGTAAATGGTATATTGAAACCTAAATTAAATTAAGTTGGAGAATGAATGTGCGGATTGTGCTCTCTCTCTCTCTTTTTCTTTTTTCTTTTTTGTCCCTCGTGATCCTACTGGCCATTTGGACATGGTCAATTTGCCAGTAATACTCAGAATCGTTTTCCAACTATTCAAGCTTTTTGACTTGTACTACGGAGCATAATGGCATATCTCTGTCCACAAAATCATCGATGCACAACACAAATAACAACATATTGCATTAATTCAGCACTACTTATTTCTCAAACAGTTCACCCAGGAGAATTTCAATGAATCTCAATAAATCATTCAAACTTTTGATCGAAAAGGATATGACCTGCAAAGGAAAAGTGACATGAGTCAATACGAGAAGATAGTTAGGTAGGGCAAGGATACATAAAAGCAAAATAAATCAAATAGAGCATACGAAATGTGCACATTTGATGGATCTCTATATGCTTGTTTGCTTATTTGGTGATCTTTAACTGCTTTCGTCTTCCTTGTTCAGTTGGATGATTAATAACACAATTTCTAGTTATGCAAATCAGCTCAACTTGTCATTGACCGAAAGAGAAAAAAATCCACTGCAGTTTGTGAATACAGATATAAAATGATTCTGCACCAAATACAATTCGAGAAAAAATTGAAGGAAAGCAGCGCACAAGAGAACATGTTGCCTTTAACAATAATCACAAACAGATGATCAGTTTCTGGTGATGGCAATTTTTCATTTTCCTTGAATCCAGACAACAATTTGATGTGGATTTTATGTAAAACCAACACAGATATAAATTGAACAGTTAGCCCTTTCCTTTCCAAAATTAAAACTTTATCAATCAAATGCAATGAAAAGTAAAAAATGAACTAAACTAAGTAAAAATAATAGAAGACTGGGAGCTTCTACAGAGTTCACTTATTCACTTTCCAAAGAAAAATTGAGTTCATAGTAGATAGATATAACAAAATTCACAAAACTCCTCCCTGCAGGTTAAATTCCTAATTCCATACATTCTCAGTTCTCAACCAAAAGCAACTAGAATCACTCTAAATAGTTTGACTTTACATGAAAACAATGCAACATAAATTAATCTCCAAAAGAAATTTTTATTGCAATCTTAATCTTAATAAAAGCTAAGCCACTAGAAACTACAGAAATGCGATACCTAATAAATCCTACTACAAAATGCAATTGGCACATAACCCAAGACAATCAAAAATCGATTAACACATGGGAGGAAACAAACCTTTTTAAAAATTTACCAACTTCATGGTTTAATCACCCCAATTTCCAAATATTTGATAACTAAAAATACCAAAATTTCCAAAGATTAGTGATTGACTCCTTAATCAACACTAATCAAAGCTAAATTCAGTTTAAAAAGTGGCAATTTCAAACACAGACATAAAAGAGAGACGAGAACATGCTATTCAAACGCAGATTTTGCATTATAAGCTCGATTCGAAACTAGTTCGAGTTATAATACTCCAATCGTCCCAAATAGTGAAAATTTTGCGTAATATATGTACATGTACAGATAATTAACACACTCATTACTGCAATTAAACCACAGAGAGAAAAGAAAGTAAACAATTAGTTTAGTTATCAACTAAACTCACTCAGGAGCGCAATTTTGGCTCGCTAATAAACACACACACACTACAATATTTTAAATATTAGAACTTTATGAAACATTATAGATCGTATTTGTTTCAAATTATCAGTTTTTAAAGATTTCGTTAATCATAGCCAACTTATCAGCAAAGTAGAAAAAATAATTATCATAATCATAATACGGAAGGCCCTAAGGTGTATATAGAAGTACAAACCAGGAAGAACGGGACGGAGGTTGACCATAGCAAATGAAAGATTGGTGGAGTAGAAAACTTCTTTCTGATCTATTTTGTAAGGCCCGAACTGATAGTACTCAGTCGACATCTAATCAGGCATCATTTAGGATCATTATCATCATAATTCATAGATAAATAAATGGTAAGAAGAAGAGAACATGGGTTGTCTTCGTTTACCTTGATGGTGTTGATGGTGGTGGAAAGGGATCGGAATCCTTTCGAGGAATAATGATGATGAGGAGGAGGACGACGATGACGAAGAAGAAGAAGGCAGCTGCCAAAGCTAATGCTCTGAGCGAAAGTGAGAGAGGGCAGCAGCACCTGCACCCGTTTGACCATTATTTTTCGGTTTAAATAAATAAATCACTCCTCTTTCTTGAGAGATGCTAAAAACCAAGTGACCAAAGTGGCCTTGGTCGGATTTGGTAGCAAATTAGAAAGACGTTGCGGGTTCGAATTGGAAGATTAAGTCACTCAACCTTCTCATGCCCCAGGGCTTTGGTGGCCATGTTAGTCCTTCAACTTTTTCCTAGTGGTCATTTTAGTCCTTCTTATGATTTAGTACCATGTATTCCTCCTTCTTCTTCTTCTTCTTCTTTTTAAATAGACTAACGGTGTATTCATGTTTTGGTCTTGCAATAACCATGGTATGATATTATGAAACTTAAAATCTTTTGAATTTTTTGTAATTATTTCTATATAGGCTATATGAGACTCAAATGGCTTATATAAAAGTTGATTAAGGAAAATTTTAGCTTTGACATATCAAAAATATTTTTATTGTTGTTTTTTTTAAAAAAAACAAAGAATACTTTTTTTTTTTTTTGAACAAATACGATACTTTGAAATATCATATATGAAACGTGAAAAGATACAAAAAGAGAAAAACCGACGTATTCCAATGTATTGAGTCACATGAACTACAATATGTAGTGTATCCAAATTGCGATGTATGAACATAAGCATAAGTGTAATTGCCTTTCATGTACACATGCATGAGTTTAATAGCTTGAAAATGATCATATATCCACTAATAAAATGAGATTGCAATCAACAAGCTTGATTAAAAAAAAAAAACATAAAGTTCCATCTTCGGTTAATTTATTTATAATAAGCTTAAGTTGAGCTGAATCCTCTTTTCAAACCGATTCTAAACAAGAGAATCCAAAAGTAAATAAAATATAGATAGACATGGAACCCAATTGGAAAGATATGAAGTTTAAGAGCCATATCGAAATATAGCAGTAGTTTGAGGGACAGATAAAAGGGATAGTAGATAGATAAGCCAGATAAGGTTGGCTGTTTCTGGCTTCTTTTTCCATTCGCCCACCCTGTTTCTTCCGATAGTTTTGCTTCCAAAGCACCACAACTGCGGTTCCAGAAGAGCAGCCAAGAAGGAAAAGGAGAAGGAGAAGGAGAAGAAAGAAAATGTTAAGTCTAGCAGTGGGATCATCAGTTTCTGCAATGGCCAAGGTTTCAATGCATAATACTATTAATTATGCAAATGGTAGTGGCAAATCCACAGCCACGCAGCTTGGCTTCATCAAGGGATCACAACCACCACCCTCTCTCCTTTCCAGTGCTACTACCAATATTTCCACCTCCTTTAAGACTGCCGTTGCTGCTATTGATTCCAGCGATCTCACTTCCTCTCCCACTCCTGCCAAGGTTCTATCATTTATTTGTCTCTCTCTCTTCTACCCTTGCTTGCTTCACTACTGCTCTACATGTTTAATTAAGATGCCAATTATTGACCTGGAAAAATAGAATGTCTTGTGATGCATTTTTGTTTACAATGCCAATTGATCAATACTGTCAAAACTCTTACTTTATCATAATTTTCCGACAAATTACAAACTTCCATGTTACTGTCTCATCCAATAAATCTGGCATGTGTGAATGGCAACACAGCTAGGAATTTCCTAGTTCCTCCTTCAAAGAAAGAACCCCAATTTGGATCCCTTTTTGACACGAAGCAGTCCCAAAACTAACCCATTTTTGTTTGTTTGTTTGTTCTTACATTACAGCAAGAAGCCAAAAAGTACTCCTTTGTTGTTGCCAATGCAAAATTCATGCTGGATGAAGAGGAGCACTTCAAGGAGCTCTTGTTTGAGCGCCTTCGTAACTATGGAGAGCGTAATAAGGAGCAGGACTTTTGGCTTGTTGTTGAGCCCAAGTTCTTGGACAAATTCCCTAACATCACCAAAAGATTGAAGAGACCCGCTGTTGCTTTAGTCTCAACTAATGACACATGGATCACGTAAGAACACTCTTCCACCCTTCTGTCGTTTAGACTACAAGTTTCTATAATTACTTGTTTCTTTGTGTGCTCCTTAGCTTATACTTAACATTTGATAACTGCGTTTTATAACTACCTACGGGAAGAGCCCTCACCAGAGATATTCTAAAACTTCAGAAGATAGATGAGAATGTTTAGGATTTGGACGGTTGCATGCTGTGGTTTATCATTTGGTGGACACAAGCCACGATCTTATTCGGTTTTCCAGTATTCCCAATCATATTCCCCCTTGCTGCCTTCTTGGTTGCAATACAAACTGTGGTGATTATTGAATGGCTTGTTTATTCTTATTATATGCAACTGTTGATAATTTATAATTTCACTTGCTTAATATGCTAACCACATGCTCACTTAATTTCGAAGTCTGCTGGCTAGCCTAGTGATTGAATAAGACTCATGAATCAAGGTCATAAAAACAGAGTTGTCTAGGCTTGTAAGCTGAGCTAGAGCATGCCTATCTTGCCTCTAACACTCCTTATCCTGGAAACAAGCTCCTTAAATTATTGGGATTTCCTTCTTTATTGCAATTTCGCAATTCACTTGCTTGTTAGTTTGGTGAGGTTCTAGGGGATGCTTACTGAAGAGCCTTGTTGCCTATCTGTTCATCATATATGCATTGTGTTACAGATCATCCTCATTGCTCTAGATAGATAAGATTCTTATGTGTGCTTGTCTGGTGTGTCCTTATCTCTCATGCTCCTCGCTGATGTTGCTCCTCATTGTATGGTTCGGCAGGTTCATGAAACTAAGGTTGGACCGTGTTCTATCTGATAGCTATGAAGCTGACACCCTAGAAGAAGCGTTAGCCTCCAATCCTACCACTATAGAGTTTGAGAAACCAGAAAACTGGGTGGCACCATATTCCAAGTATGAATACGGATGGTGGGAGGCCTTCTTGCCTGCTGGATCAAGAGAATCGAAAGTATAGAACGTTTTGCCCAGTTGATTTTCTTCTTTCATACCAACGAGGATTTTCTTTGTGTTTTAGTTGATAGCACCCTTGGCTGCTGGAATCTACATGTAACTTTATGGGTTAGTAAGATGGTTAAACTTGGTAAGATCCTTGCATGTTTGTTTGAAAGATTTTGTAACTTGATATCTAGAATTCAGCAAAGAAGTGTCTTTCAAATAGCACTGTCAGCAAATCCAATATGGTACAGTAACCCATGTAAATTTGAGGCTGTGCTTTTTCGCACTCGCCTTCAAATCTTCATGCAAGTCCAGACTCATATGTGAGAAAAAATAGCTCTGGGCAGGAGAAAAGGTGCGTAGCTTGTAGGCTAAGTCCATTACAATTTAATAATGCTTCAGTTGCAAAGCTTTAATTTTCCCCAACTCCATCACTACAAACCAGACATAGGCATTACATTGCTCCTTCCTTTTGAAGATGATAAGTCGTTTACTTTGTCTTTGTACCATGTACTCCCAAGGAATCTAAGCTAGCTTACAAGTGGTAAAACAGAGAAAAACAACTAACCACTGCGTACTTAAATATGCTTATTCTTAATGCTGCTTATGATCCTTCTCAGAGCCAAATACTGGGATCTTTTGAAGAACATTTTCATCCAAGACAGCTAACTGCTTCTTCACTTGAGACCACAACTTCTCAGCATAAATGTCCACAGCATGTTCATTTTTCTCATACAGCACTGGCACTGTCATTAGCATTACAAACACTACAAAAAGCCATGCAACACTGTATCAGATCTTAAACAATGGAAACAAAATACCAACGAGGAAGAGCCAATCATGCCATGGTTAGAAGAGATTAAACAGAAGCTCACATAAGTATAGCAAGGTCAGAAAACTGAACCAACTGCCAATAACAGAGAGAACCCACAAAACCACAATCACCTGCAAAATCAAATTGCACATTATAGATAGAATAGGTGCATTTTAATGTTCAGAAAATTTCAAAGCCTTTGAGTGAATGAAAAGATACCTTAAGAAACTTCTTCAAATCCTTCCCAGAAGCTACATCCTGGAAGGTTGTACATGCACGGTTAATGACACCCCTTAGCAAAAGAAGGAAACTCGCAAACAGTTCATCTGGCAGGGTAACCTCTGGGAGATTCGGGGGCGACCTGCATCGTCAAATGGAAAAAGGTTTGATAACTATACCCTTCCCTAAAATTACAGCAGAAATTCCCTGATACACGATCCTGGAAGTAATTTTCCTATTACAACTAAAATGTCAAGAGAAGAACAATCAATACATTACAAGGATGTGGCACTGTGTTGATGAAAATATAAGGGGTCGAAATAAGAGGAACTCACACATTGATGTAGGAGGCTACGTTGGACCACAGGAAGATCGTTGCCAATGATAGAACAAGAAAGTGGCAAACAAAAGTGAGCAAGTGATAACCTATGCACTCAAACAGAAACCATACGACTGTGACACCGGCAAAAATGCGTGTTGAGATCTGCGTGTTTCGCCACAGTATGATATTGGCATCTGAATTCAAAGTGACAAACACAATCAACTACTAACAAGGAGATGAGGAAACGAAAAAAGGATCTAAACACTGTTGATTCTTACGTTTGCCACCGCCAAGAACCAATTGAAGAGGCTTCTGGCGTCCAAAGAGGTGATTCTTATGGGCCGAATGCAGCATGATGTACTCATCAATCTCAGTTTCAGAAGATGATTCACATATCTCATTGTTATCATGTTTCTCAATCTCTTTGATCAATTTTGAATCAAACCCGTCCATTGGATCTACCATCGTAATGTTCTCCCTTGGGAGTTTAGTTTAGGAAGATGGACGGATGGTACTGGTTGTGTCTCTGCTTGTTTTCAACATGAAACTGAAATATTCAACATGGTGAGACAAAAGGGGCGCTAGACGACCCCCTGAATTCGCAACTAGGGAATGGCTTCGCTATTTTTATCATACCATGGCCATGCGCTGGCTTGCAATTCCCGAGCTTCTTTTACCATGTCAGCCTACCATAAATTGCTATGTACAGATATCCTTAGTTGGAAGATCATCTAATTTTTACAATCTTTCTTAATAATTAAACAAGGGGTAGGATATTTTTTATTTATCCAACATGATGTAATCACAATTTATTATGTAAGGAATAATAATGGGCACACAGTCCACTGAAGCAGGATGGATTACTATCATATATATTATTCAATCATAGGTAACAGACATTTATATATGTGTGTGTGTGTATAGCTTCTCTTGAAAGTTGAAACAGGAGGAAGCCAGTTCTCTCTGCATATGTAGGTTTGCTGATCACAACATCTTCATCAAGAGATCAACTCCACGTTCTGGCTCTATGACCAGCCTGAGAGCAGGCGAGTGGATGTATTTGGGTGAGAGGGAGAAAGAGAATTGGGAAAGAATGAGAGCTATCAGTATCTTGAGTTCAACAATGGCCAAGTTCTGTCCAAGACACACACGAGGCCCAACACCAAATGGCATGTACAGGTGTGGAAGCTTGCAAGCGCCTGTTATCCCTTTTGAAAATCTATCTGGATTGAATCTGTATGCATCGGGTCCCCATACTTCAGGATCAGTGTGCAATGTCAGCACCATGGTCCAAACATTCACACCCTTGGGAACAATGATGTCCCCAAATTTCATCTCCTTAAACGCCTCCCTTGACACCACTGCCACTGGTGGATAAAGTCGCAAAGATTCATGAATGACCATATTTAGCTGCATAGCAAAAGAAATTTTTTATATTTTTCATCATACCTTGAAGCTTATTTGCCTGGGCTTTGAAGTACATATCTGGAATGGGTGTTTTTCAAAACAATTAAAATGTTCTAGTATGATACCTGTTTCATCTTGCGAAGCATATCTGCGTCTGGAATGCGACCTGACCCGCAGACTTCAAGAACTTCTGCACGGACACGATCTTGCCACTCTTGATTTGCGGCCAACAGCATGAGGCACCATGTGGCAGAAACTGCTGTAGTCTCATACCCGGCCAAGTATATGTTCTTGCAGTTATCAACAATGAACCGGTCCATTGCTTCCTGTCCCAGGTCGCTGTTTTTGGCGCTCTCAAGGATCATTTGCAAGAGATCCTTCTCGTATGCAGCTTCCTTTCTCTCTTTGACTACTTCGAGTATCAAATTGCGGACCTCTTTCTCTAATGCCCATGCTTGTCTATTGTTCTTGGTGGGAATATATCTGTAACAAGCGATCACCAATCCATTGCTAATCTTGTTCAGAAAAATATATCAAAGCGAAAAGAACAGACGTAGGTCTGTGAGTTTCAAGAAACAGCTAATTAACCTCATGCCAGGAATTCCAGTGGATAGACTTTTCTTGGACATAGCCTCCTGGAGAGCTCTTAGTTTCACGAAAATTTCTGCTCCTTTGGAATAGTTGCTCCCAAAACAAGCTCGCGAAATAACATCTCCTGAGAAGCTTCGCATTCCCTCGTCGATTTTGATGTCTGCTATTCCACCCTCTTTCTCAATTCTGCTCTTCCATGAGTTCAGCAGCACAGTGGTGGATTCAGTTATCATGCTCGTCATTCTCTGTAAGAGCAAAAGCCATCACTCCATCTTTGCAAGAGGTATCAAATAAAACCAGATTTCTTGAGAGTAAGAAGATATATAGGTAAATGATGTTACCTTAACCTTGTCCATGTATAATTCAGGAGCAAGGATTTTCCTCTGATGAGCCCAAACATTCCCATTTGAAGTCAGAATGCCCTGACCAAGCAAAGCACCACGTTCTTTCTGCTGATATGAAGGCTTCCCAAATTCTAATGATGTGCATGTAGTAATCTCTCTCACAACATCAGGCTGGCTCACATATAATATTTGTGTGTTGCCCAACGAAAACACAAATACTGGACCTGTTCATCACAAATTACACAACATTAACATATCCATCTTCTTCATTTAAAATCAAAAGCTGATATATGGAAGGATAGCATGTATGTATGTAAGAATACGTACTTAAATCAAATATATAGTGTAGAAAAGTGTTTGGCATTTTTATGCAGTACCGTATCGCTTCCTCCATTGCTCAAAAAATGGAAAGAGGGCCGCAGCACAGTTGTGGAAAACTGGTGGTTCATTTGCAGAAGCCTTTACTGTTGTGGATTGAGAGTTCCTGATCTCGCATATGTTTCCAAGCAGCAGAGATGGACTTGGTCCCCTGACGCCTTGCTTCCTTAGCACAGAACGGAGCCTCTCTGGCTTTAGCACCAACCCAGTATACAAAAGCTCCAGCAATCCAAGAAAGGCTATCAGTACTGCAAATGAAATGAGCAACACAAGTTCCATACCAACAGACTTTCTTTCACCTTTTAAAAGATCTAGTCTAGTATCTTAACAGTAGGGCTAGCTCTTTCTCACTTTTGCTAACACAAGCAAAAAGATTACCACTAGTTATAAGACTTGAGTATGTTGGTTATCGCCTCTGAGCCACCTTATATACACTTCACATAACAGGGCAATTTGGTAATAAAGAGAAACAGAACATGTTAGATGTGGAACAGAAACGATATGGTATGACACTACAGTCAATTCACGAGGGAAAAAGAGCGTTGTCAAGCGTACCGGGTCTTAATTCAATGTAAAATGGATGTAATTAATGGAACAAATTCTAGAAAGTTTTTCAGTAATAATTTAAAAAAGAAAAGAAATTGACAGTCCTATGCAGGATATATATATATAAAAGAAATGGAAACGGTCAAGCAGGAGGAGACTTGTTGGTCTAAACAACGGATGAACCAGTTTAGACCTATACGGTAAACTGTTCACATTTTACATACATACAAAACTTAATTTTGGGAAACAAAAAACGGTGAATGTGTAATGGATTGGTGAAATGGGAAAACTACTTTCTTCTTCCTTTTTTTTTTTTTTTTGTTTTTTTCCCCTTTAAATTAGAGCTGCATAAATGGAGTCATGGTCCACCTTTGAACTCGTTTTCTTTGCGAGATGGCGACAGAACCACAAAGAAATGTAGTGGATGGAGTCCCTGTGCTAGTTAGCTATCAGATTGTTGTTAACCGAGGTCAAAATTGGCCAATAATACAAAATTAGTTAACATTTTCTCATCAATGTTTGGCATCTGTGGACTGTCCCGCCATTATCATGCAAAAGGAACAAAAATTATGAGAATACTGACACGCTGTTTGCATTTTATTCCCCATTAAGTTGGAAGATGACCAAACCAGAAACCAACCCGGTAATGTTACTTCACCCTCCCGGAAAAAGTACTGCAAGTGCAAGCTTGCTTGCCTGCAAGTGGAGAAAAAACTCTAAATTCTAATACATGAGCATGAATAATTCAAAAATAAAATTCTCATTTTCTTGTGATTAAAGACATAAACTACTTCTACTAATCATAAATGCACAGATCATGAAACTAGTTGAACCAACTTGAGTTGCACCACGACCAGAAAAGTGTGGAATTTGGATGCCTGCGATATATGTCTAGAAGGCTTCTTGATTTACGTGCCTAATTGAGGTTAATACAATTCAGTTACAAGTCAGCTCAAAGCACACGGTCACCAGACCAAATACTTCATGGTTGGTACGAGGTCAAAAATTGTCTCCTGAATAATAATAAATAAATATATCCGTTGCTTCAAAAGAAAGAAAGAAAGAAAGCAGGTGCCACAGGGAAACTAAGAGTAAGAATCCACGAAGTTGCTAGCTAGTACTGGAGTACTTCCTTGAGGTTTAGTTCTTGTCAAGTAATTACAGACGCATGAAACACGAACAACCTCAAAACACATAATCAGCTCTGGTCTTCGATGAGTTTATTTTTCACAGCTGTGAAGACTTATGGTCGTTGTCCTTGTCTTCCAACGTTGTTTCCGGGCAAAAACCTGCTACGCTCTCCGTCCTTGTAGTCTCCTAATTGATCATCCCCACTGAAGAAAGTTACCAGCAGGTAGTTTCCAGGTAGTCTCCGGGAATATTATACATTAATATTTATTTTTTGGGCACAGTGGATGGAGAGCCAGAGGCTATTCCCTAGCCAAAAAAAAAAAAGACATCAAAACTATTCCTTAATAACAGCTGACTCCTGCCATGGAGAGGAGAAATGCGAATCAGCTAAGTAATTTGAGCGATGAGCTGCTCCGACAAGTCTACATAATATGTTTTATTGTTTTAAATAATTAAAAAATCTAGGTGTAAAATAAAATTTAATTAACACTAATTGTCAGAATATATATATATATATATATATATATATGACATCCAGCTAATTATTTATTTTAAAAAAATCAAATTAGAAGAATATGCCAAATCAATTTATACTAGAAGAGTGTTTAATTTTAGTCAATGTGTCTATAAAAAATAAAAAAGCAACAATTATTTTTTTAATATTTTAAATAATTCAAAAAAATATAGTCATAAAATAAAAATTAATTAACACTAATTGTGAGAATTTGTCTAATTTAATATATATTATGTAATATTTGATAAAATGTATGTATTCCATAACTGAATTTAAATATGTTCTAGGAATATATATAGAGTATGGAATATTTTATGCATATACAGACATATACATAGGGTGAAATATTTTTAGATTAACTTTTTTATTAATTATGATTAAATTTATTATTTATTAAATCATGTTTAGTTTTTAATTGATAATTGAGTTTAAATTTAATACCACTAACAGATTGTTATTAGTAATTTATAATTAAAAAACACTCCTTAAATAATTTATATAGTGATAATGATAAAATTTAAAATCTTATCCACTCTCCTTATGTATTTTTTTTTTTTAATTACAAATTTTGGATTGTATTGGGCAAGGATAATACTTTCTGATCAAGTAATAAAAAAGATTAATATTAATAAACCCCTTTAAAAACCCAAAAATGGCGTGTCGTAGAAAATGGAGAAATGAAGAAAGTGCTGTCGTTTCAACATTGCCATCGGAAATGAACCCGCAAGCGAGCAGTTGGCAGTGGCTTCTTCCTTGTGTCTTGTTGGGGGAAAAAAATCCCTAAAATTGCAGATTCGTTCCTAGATTGAACTGTATCGAATGTGCAATTAATACCTAGTAATTAATTTAAAAGTTAACCAGAAGAAGAAAATGGAAGCGGTAGCTGAGGGACTATGGGGATTAGCAGATTACGCGGAGGAGGAAGGAGAGATAGGAAAAGCAGTGAAATGCCTTGAAGCCATCTGTCAGAGCCACGAGTCATTCTTACCGATTGTGGAGGTGAAAAGCCGAGTTCGCCTCGCAACCCTCCTCCTGAAGCACACTCACAACGTGAATCAAGCCAAGTCCCACCTTGAACGCTCCCAACTTCTGCTCAAACAGATTCCTTCTTACTTCGACTTAAAATTCCGAACTTTCAGTTTGTTAAGTCAGTGTTATCATCTCGTTGGAGCTATTCCTCCTCAAAAACAAACTCTCCTTAAAGCTCTCGACCTCACTGCTTCCCTTCATCCTCCTCAGTATGTTAATTCGATTATTTGTTTTTTATGCTTAGCTTGTCATTTTATATTTTTAATTTATTTCAATTATTAATTTATTTAGGGTTTCGGTGAGGTTATGGGCTTGCAATTTCAATTCACAGCTGGCTAATGCTTTAATTATTGAAGGAGATTATGATTCTGCTATCTCTGCTTTGGAATCTGGTTTTGATTCTGCTACTCAATTAGGTTATCCCGAGTTACAGGTACTTTTACTTTTCTGTTAATTATACATATTAAATATAAATAAATAAATATCATATCGGTGCTTGCTTTATTTTATTTATTACTATCTCACTGATCTGCTTTACATTTCTCAGATGTTTTTTGCAACTTCCATACTACACGTACATCTGATGCAATGGTACGATGATAATTCAGTTCAGTCTGCTCTTCATAGATGCGACCAGCTTTGGGAATCATTAGGCCCTGATAGAGTGAGTGTGTATGTCTTTCCTTTTTCTGCTTAATGAATCTTTATTATAGTAATCTAGGCCCTGTAATACTGATGCTTGGAATTTGTTTTCTTTTTAATGGTTCTTGTGGTGTGAAAGAGGGAACAATGCCTTGGTTTGCTTTTTTACAATGAGCTGCTTCACATATTTTATCAACTTCGTGTCTGCGACTACAAGAATGCCAATCAACACGTGGAAAAGTTGGATGCTGCTATGAAGGCTGACTCGCAGAAAATGCGGGAAGCACAGAGACTAACCAATGAACTTAATGCATTAAACCAAAGTCTTTCCAGACCTAACTTACCCAACAGAGAGAGGTCCTTGCTGTCTTCAAAACATGCTCAAGTTCAAGACCATCTCTCGAGTATGAACAAGACAAATTCATCCGGGGAACAACCTTTGGAACCTGCATATTTTGGAAATATTAAAAGGTCATGGCAAGATAAGCTTGTTTTGGCACCGCCTCCTATTGATGGAGAGTGGTTGCCAAAAAGTGCAGTCTATGCTCTGGTTGACCTTATGGTGGTTATATTTGGTCGACCAAGGGGACTTTTTAAGGAGTGTGTTAAGCGAATTCAATCTGGAATGCGTACTATTCAAGGTTTTGTTTTTTGAACTGAGTCGAATTTCGTTTCTTTCATCTTTTTTTTTTAGTTGCTTTGTATAAAATAATTATGTTTCCGTATCTGCATCAGTTCTATTCTAACTAGCGTAATTCTCTAGTTCTTCTCAACCATCTGAGTTAAGATTGATATTCCAGTTTGAATTATCGAGACTTCTTTGGTTAGATTGAAGTGAGCACACACTACTGACGGTTTTTTAATCCTATAAGCATCAGTGGGGTTTGCTTAACATTTCATTAGATTTTCCTTTGCCTGAAATTTTTAGCATAGTAGACGTTCTAGGCTTACCACATTCAATTGCAGTTGTTACTCTTACACATTTGGCAGGCAGTATGAGAGTTTTTGTCATTGTAAACAATGCTAGATTTTTAGCATTTCAGTATCAGCCATGTGTACTAGTCAGAAACCTGATTACTTATTTTCTTGCAGCGGAGCTGGAGAAGCTTGGAATAACTGATGGTGTTAGAGGTTAGCCTCATTTTTGCATGATTGTCTAAAGATGTAGTTTTCATCGTTCAGTTTACTTATATGAGCTTCCTGGTATTTTCTGTTGAGCAGAAGTGGATTTGCAGCACTCTGCCATTTGGATGGCTGGTGTGTATTTAATGCTTCTAATGCAGTTCCTTGAAAACAAAGTTGCTGTGGAGCTCACAAGATCTGAATTTGTTGAAGCACAGGAGGTAGGTGGGTGGTGCCTCCAATGCTATTGTTTATTCTGTGGCATGTATTTTTCACCTCTCCCTACCTCCCTCCCTCCCTGAGGACGTGGAGAAGGGAGTTTGAGATGGGTAGCGATTGGTTACGAAACCTATATTTCCAGATTATATTTCTATTTGCTTGCTTTAGTGTTTTCATTTGGAGGCACTTGTCTATGCCATTTGGGTAGAGAAGCTGAGTTCACTAAAAAACTTGATTATGCAATATTTGAACTGGAATGATCAAATCAAAGGGCTAAAGTGTTTTCATGGCTTATTTTGTTAATTAGTTCTTGATTCTATCTCGTTGAGCCTAGTGGTATAGAGGAGTTATCAAGATCTGGCAATGATATGACAGGACACTAAATGGATATACTTATTCAGTTAGACAGGGCACTAAATGTTTTGGCTCACCTTAAAAAATGTGTACTTCATAATATGCCTGTGCCTATACTAAGGCATTGAGTTGTCTGCCTTTGAGTTCACCTTTAAAATGTTTTGGTTCACTTGCTTAAGTAAGAAGGCAGCTTTCATAACAAAGAATTTCTCTTTGAATTGATAATTCCAGTTAGCAATTACTTATGCTCCCAACTGATAAGCAGAACTTTAATCCAATGCAACTATTTAATGGTTAGTAGAATTTGATCTAGTCTGCTCTTTGGTTGTCAGGTCTTTCATACTTTACAAACCAGTGGTGTTTGTTTGCTGTTCATTAAATAAAATGCTTATCTCAATCTCTATGTTGTCAGGCATTGGTGCAAATGAAAGAGTGGTTCATTCGCTTTCCAACAATTTTACAGGCCTGTGAGAGTATAATTGAGATGCTAAGGGGGCAATATGCTCACTCTGTTGGCTGTTATAGTGAAGCAGCTTTTCATTACATTGAAGCTGCAAAGGTATGCTGTTATTGTCACACTATAGATTGTCCACAACTAATCAATTTCAACTTCGATGGTCTGATTGATGCTTAGGAATCATATAATGAGCATCAGTCTGTTTAGCTAATGCTATAATCAGCAAAAGCAATTATTGCATATGCAAATGTTTATTCTATTTAACAAGCAGATGCTTTATTATATTAATCACCAAATGTTTCAAATGGGCTTTATGTGCAGCTAACAGGGAGCAAGTCAATGCAAGCTATGTGCCAAGTTTATGCAGCTGTCTCTTACATCTGCATCGGTGATGCTGAATCATCATCACAGGTCAAAAGTCTCCTTTAATTACAAATAATAATAATTATTGTAAAATGTTGCTTTAGTAGATAGCAATTAAATTTAAGTTTCAGCAGCACTTTAGCTTTTGTTTCATTTAAGTTCATTCCATGCAGGCACTTGATTTGATTGGACCAATTTACAGAATGAAGGATTCTTTTGTTGGAGTTCGAGAGCAAGCGAGTGTTCTTTTTGCTTATGGCCTTTTATTGATGAGGCAGGATGAATATGAGGAAGCACGGTAGATTCTTGGGCTCTTATTAACAACTTTACTATGTGATCTTTTCATTTGAATTGGAGGATGTTTGACTGGCATATGGCTACTATTTGATCCAACATGGTTTTCATGGCTTTTATATCCTCCCCATTCTATATCCCTATATTTATGTTGTATCCTTTAACTTTGCGTAACTGTTAATGTCATCATTAGTGAAGAAAATTGTTTTCCCTTCTAAGTTGTGTTTTGCCAAATTACCTTCATCATGCCAGACTCTGTTCCATCTCTTTATCCAGAGCAAGAACTAAGTGCTATGGAAGATTGGACTGAACAATTTACCTTAGGATATGACCACCCAAAAAAACAAAAAAATGCTTGAACTATGCAGTGATTTCTGTATACTCTTAAAATTTCACTAGAGTTGAACTTATTCACAGGAAAACAACTAGAGAGAGAGAGAGAGAGAGAGAGAAGAAAGAGGAAAACAATAAATTGTTGGTGTGAACTGTGAAAAAGAAGGTATGCCCACCTAAAATGGTTCGTTAGGAGAAGTATAAATATAGATTAATTGAGAAATATTGCTCCCCGGCCTTTTTTTTTCTGTGTTATTCTTTTCTATAAATGGTTTCATGGTTCATCTTCAAATTTAGCTTTTCTATCTCTCTTATGTGCTAAAAATAACGCTGTTCATGCAGAGCTCGGCTGGCCAAGGGCCTGCAGATTGCACATAATAGTATGGGTAACCTTCAACTCATTGCACAGTATTTGACCATCCTTGGACATTTGGCTCTTGCCCTGCATGATACTGTGCAAGCCAGAGAGATCTTGAGATCTTCCCTTACACTGGCAAAGAAGCTTTATGATATCCCGACTCAGATCTGGGTGCTGTCTGTTCTTACAGGTATAGCTCACTGTGTGGATCCCCTGCTCATTTGATATAGTCAACTCTGAGGTGCAATAAAACTTCTCATCGAGATGCAGAACATACAGATAGAGAGTGACACTAATTATTTGTTGGTTTCTAGGATGCACATACACAACATGGATGTTGGTTTTCCTTTCCTATCAATTGACTAATACTTTGCCTCTCCTAATTTGGCAGTCCACAGCTAGTTTTGCAGTTATCTGTCTTGTAAAATTTCTTTCCTTCCTTCTGGCATTGAGGGGAGAAGGCTGTTAGGGAATAAAACATTGGTGGTGGAACTGAACCAAAGTGATGCTACTTTGAATGACGTGACCATTCTGCAATACCTATCATCTTAAAAGTTCTTTTTCTTTGAATGCATATAAAGCCAAGTCTAGTAAACCACAATTAATACTTAATTGAGTTGAGGTTAAAACTCTTTTAAGACTAAATTATGTACAAGTTTTTATTTTGGTGATTTAAGAATGCAACCCTTAGGGAACAAGTTCTGGTTCTACTAGATTAGATTGTTTAGGGGAGATTTTCAGATGAATGTTTTTATGTTTCCATACCTGTCAAGTTCTGTTAGGTTTATTGGTTCTCATCTCATCTGGTTATACCACTATTGCTCTTGCAGGTTTGTATAAAGGATTAGGTGAGATTGGGAATGAAATGGAGAACGAGGAATATCGAAAGAAAAGGTTAGATGATCTGCAAACAAAACTTGCCGATGCTCATTCCTCCATTCATCACATTGAACTGGTAAATTAATTTGTTCTCATAGTTTGGTCTTATGACAACAAATAATTAGATGTCTGAAAAAAGTTTTAGTTTGGACCATCAAGCACTTACCTGTTATTTTACATGTATCCTTTGATGAGCAGATTGACAAGGTAAGATTTGAAGTTCAACAGCTTCATGAACTTGACATCAAGCGTGCTATGGAAAGCCAGTCCATGAGAGTCAGCCTCGACATTCCAGAGTCTGTTGGTTTAACAAATCCATTGCCATCTTCTTCAGCGTCAAGACTACTAGATTTGGACAATCTGGACAATCGACGGCGTGGGAAGAGAAAAATTTAGTTCATTGCTTGTAGGTTGTATAATTTTTGTTGATATAAGAGAGAATAGGAAATTTAAAGGGTAAATGAGACTGGGGTTAGCACCTCAACTTGTACAATTGCAGGGTGTTAGACAAGGCCCTGTGCTGCGCATTGTTGTTGCTCTATCCTCCCCTAGCTTATTGCCAATGCGCTTAAGGATGCTTTTGGTGTCGGCTAGCTTGTCCAAAAAACGGAGGAAAGCTGAATGACTAGATTTACGAGGGATCACCTTTTGTTTCTAAAGCTGAATAGTTTTCTTATCATTCTGTCATTATAGGTCATGAATGTATTGTACATAATCTTTATTATGGTTTCATATGATGTTAATTTATGATATCGCTCAAATTTTCTTCTTAAATTGCCATTTTTTACCTTCTTTATTAGGATTAAAGCAAAGCAAAGCAACTGTCTTTAACCATGATTAATAACAATGTTTATGTCAAACTTCCTTAACTACTCCTAATTAACATTCAAGCAAAAAAATAGCAAATAAAAAAACTCATGTTCTATGTTCTTACAATTTTTTTAAATTACAACCAACTGTATATTATTTAAAAGATAAAAATGTTTTTTATTTATTTAGCATTAAAAATATCTGAAAAACTATTGACTTTAAACTAAGAGTTAAGATTCATGTGTTTTTTTTTTTTTTTTGAATGCAAACATTGAGTGTTTTATTTTTATAATAAATAAATAATTATTCAAAAGAATGCGAGAAAAGTATTTTAGTCTTTTAGATAATATAAAATTAGTTATAATTTAAAAACTCTCCAAAAACATAGAATATCCAATAGCATGTAACTTTTGATTGTTAATTTTTTGCTTGGATGTTGGAAGTATTTAAAAAAATTTGACATGTAGCATTCCTCGTATCATCTAATATCTCTTACAGTCACTCAGCTTCAATCTGTTTATTAGTACAGGCAATTTCTTTTTTATTTAGGCATATAAATAGCAATAGACTGCATTGCTTGAGATGGCAAATGATGGTTTGGTGAAAAACAAGCTGGCATGGTTTGATCATTCGGAGATTTCACCGATCGCCATATAGTACTGTAGATGCATGGTGAAAGTTGTGTGAACAAATAATGGAGAATCGATTCTTTGTTGGATGAAACATACTTATACGTGACCAATCGGTGAGTGAGCTTCACATTTAAATATGAACATGATATTGTGAAAGTTCTGGAGGAGTATGGAAGATAAACATTGTTTATCAGCTTAATCTTCGGTTTCTTCCCAAAATTGCAGCTGAGTCGCCCGGGTGAAAAAGAAGAAGATCAGAGCTGAAGCAGATAGGCACAAGGCATTTTCATGTTCCAGTTTGTCGCCTCAAGTAGCTAGTCAAGCTCTGCTTCCCTCTGCGGTTAGTCCAGCTATCTCTTTGAGTGGTTTCCACACAAACTTTCTCCTGCACATAATTGAGTTTGCATTTCTTGGCAAGGATTAGAATTTAGAACATCAAAGTTTGCAAGGTGCAACGAATTCGAGTGTTGAAGAACGGAAAGGAATGGATCAAAATGGTAAATGGGACTAAATGGTTGGTGATTAATGAGTTCAAAGCAAAGCTTACCAGTTTCCACATTCAGCAACGACTCTGACATTAGGGCGTAGTGTCGGCAGCAGAGCAAGAAACTGCAGTTCCGCCTTGGACAAAACCTGTACAAGAGAAATTTATAAATACGACTGAATATGTGATCCATCTGAATGCTGGCTTTATTTTTTCCGTTCCTGCTAATTGTATCGGGGAAAAAAAAAAACCATAGAAATGTAACTGAAAACGGAAAGCATTTCGGTGGTGTCACTGTCACACTCACACACCTTGGCTTCAATTATCCAAACCACAAGTCCTTTGGCATCAGGGGGCAGGTGTTCAAGTCTGAAATCAACTTCTGGGGGAAAATACCACCTTGCTATGGGCTGCTTCCCGAGATGTGCCTAAAATCAGTGCATTCACCGAAGAAAGCATAAGCTGTATACCATCAGAATTGTATATGAACATCAATGGACAGTGGCAGTGCATCCAAAACATATAATTACTTACAGGACAAACAGGATGAACTTTGGTAAGAGTGGTCTCAGGATCCCCCAGGCCCCGAGCAGTGAGGTCAAGGAAGTAATAGCCCTGGCGGATGAGGCGGTTAAGGTAACGACCCTCGTAGCCTCCCTCGTGAGGGGGTAAATGGCAAGGGCCTTGTGCTCCTCCACATCTGACAGCCACTGCCCTATATCAAATTTTACTAAATCCCCTCCAAAGAAGTCACCTATTCCCATCCCACTACACTTCACCACCAACCCTGATGATGTTGGTCTCCTCTTATATGCCTTCTTATTACTATCACTACTAAATCCCTGCAGCACCGCAACGTTTCTGTTTCCTACCATTACACTGATCCTTGACGAGCAGTTGCTTAAAGAGTGCTGCTGTTTGTGGTGGAGATTGATCGAGGCCGGTGCTCTCCCATATTGTTGCAGGCTGCTGGTAGCTGCCATTCTTTCTATGCTTCGGAAGTCCTTTCCAAGATAAACGACAAGGTTGAAGAGGCATAGGTAGTAGCTAAGTGAAGCCAAGTGGTAGAGAGTATGATGGAAGTTGTATGGTAGAGAAACAAGATAAGAAATTATTAAATCACAAATGGACAAGGACAGTAATTTTCGTTTTCATTTTTCTAGAGTTACTGCAGCATTCCTAGGAATGGCGACGAGGGAGAGCGGGGATGGGCCTCAAAATAGGATGGGGATTCCTGCAGGATGCTAATGTCTTGTTTAATTTTTTAATTTTCGTTCCGTCTAGTCTTATTTTATTATTAATTTTCAAATTACAGCAAAAATATTATAATTTATATAAAAATTAAACCTTAAGAGTCAATAATCATAAATTTTATATAAAATATAATTATAATTTAAAAAATAAGTTACAATGAGTAAATACCATTTTCGTCGTCTCATTTCTATTCAAAATAAATATAAAACAGAACACTTGTCTCATTCTCTAATCACCTCGAAGGCAGAGCAAGGCAAATGGGCATTTCTAGTTAAATTATAATTATAATTTTTTAATTTTCATTCCATCTCGTCTCAATTTACTATCAACTTTTAAATTATAACAAAAAAATGATAATTTATATAAAAATTAATAATTATAAATTTTATATAAAATATAATTATAATTTCAGAAATGAGACACGATGGGTAAATACCATCCTCACCTCATTCCTATTCAAAATAAATACAAAACAAGATACTTGCCCTGTTCTTCAATCAACTCGGGCGGAGCAAGAAAAATTGTCATCCCAAATTCTTAAAAGGGTTTTTTCTTTTATTTTATGTCGAAGATATCTTTGTGCCATAAGACCGTTTGCCTAACAATTTGAAAAGCTCATCTCCTAAATGGTATCCTTGGAATTCTCAAACTTATGGCTTTGGTAAACAAGGAAAAACCTTTCAAGAGATTGAATTGGAGATTGGACAGGAAAATAGATAGGGAGCAATATATAGAGTAGCAGTGGTAGAAAGAAATGGACACAGAGGGATGCATGAGAATTGAGAAATGAAAGGAGAGAATTGTTTGTTGTCAAGGGAGGGAAGAAGTATACTGAAAGGAATAGTAGTATTATAGAGAAGAATCTAAAAACCAACCATAATTGGCTCCATTGATTTATTTATTAATTTGTCTTTTAGGATTTCACGTCGCACATCCCATTGAAAATGAAAAGAATAAAAAAACGACTTTCACGTTGCTGCACCTGATCTGACACAGTTTCTCAATTGCCTTGGGCTTGTTTCTATACGAACCTTCAATAAGAAACCCGATAAAAGAATTTTGAGGAAACAGGAAAGCCAAACAAAAGTGAGGAATTCGAGAGTTTATGTTTTGGATTGGGGAGTAGAGTGTGAATGCGACAGTGCAAGGGATTTAATTCAATTTTGCTGCTTTTCTTTTGGAATTATTAGTAAAGAAGAGAGGGGGAGCAGGCAAGGCAATCGATCATGTTGGCGGCGGCGGCGGCATCTAATACGTGCTTTAGGGCTCGAAACAACCTCCTCCTCCTTCGCAACCACTCTAATTTTTATTACAAAAAGAATCATCCTCTCTTATTTCTATGCTGCTTCAACCATTCCCATTCCAATCACAATCATACTCTTACCGGTAACAATAATAACGGACAAAGATGCTTTCTTGGACGGAGCAGCACCGACAGCAGCACTGCTATTTACGCCAACTCCCCCTTCCTAAGCAGCAGCAGCAGCAGCAAGAGATCGCACACCACTCCGTCATGGAATCATCGTCGCTCTCTCAATCTCAATGCTTTCCTCTCCTCCCACTCCTCCTCTACTCCTTTCCGCCCACCGGTTTGTCTTTCTATTCCCTACTCAATTTTTCCTTATGTATTCGTAATTCACTAAGATTATTTATTTATTTTGTTACAAAAACAGAACTCTGCGCTGGATGGCCATGCCTTATTCTCAACATCAGCTCCGAAGGATAAAGATGATGCAAAAAAACCTCCTCCTCCTTCACCAGTTGCTACTGCTACTAATAACTCAGACCAACAAGTTGCTGACATGAAAATCCTACGCACTCTTGCTAGTTACATATGGATGAAAGATAATCCTGAATTTCGCTTAAGGGTCGTTCTTGCTCTTGGATTCCTTGTGGGTGCGAAGGTTGTGAATGTTCAAGTCCCTTTTCTCTTTAAGCTCGCCGTTGATTGGTTGACTACTGCTACTGGGAATGCTACTGCTCTTGCTTCCTTCACCACTGCTAATTCCACTCTCCTTACTCTCTTTGCTACCCCTGCTTCTGTTCTCATTGGTTATGGCATTGCCCGCGCCGGATCCTCTGCTTTCAATGGTAACTTACTACTACTATACATTATTACTTACTAATAATAAATACTGAAGTTTCTATCTTTTGTCTTTTCTTCTCGTATTATCAATCTCTATATTTTTTCCAGAATTGAGGACTGCTGTGTTTTCTAAAGTAGCTCTGAGAACAATCCGATCTGTTTCTAGGAAGGTTAGTCAATGCTTCTACCTATTCTGGACTTTATTTGTGAATGTGTCCGTTTTCGTTGTGCTGGTTTAATAATGTAATGTACTTGTGCAGGTCTTTTCACATTTGCATGAACTTGACCTCCGCTATCATCTTAGGTATTTGTTCTATATTATAGAAAGCCCTTTCTCTGTGTCATATACAAGCTAATTCTGTTATGTATCTCACTTGATCACTGTCTTTCCAGTCGAGAAACTGGTGGGCTAAGTAGAATAATTGATCGTGGTAGCCGTGCAATAAACTTCATACTCTCATCTATGGTGTTCAATGTTGTGCCAACCATTTTAGAGGTATGAATATTCTGCTGAAATTTCTTCTTCTTTTGAGCTACTTGACTTTTTTAATCTATTGGATTAGTTAAACATGCTGTTATCCCTGGTAAACAGCTTACTGATCTCTTATGTGAATTGTTGATAACTGTCCACAATGAAACACTTCAATTTCTTGTTCAAAACAGGCTAAAAACTTAAAATTTAGGTGCATGCACCCGTACAATTGCTTCCTTATTCTGAGCATTTTTTTGACAGATTTTTATCATGCATCCTTCCAGATATCTATGGTGTCGGGTATACTGGCATACAAATTTGGAGCCCCTTTTGCATGGATCACTTCGCTCTCAGTCGCTGCATATGTTACTTTCACGTTGTCTGTCACACAGGTACTATATCTTCTTCCAAGTCTTTAATACCAATCTGCACATAGGTTCTGAAATAGATAGTGCACTTCTTTTTTTTTTTTTCCAATCATCTTTGTGCATGTGTTTTGAGAATGTGCTGTGGTGCTATCCTTGGTCATTTTCTTTCACTCTAAGCATTGTTATTGCATGTAATAGTTCCATGAGCTGCTTACCAACCCCTCTTTTACTTAAATTAGTGGCAGTGTTTTTGATGATCACATTTTCATCAAGATTTCCTTGTCATGTGCAGTGGAGGACCAAGTTCAGGAAGGCCATGAATAAAGCTGATAATGATGCTAGTACAAAGGCAATTGATTCCCTTATAAATTATGAGGTGAGATTATGATGCATTTTTTTTTCTGCTGACATACTGTTTGACTCCTCTGGTGCATCGTTTTATGAATGCCTTTCTATCTATCTCTTAGTTGATGCAATGATGCCTCATTTACTGTGCCACGACCATTTTTTTTTTTTCCTTTGTCAAGGCTTCTGCTTATCCTGTTTTCTCTTTTTTCCCCTGTTTTTTCCAGACAGTCAAATATTTCAACAATGAAGCTTATGAAGCTGACAAATATGATGAGTACTTAAAGAGTGAGTGGTTGGAGCATTATAGTTGTTAACTTGTTATCTACTTCTTTGATGTAAATCTGAGACAAAGCAGCCATTCTAAGAATAAATTAACGCATTGATGACCCATTAAAATTTAAAAAGTGGGAGTCATGATGTGGCATTGCTAGAATGAGATGTTGATTAACATTGGTTTGCATGTTTTATTAAGTCAATCGTGCTTTTCATATTTATATTTAAATGTCTATCAGCACACATATACAAGAGGCTGAATGATTGGCATTCAAATTCTACGAGCATTTTCTTTCTGCATGCTTTCAAAGAACCACCCAAAAATTTAAGATGTGAGATGAGGTTTAAGTACATGGTTTTATATTGTACTCTCTAACACACCCAAAGTGATAGCCTTTTGGGCGCACCAGTATCTTGTGTTGGAATTTTCAATTAAAGAGAATGTGGGTGGTAGGATTGCACTCCTAACCACTTGGTAAAAAAAGGTTGTGATACCATGTTGAAAACCTCTCAACCCAAAAGCTTAAGCTGTCAGGTGAGTCCAGAAAATGGCTTTGTATTAGACTCTCTAACACATGCCCGAAAATGAAGCTTTGAACTTACCATTAGGCACCTTGCAACATTCATATGGTGAATAGTTGAACCATGACTTAGCTCGAGACTAAGTTAGAGATTGCAAGAACCATGACTTAGCTCGAGACTAAGTTAGAGTATGCAAGAACTGAAATGGTTTATTTGCGATTGCAGTTAATTGCATCATCCCACCTTATTATTCTTAACTTAATTGTTTCTCTGTTTAGGAAGTTATATATATATATATATATATATATATATATATATATATCTGTGTGTGTGTGTGTGTGTATTCTCTGACTAGTTTTGGATTTATGTAATTTCTTCAACTTGAACTTTTAACAATTTCATTATTGTTAATATTTGGAACGGCATCCTGCAACAAAACTTGTCTTTTCCTTGCTTCTGCTTCATGCTTTTATGTACTTTTTTTCTGATTATCTTGGTCAACAAGCCAAGCTGGTGAATATTGGCACAATGTCATCTATAATTCAAGGATATGGTACTCTAGGTGCTTGACTCATTCTGTTATACCATACTACTTTGCTGAACTTCAGCAGCCCTTTTAAACAGTCTCTTCCTGTGTTTATATCTGCCTTTTCTCTCTGAATTATGAATGATGCTCTCTTTCAGGGTTTGAAGGCGCTGCCTTAAAAACATCACGAAGTCTTGCTTTTCTGAATTTTGGCCAAAATGTGATTTTTAGCACAGCTCTGTCAACAGCTATGGTTTTATGTTCACATGGGATTATGAATGGCCAGATGACTGTTGGTGATTTGGTAAAGCTTCTTCATGAAAGAATATTATCATAAAGCTCTATATCTAATGTGATTAACTGATGGTCAGACAAATTATGTATGAATGTGAAAACACAGGTAATGGTAAATGGACTTCTCTTCCAGCTCTCCCTTCCCCTTAATTTCCTTGGAAGTGTTTATCGTGAGACCATACAGAGTCTTGTTGACATGAAGTCGATGTTTCAATTACTTGAGGTATTTTTTCAACTCTATGCTGTTTCTTGCAGCTCAGGAGTCAATCTAGCGTTTCATTATTTTTTCACTCTTTATAATTCCATTATCTTTTTCAAGTTTGTATATCAACTTTATAATTTCTGAACGTTCCCCGTAAAGCATGGAAGAACAGCAAGAGCAAAAGAACAATATCCAAGCGATTTGATTGTTGATCCAAATAATTGAAGCTTTTCTCTCTCTCTAAAAAAAAAGAAAAAACTGTTTTCTTGTGGTTCTGGTTTATAAAGAGCTTTGTTCTATTGATTTCTGCAGGAGAAAGCTGATATTAGAGATAAAGATGATGCAAAGCCTCTAATGTTAAAGGGAGGTGGCATTCAATTTGACAATGTACACTTCAGGTATGACGATGGTTCCTTCTATATTGAAATTTTTTTGACAAACAGCTGGTCTCAATTCCATGTCTAAATTGAGTTGTTACTTCCACTGTTGCAATTATCGTGAATAAGCTATCAAATTCTTGCATTTGACAAGTCTGTTTCCTGAATTTGTTACCATCCAGATTACTGCTACTGCAGGTTTTGATATTGATTTTACTTTAGTATGGGTTTTTTTTTTCGGTTTTTAATTGAGATCATTATATTGCTGTTGTAATTTGTGATGCTATTCTACCTGTACCTGGATGACCTTTTTTCAAAATAATAATAATAATAATAATAATATATTCTTGTTGCCTGGGTCACGTAGAGAATTGGCTTTGTGTCGCAACCCAGCAGTTGAAATCATTCAAGTTTAGTGGTTGCTGACCTTATATAGATTTTTTATTCTTGTTTCCAACTTGAAGATCAGATTTTCATTTAGAAAGCAACTAGAATTAATTTATTTTAATGTGATAAACTTTTTGTGTGTATTGGACTCATACTCCAACGCAAGCTTGAATGTTAGTCATCTAAAAGTTATGCTCTAAGTTCTAGATTTGCCAGCTTGGAAGCTTCTTGATGCTCTTAAATTTTTACCCACACAGTACATGAGGAATCTTAGAGTCTGACCGGAAGGAAGTCTAGGTGCGAGCTGGAAATTTTTTTCTTTATTTCTATAGCAAGTCTCATTTTATTGCAGATCAGATTTTCTTTTGGTATGGTCTAGAAACCAGATTGCAATTCCTTCAAAAGCTAAAGTCCTAATTTTCCAACTCTTGACAACTAAGCTACAAAAAGAGAGGAAAAACAAAATCGATACCAAAAATACTTCTGGCAAGATGACATTTTGAAAACTGGGGCTATCTTTTGTTCTCTTTTCTTTAAAAGAAAAAGGAAATAGAGAAAGAAAAGAAAAGAAAACCATAGCTTCGAGGTTCACAGAATGGGGCAGTTTCAGAATCTAAACTTTGATTTGTTTTCTTTCATTCTAAATGCTTCCAATTAGAGGAAAAACAAAATCAATACAGAAAAATACTTCTGATGAGATTACATTTTGAAATCTGGAGAATAATTTTTGTTCTCTTTTTTTTTATATAAAAAAAAAGAAAAGAAAGAAAACCATTGTTTTGAGGTTCACATAGTTGGGTAGTTTCAGAGTCTCAACTTTCATTTGTATTCTTTTATAACATAGTTCCTTAAACATATCCACACCACACTTATCCTATATATTAGTCATCCTTTATCACCTTTGGAGATTTGAAGATCTCCACAGGGATTTCAATTCATTGTTGCCCTTGAACAATTTTTGGAGTTAATTCAACCACCACCCCACCACCCCCCACCCCCCCCCCCAAACCCCACACACAGATTTTATGTTTGCTGTTTGATTGTGGTTATATTTGAAATTTAATATTTTGCTATCATTCATTTGTGAATATCTAATGATTTTGTTAATTATTAACTGCCCGTCTACTGTACTTGTCAAACTTGTGACAGCTACTTGCCAGAAAGAAAAATTCTTGATGGCGTAGATTTTTCTGTACCAGCAGGAAAAAGTGTGGCTATTGTTGGAACAAGTGGTAGTGGTAAGGATTTAGTTTGTTCGGGAGTTTTCTACTATCATCAGCTACTTGTGTTTGCTCCGATTTTTGTTAGAATAGTTCTCTAATGTGAAATGTATGTTTCAATTTCTTCATGTACTTAAATTTTCCAAAACTGATGCATGGTTCTGATATCCCATGATGGTTGATATTTACTCATGATGTGATGTTTTATAGGATGAAATTAGGACTGGGATAAAAATATCATAGTGATCTATAGACATGTTTTCTGCATTTTTGTTATACTAAGCAATGATTGTTATAAATTTGTAATATGTAACAAGAGAAAGTTCATTTCTATGTGCTGGAATTAAATGATAATCTTGTACTTGCATTAACGAATGCTTTTGCCCTTAATTACCCACACCTCTAATCTATTTCAAATGTATCTGCTTGCAGGCAAGTCAACCATTCTTAGATTACTCTTCAGGTTTTTTGACACTAATTCTGGAAATGTAAGAACTGATTCCTCCATTGTTATTGCCATGTGGTCCAACAAATCTTCTACTTCCAAAATTGATATTTTCCTCTTCAAAAAGATCTGATGAAGAATTGACATGAAAGGCTATTTGTTGTTTCACTTCTTCCTCCCAGTCTGGAACATTTTTCTTTGATCCATAACAATGCTGCTAATTTCAAATAAAACTCTTCCATATTTTCGGTTTAGCGATTGGCATTTGCTCCTGCAGATAAGAATTGATGGTCAAGATATAAGGGATGTAACACTGGATAGTTTGCGGTGGTCTGTTGGTGTTGTCCCTCAAGACACAGTATGTTCTCTTGAGCAATTTAGTTGTTTGTGTAGTTTCACTGTAATAGGTCTCCCTTGTGAGATCTTGCAAGTTGTAATGTTGATGAGCTGAGCTACTTTTGCTTGACATCCAGGTACTCTTCAATGACACTATATTTCACAACATTCATTATGGTTGTCTTTCAGCAACGAAAGAGGAAGTGTGTCTTTTTCCTTTTCACTCTCCAACGTATGCATTGTTTATGATACTTCTTTGCTTAGTACGTCTTTGCATGAACTTCTTTATCCACAGGTCTATGATGCTGCCCGCCGTGCAGCGATCCATGACACTATCATGCACTTCCCTGATAAATATTCTACTATAGTAGGGGAACGAGGGCTCAAGGTGAGAGGTCTATTGCTATCAACTAAAGAATTTTCTACTAGAATTGGCTATAGGAGACGTAATCGATCAAATGTGAATAGTTTGGGAATCTACTTGGAACACACTGTCCTCAGTTAAGAGAGAATATTTCGTAAACAAATTGCTCTAAAATGAAATCAGACTATGATTTGTATAGCTTTCTTTTCTGTGGAATCTTGAACGTTTAATAACGAGGAAGTTTTTCCTTCCAGTTAAGTGGCGGTGAGAAGCAGCGTGTGGCATTAGCCCGTGCATTTTTGAAAGCAGCTCCTATTCTGTAAGAACTCCATTCTTCTTCTTTATCAATATGCATTCATACACTATGTTCAGTTGGTTATAGCTTTTCTCAAAATCTTAAAAGAGTGTTATTGAATGAATATTGTCTGTCTATTCCAGATACCTACACTTCTAGTTTGGTCTTACATTCTTGTGCATTTAATCATATCATTTGGTGCCCAACAAAAAGGAGTGACCATATGATTTTAAACGAACACTATGGCTGGCCTTGTACCTCTGATAGATAGAGTTTTTGTAGGATAGTGTCTACTGCTTCTGTAAATTAAGAAAATATTTCTTTAGTGCTTTAAGGTTTGTGATAGTAAACTTCTTCTCAATCAGCATAACAATGTATAATAACAATGATAATCCATTTTGTCCGTTCCAGTGTCCAGTATCTAAATTCTTGTTTATTTCCTGTTGTAATTCACCAAGTTGATTTGCTCTAGATGCTGTACCCCAGCTGTTTTTCAGCCCAACCAAAAGACAAGGGTAGCATCTCATAAGCCAAATGATTCATTCTCTTGAACTAAATCCTCAAAACTTCAGACATAAGCAGATGAAATATCAGTTATTTTTCTTCCCTTAGTTACATATGCCTAATGAACTTTGTCTCGTTTGATTTCCTCAGGCTATGTGATGAAGCTACAAGTGCGCTTGACAGCACCACAGAAGCAGAGATTCTAAATGCATTGAAATCATTATCCAACAATCGAACTTCAATTTTCATTGCACACAGGCTTACAACTGCTATGCAGTGTGATGAGGTAAGCATGAGTCCTGCTTCAGAGTATTTACATAGTTTGGTTACAGTATGCTGTATGCCTGCTGTCTTGCTCGCTTAGATTTCATGCTTCCACTATTGCCCGTCTTTACTTACAAGATCAGGTTCTTCTCACTTTCATCAGCAAGAACAGTGTTGCATATTGTTTTTCTTTCTTTTAGCAAAATAATAGTCATGCCTTTTACTCCTTTTGATCTGTGGGACACAGAAATGCACTTGCATAGTTAAAGAAGTTCCCTGTTGGTTTTGTATGAAATTTCTTACGATCTTATAGTTCATAGGAGTCTCCACCTGTTATCTTAAACTTTTGCATTGAATGCTTTACCTTGTATTGGAGCATGTGTTAACTTGCATTGCTGTGGTTGATGTAATCCCCCATGCAACACCTATTTGTTGATTGTGAAAGAAGTCCCTATGTTGACCTACTAGTGAAATGAGGTGTTAAAGAAGCGGTAAGGAAGTTTGAAACAGTCTATAGAAGTGTGGGATTCTTCATGCTAACTTTTTGGTCGGATGCTCTAATACACAACATCCTATTTAAGTTCTGAATTCTCTAAGATTTTAATGCTTTTTGTGCATTGTCATCATTCTTTCTGTGCATCATTTTCTTACCTGCCCTCTATAGTCTATATTTACACATTCCTGTCCATTGAAATATGGTTCTCAGATAATAGTTCTGGAGAGTGGTAAAGTGGTTGAACAGGGACCCCATGAGGTTCTCTTGACCAAGGAAGGTAGATACGCACAGCTATGGACACAGCAAAATAGTACTGTGGATGCCCTTGATTCAGCTATTAAATTGGAGGCATAGATGTTGCAATCTTCCCTTGACCACACAAAGCTTAATGTTGTTTCGACTGCCATGTTATGGACCCCCGATGAGATGCAACCTGGTTGTACCAGATCAGTTGATGGTTGTGAGCTGTGGGTTTCACCATCATAATGAACAAGCAAAGGGGTAATATCTTGAACATAATAATTAGAAGAAAGAAAGCGATACCAATCGATGAATGAAGGCATTTTCAACTGAAATTATGGTGAGATGCACATAAACCCATATAAGTTGGTCAATCACATACATGAAAAGTCACCCAAAAACTGGAGATCGGATTTCTCCCAATGCCTAATCTCTGGTGCTTATTAAGAAAACATTTGTCATGTCTCCAGTCCTTAGATTGGAGATTCAATTGCTGATGATGATTTGTTCCATTATTTTCTGTTGTATAGTTATCACACACCGAATGATATACAAATTTTGGACCCTCGTGGTTTTTCAGATGCTGTTTTAAAGTTTTTCTGGAATTCCATGGTTGCGATATTTGCTTTCGTTTGCAATTGCATGCACTGATGAACTCTTTAGAGCAATTTCAATCGACTGTATATTACATCATTAATTTAGGGTTTTGAGTTTCCATAAACTCTTTACATATCGAACATTGGGAGAAAAAGGAAGCTATTGCTAAAGTAGGCCAAGTTGCATATTTGCACATACAAGCACAGTAAGTTGTGGGTTTGCAGTGCATGATTAGCATTCTCTGTACCTGTTATACTGCTTTGTACCTCATACTGCATTTGACTATACTGATTCAACTTTACGGTTTCAGAATCTATTCAAGCTTACCTTACTAACTTTGTCGTATCGATGAAGACAGTACCTAACGCGTTGGCTCTGTGCCAAATGTGTCAAGAATCTTATGTGAAACCAAAATGGAAGTTATATACTCTGGAATCACCGTACAGTTGTCAAATTGATTGATCCACGTAACGCTAACCCTATCACCGACAAGGTGCCTGATATCTTGATTTATATAGAGGGCAGTGGTAGTGTTAAGTCTGTCGATATAGTCTATGTAATCTTTGAAAGATCATTTTAGGTAATAGGATGCTTAAAAGGAAGAAGCAATAGATATTTAGCTAGTTTTGGAAGATATCCTACTACTGTCGAAGTCTTAGCTGCTTTCATTTCCTTGCTGCTGGTAAGAGTTGATTTGGTAATCCCTTCATATGTGCCTTTTTTGCACCTAAGTCATGCCTTGCTTGTATGCTACGATGCACTTATTTTCTAGTGGGAAGCTTTGTATGGTATCTTTCTTTCTTTCTTTTTTTCCTTCTCTTCAGTCTTTGCAGATTTGTGCATTCGTCAATTTAATAGTCATAGTCAATTGTTCGTGGTTCTACAAGTTGATTGGTAGGCCAAGTCACTTGGTTGAGATAACATGGGCAACTTTTAGTTGTGGAGAGTGTTGATCCGTTGGATCTCTTTCATTTTGGACTTAAATTTGATTTTTATTCAACCAGTTGGTATGCATGTGATTGAAAGTGTAGAAAAAGAAAAAAAAATTTGGTGTGGGGGGTGTGGGGGGTGTGTGAGGAGGTAGGGGTAGAGAGATGAGTTTGAAAGGCAGTAAGCATGAAATTGTTAAGGAACAGGGAAACATGTAAATTGCAACTGAAATCTGCAATTGCATGCCAGCCATCGGTTTTTGTTATTTTCTTCTGATACGAAGAGAAGCATCCAGCAGCTATTTTTTCATTACATTTATACATATTTCCTTCCTTTCTGGTAGAAGGTAGAAAAAATAATTAAAAAAAAATTATTCTTGTCTATCACTAAAATAATTCAAAGAAAAAAAAAACTAATCTGGGTTTGAAGCTTTGTTCTTGTTACTGCTGTTGTCTCATTAAAATGAAAAGCATATGAATGGAGCAATCAGTAGAGTAGAGAACAGAAAAAAGAGCATCTGATATAAACATTGATAAGCTAATGAATTTGGTTAGGGAGGGAGAGAAGAAAAATGTTAACAGAGGAGGAAACAACTCAGATTCATGGATGTGTGCATGGACAAACCAGGAGGAGTTTAAGGATATGGGCGTTGGAGGAGAAAGCGCGCCAACTCTCTCTCCAAAGACAGACTCAAAAGCCACCACCTTCAGAAACTAATCAAAACAAAAGAAGGGGCCGCAAGCGCAAAAGCCTGCTCCTAGACATCGCCGTTAATTCTGTTGCTTCCTCTACGTATGACAAGGTCTGTCTCCCCTCTTCTTTTTTACAAAAACTATTTTGCTCTCATACCATTCTTGAAACGATTAATAATTAATGACAGTGGACGGGATGGAGTTTTTACTTCATGCATCCTCGTACCTCTTTCTCTTTAGGTAGTTTATAATAACCCTGACAAGTTTGGATCCTGTTGGGTTTGGGACCAGATAGATTATTTTTTTATTATTCTTTATATTTTTTTTATGTATTTATCTATAATAAAAACTATTTTTTATATAAATTTAACAATTTAAGAATTTATTTTTGTGTATAAATGAAAATTATATTATGTTATTATTAAAAAAAAAAAGTTGGGGCTGGTCAGGCCCAAAAGCCCACCCAACGTGTCTCTCATCAGATAGGATAAAAGTCGGGATATTTTCGACAAGTTGACTTTTTGTTATGGTGTTGGGCTAGCTTATAGTCAGGCCCATGATAGATATTTGGGCAAATGGCTGAGGCCCTTTAATTGATTAAACTAGTAAAGGCCAGTAGCCCATTCAAGATCACCGCAGCCCACGCTTGGTTCGTAAGGTCATTCCTACGACAAACTGAAAGGTTCGGATTAGGATTTCTTGTGGGCCAGGAACAGTTTCTGAATACCTCAACTCAATTCCTTCCCATTCCTTCCTTGGCATATTGCTGCTGCTCTTTTGTCTTCAACCATTTTCTTTTCTTTAATATTGCATTCCATAAATAAGACCACCTTAGTAGCCAGCCAACACTCCTCTCAACCAAACGGTCCAACCCCACCCCACATGGCTATGCGTGGCTACCTTTCTTGATCATTCTGTCCTTGAAGAGCTTGATGAAGTAGGTGATCATGTCGATGATGGGGACATGCAAAATGACGATGAATTAGTACAAATACCCACAAGAACGCTATGAATGAAGTCGAACATGAACATGAACAGTCTCACCGGTAGTGTGGGTTATGTAGAGCAAACAGACGTATTTCAGGCCACATCACCATTTCTGCGAGCTCGTGCTTGTAGACTCTTGCCTCCATATTCAACCCTTGCTGCGAGTGGATTCTGCTAAGGGAGGTTCATCAGGGAACATTGGAGGAAGAGGTCTTCGAGAGGAGGGCTGTAAGAGAATAAAAAGTGGCAAAAGCCTCGTTCTGATAGGCTACCTAAACCAGTTCCTGTCGTTGCTGATGCTTCTCAGAATAAGAAAAGGAGATCGAGGTGGTTGCCGGCTGGGGAAGACTAGGGAAAGATATGCAATGACTGACATGAGAAAGCTAGCTAATAGGATGCAATTTGGTGTTCCTGAAGAGAGTTCATTGCGAGATGGACTTGGAGCAGGTTATGGAATGCTGGGTCAGGCTGGGAGTGGAAAGCTGATGGTAGCCGTGAGCAAATTCAAGACCAAGCATTGTGGGAGAAGTAGCAGTACTGGTGCTACAGCCTGGGGCTTAACTTCACGTCTGGCATTTAGTATTGCACAGGGGATTGAGCTCCACAAATCCACTAACTCATGTAGATCGGCGTGGCAGAGGAACTGAAAGTGTTTACTTTTCTGACTCTTTTCGAAGATCATGAGCAAGTAGACTGCGAGGTTCAAGTCAAGGGTTGATATATAGATTAGCATGATGAGTAATGAGTTCTTTATTTTCTTACTTAGATCGTCTTTTTTTTTCAATTCCTTCATGTTTGAATATTTTTATAATATTGATCACTTTTAAGAGGATATATTCCTGCATCCTATTTCTTGTGTATTTTACCCTTACTTGCTATTACCTGTTTGCAGGAAGACGAAAACCCAAAAGATGATGATGCTTTAATCAAAAATGGTCTGTTCTCAATTGAAATATATACAATATGCTGCTTGAGTTTCCAATCACTAATTAATTTGTCTTCTCTTTTAAGTTCCCTCTTATTAATTAAATCACTTATTTTCACAAGATCAACCTGCAAATTTGTCATTGCAACGAATGCCGAAGAAACAGACTCTGGAATTTATCCTCGACATCCTACAGAGGTAATTATTTTGGTGGTGTTCTTTTGTACTTTTACTCAAAGAAAAGAGTCGACTCCACTGCTTGAATCACATAGACGATCATATGAATAGGATACAGTTTTTTCTCTTGTCTCTCAACATTTCTTCTGATACAGGAGAGACAGACAAGAGATATTTGCACAGCCAGTTGACCCTGATGAGGTTCGTATTTGGTTCTTGTTCACTGTGAACGTAGACCTGAAACAACAAGCTCTCTCCCATCTGTGATGACGTTAATAGTATTTTTTTTTTTTTCCTTTGAAAGGTTGTTGGCTATTATAATATCATTAAAGAGCCAATGGATTTTGGAACAATAAGGGCTAAACTTCAGGAAGGATTGTATACAAGTCTGGAGCAATTTCAGGTAATGCTCCAAAATAAAAAATCTATCATCCTCTTTTTCTCCACGGCGCTTTCCTACACTGTACTTGCATGCTTCCATCTGCTACTAAATGTGAATATCCAAGTTTTTATTCCCACCAATATTGTTGTCTTACATTTTTTTCCATTCATTTCATACCCATATCTGTTATGATTATTGAAAGTAAACAAGCCTGCAAGCAAGTTTGTGAAACACAGATTCAGAGAAAGATAGTTATATGCATATGTTCCGTCAATAATATCATAAGATGATCTTGATTTCTTTGGATTATTCTGCAGCATGATGTGCTTCTCATATCCAGCAACGCAATGAAATTTAATTCATCGACAACTGTGTATTATACAGAGGTAAGCGTTGAAAGTTTTTATTGTGCAAAATGATAGCATGATGGTAAAAGAAGATATTAGGCATCTCCATTAATGCAACACTATGGTTTCCAGGCTCGTGCTATAAGTGAACTGGCTCAGAGGGTCTTTAATTCTCTGAGAAATGAACCAGAGAAATTTGAGCTGGAGCACTCGGGGATGAGAAGGCGTCCTGCTAAAAAAGGCCAGGGTGAAGCTGGAGGTATACTGAATAAGCTTGCTAAACTTGCTGGGAGCACAGGTGGTGCTTCGCTGAACAGCACCTCTCTAAACAGAGCTACCCAAACGCACCTTGCTTCAACCAGTCTAAATCCTTTCATTGACCATACGAATAATGAAAGGCCTTCTGGTAAGAGATAAACTGATCTACAACTGCTCCTTCTTTCTTGACTTAACATACTTGAACAACCATTTGAATGTTGTCAATATTATAAAAAGCACCTTTTGAGGATAATGAAGTGACATGTTCTGGTATGGCGATCCTAGAATGTGGATTCTGTTAGGAAACGAATCAAGCAACAAATAAAGTAAAAAGACAAAAGCAATCACAAGACAACTAGGGTTGCAATAAAAAAAGCCAAACAGTCTTATACAATGCCAAACGAGACCATTGTGCTGGCTCCATGTAACGTACTGAACTGCGAGCTACATCTATATCAGTCTCACGCACATGAAAATGATTCCTTAAATTCAAGTTCGTAAACTTACTGTGAGACCAGAATTTCATGAATTTCTGCCTTGAAAATTTTTATAAACTTTTAAACATCATGGATTATCCGTTATTAGTCCTGCTTAATGTTTGTTTTATCAATTCTGTAAAGCTTTCCCTTCTCTAACAAATTTCATGTTCTTCACGAGGAAAAAGATGTTTTTTCTCTTTTTCATTTTTTTCTTTAAAATTTTGCATAAATGTTTCAGGTGTTGCGTCTGCACATGTACGTGTTGATTTGCCTGTGCATCTTTGTGCTTATAAAGTATGTATGGAACCTTATATGGTTCAAAGAGAAAGTTCCAATGGCTCGAGAAATGAAATTTAGGAAACTTGCTTCTTATTACATGCTCCACAACATAATTTTGATCTTGAGTTGAAAATAATTAAAATACATGTGTTTTGCGTTGAATTAGACTGCTAAGTCCAATACTCTTCAACTATAGGTGAGGAAATAAGGACAAACAGGTTTTATAATTCAAGTGAACTATTCTAGATTGGTAAACAATAATGATGGTTGTGTGATTATGAATGTTATTTCCAATTTATTTGCATCAGTTTCCCATGATTTTTCAAGGGCACTAAACGGGTTTCTTCATTTCATTTTGGTAGGAATATGTCAAAAGATTTGAACAATTACTAAATTGAAACCCTTTTTCTAAATTCTCATCGTTTCTTTAGCAATTAGCACTGCTAGATATGCATTTATCTCCAAGGCCGTCTGTTTATAGAGTGAAAGGAAGCTAACACTATATACTTTCTACCTGCATTGAACAGGCTCAAGAGATGGTAGAAATTTAGACGCGTCTGAAACTGCTAGGCGTATGACATATATGCCTCAATCTTCCTCTCTCAGTGGCAACGGTTCGACAGTTTCTGCAGTCTATAATGCCCCAAAACTACTTAACCCGGTAAGTTCTTCGTACAATGTTGAGAATGCAACACTCATAGACAGGCACAAACGCACACACGAAGGAACAGGCAAATGCATAATATGTGAAAATACAGCTATCAGGCATGATTTGATACAGCATGCACACAAGAATTGGCCTAATCTACTTGTAAAACAATCATTCCTGACCTTTTGAAGTTCTGCTGGAAGAGGCAGGAAAATGTAGAAAAAGGGAACATATATTTTTCCTTTGTTCATGATGGGTTTGCTTCTGTTGTTTGAAACATCATGAAATGCAACTGTTTGTTTGTGGTTTCGCAACCATGTGTGCATGTCGCTGTTTACAAACACGAGCAAAATTCTAATTTTTTGAAAAGCTTGGCTTGGGGAAAAAGAATCCTCGGTTCATCCATTCTGTTAAATGTTGAGTTAATTTCGAGTGCCCCATGCGAAAGCTGATTATCTTATAATCTTTTCAATTTCGTAATCTTCATTGCATCCCATTCCTTAGGCCGATTGATGTGATTCGATGCTGCAGGTTCCAAATTCAAGTACCCGATACATGGAAAGTCTAAAGGAATTTGTTAAAGATTTGGGACCAACCGCTCAAGCGGTTGCTAACAAGAAACTAGGAAAACATCCAATTGAAACTCCAAGTGTCCTGTCCTGGAAGCCAACCTATTTTAGCCAGAAAACAGATCCTCCCGTCCCTGTATCATCTGCACTTGACAGGCCTGCTCGTCTGACCAGGGTTAATGATTGTCGTACGCCTCATAATAGTTTCAATTCCATCTCCCCTGGTTCTTACAAAGGAAAGATGGTCTGTCCCAATGGAGGTGTGAATGGTTATAATGCAGGAGAAATGATTCCTACTCGTAATTGCCTACCAGGGTTTAGAGCTCACCCCAACAATGGTGGAAGCAACAACTTTGCTTTGATGAGAGAAAAGGCTGTCAACACAAGCAAAAACATGGATGCTTGTGGTACTTCGGAAGCAAAAACGAGGGGCACCAGTGGCAATACGGATCTCCTGTTAGCAACTCTCATGCAAATCAGTGCTTTCCAAAATCGAAATTCCCAAACACCATCAGGTCATTTCCCTCTTGCTGGAATGTATCCTGCCCAGCCATCACAACTCATCACTGAGCCTCAATCCTGGCTGCAAAACAACAATTCAGACCCAATGTGCTTGTCTCCCCTAACTACAAAGCTTGCATCCACCAGTCAGGCGGCAACCACTTTGCCAGGGTTTGATTTCCAATATCCAATTAATGGAGAGGGGTCAAGCTCTGGTTCTGCAGCTGTACCAGTTAACCACAACTATGGAACTAAACCTGCTCAGGCTGTTCAGCTTCAACCAGCGGAAAGGATCCAGCCTCCGCCACCATGGGGTCAACAAGCAACGTATAATAATAATCTTCCAACCATGCGAAAGATGGTTAGTGAGCAGCAGATTCTATCAGCTGGACAGAGCTCATTGATGAGGCAACAACAATCACAGTTTACATCAATGCAAGCAATGCCAGTACGGTTCGGTACGCCAAACTTTGTTGAAGGAGCTAGTTCTCAAGCCCATCAAGCAGAGTCCAGCGGTCAGTACTTTTCGAAAACTCAACAATTAACCTTGGTGGACAATCAGCAGCTTGACCCTGATCTGGCTCTTCAATTGTGAGTTCAACATATTTAGAGGGTTCCTGTCCGAAATAAGAGACTGTTGGGTGTGTCCCAACAGATGTATGTATGATACATGCTTTTGTCTTCATTTCAAACTTGTTCCTTGCTTGCATCTGGCATGAAACTAGAAGGTTTTAAGTCCATGTTGTTTGATAATAAATGTACTGTTAGCATCTGCAGGTTGTTTTTATTTTTTATTTTGTAATTTGGTGCAATTCGGTACGTACGTAGTTTAGGGTGGAGATTGAATGTTGGAGTACAGCTCATGAAACCTGCGGTCTTAGGAGTGCAGTAGATGGGGAAGGAGTAATGGAGACAAAAAGGACATTAGTTGGCCTAATCAAACCTACCCACCTTATCCATCGTGTAGGAAATAGGAAATAGGAGTGGTGCCCTCTTCCTTTTTTCCACCTTAATTAATTAATATTTTTTATTTTTATTAGATATATTATTAGTAACGTATGTTATCAGTTTCCTGGCTAGCTTGTGCATTAATAACATGGAGTGCAACTTATAGTAATAATAATAATCTATTCGAAGGCATCATCGTGACTAGCCATTTTTAGGTTACAAATATTACTTCTGTAGAATTGTGTGTACATACATATCAAAGTATAGACTAATGTATCTAAGAGGTTGGCTTGCGGCTTCAAGTGAAGAGATTATAACTGCTTAAACAAGTTCGAATTTTTATTTTTATAAAAAATTTATCATGTAATTGTTTTCATTTTTTGTGTATGATCTAACGGTAAGAAATTAATCTGAATTTTTAAATATAAATAGGAAATAAGAAATAGAGGTGGTGCTCCCTTCCTTCTTTCCACCTTAATTAATTAATTTTTTTTTTATTATTATATATGTTATTAGTAGCGTATCTTATCTTATCAGTTTCCTAGCTTTCTTGTGCATTAAGAACATGGAGTGCTACTTATAGTAATAATAATAATAAGAAGAATCTATTCTAAGACATCATGACTTAGCCATTTTCAGGTTACAAATATTACTTCTTTTGTAGAATTGTGTGTATATACATATCAAAGTATAGACTAATGCATCCAAGAGGTTGGCTTGTGGCTTAACTTGAAAGAATTATAACCTTGTATAATTATCTTCATTTTGTGTGTCGGATCGAATCACGAAAAATTAATCTGAATTTTTAACTCTAAATATCTTGAGAATCGAAGAAAATATCAAACTAATGTATCTTTCATTTGACTTTTGTAAAAAGGATGGTGAATCCAAATGTTTGCTAGCAGATATGATTTCTTCTCAATGATTCTTTTTCCGACAATTTCAACGTGCTAGCTACCTATACTTAATTAATTCGTAAGGAAATCCCAGCAATTTCCCTTGCAAAGAAAGAAATGATAAATGTGTTATAAACATACTTTTCATACTAAATTTCTATATAAATTGATGATAAATAATGGATTTTATAAATAATACATGATTTATCTCTTACAAAAAGTTTAATAATAATTATTATTATTATTATCATCACGTACGTGTTTTTGTATTATAAGAAAAAAAAATTATATGCATAGCATGACGATTCAATTAATTCAACAACTGCTGTTAAAAAAAATGGCATTTCAGAAATTTAGTGGAATTTCGTCCATCTACTTAAGCCTAAATCACTACAATCTGATTAATTGGATGCCAATAAATAATTTGTATATAGTAAGAAGAATAATTAATTAGTACCAATAATTACGAATTTTTGGAAACGTTTTTACAGATTCATAAATAATGACACTTGTTCAGAAAGTTACAGCTCTCAATTTTCTTCTTTTTTCTGCTGTGACGGGAAAATCAAAACCTGAGCTGCCTAGCTAAGATTTGGCAGTACGTACCAACAGACAAAAGACACACCTCGGCATGCAATTCAAAATTGGATCCCGCAGTTCCTTGATTTCCCCTTCAAGCATTTTGTCCATACAGAAACAAGAACACATTCTCCCTTATATATACAGCAGGAAGTAAAACAAAATTTAGGAAAGGCAAATGATAAGGTTAGGAAATTATGGGCAGCTCTCTTTCTTGCCCCTGTGCCTCAGGGGAATCAGGAAAGCATGTCCTTGTTCTCAAACAAAACGGTAAGGCGATGAAAGTCAAGGAAGGCACACGCGTTAAAGAGATTCTAGCATCTAACCCACATCATGTGATTCTGAGATGCAGATCAGACCAATCGCTACTGGTGTTGCCGGATTCTATTGAGCTTCGGAGCTATGGGTTATACTTCATGGTTGAGGAAGGCCAGCAAGCTCTAGACAAAGACACGTTCTGCAGTCTGATGAAGTTGGCACATTCAAGAGGGATTGCAGGTCCTAAATCTCGCAACCACAAGAAGATGCCATCAGCCTGTAAAACTAGCATAAAAGATAGAGAAGACATTGGGCCTCAGTTCAACTCGGGTCAGATTTTTGCGTTGAACGAATGTGACATTGAGTACCAGAAATCATCGTCCTGGAGACCAGCCCTACGTACAATACCAGAGCTTCGCTCCCAAGAAGATTTAAAAGGTTAATGATAAAACCTAGGCATAAGTTCTTTTTTTTTTCTCTTCCTTCATTTGATCAATAAGCTTTTGTTTTACTTTCCTGTTCAACATATGTTGTCCCTAATCTCGATCTTGTAAAAAAAGATGGAGCATTGAATTAGAGGGGAAATCCAATACCCAATACGCCCCAAAAAGGGTAGCTCATCATGCGGTAAGAATAAGATACATTTGGCTTCTTTAAGCCAAGAAATCTTAAACTCGAGTCTCACCATTAGCTATTTTACAAAATAACATATGTATATTTATGAAGGTATTTTAAGTTTTAATTTCCCGATATTTAAAGTTTAAACGTATGCATATCACAGAAGCATTTCAATCTAACAATTTAACAACAATTAAACAGTTATAGATGAAGCTTTAATATGATTTATATCACAAGTATAAAAGACACGATATTCAAAAACTAAACTTTTTTTTATTCAAAAAAAAAAAAAAAAAACCTTCGGCCCACCAAAAGATTAAAAAAAGTAGCATGAAAATAAAGATACAAGAAGTCAGACAAAACAAAGTACACACGTAAGATCGTCTTGGTACATACATCTATAAAGTATAAACCACAATTGGCAAAGGCTGGGTCCAGTTCAGAGAACCCTGAAGCTCGTGATGGATTTTAAAATTAGCAAAACCAATTTTGTATTGGAAATTCAATCAAATGGGTGTTAGACACGTGCACATGCACTTCCAGACCTATCAATGAAGCAGCATGAGAGCTCATGCACACCTACAAGAACAATACAGCAAAGACACTCCTGGAATTAAGCACAATTATTAAGTACTTAGTAGTGATATAATATTTTTTATTATTATTATTACTTTAAAACCCAAAAACTACCGATCCTCGTATGAAATGCAATAAAAATTTTAAAAAGATTTTAGAGTGAGACGACAGCAAAACGCACGCCCCATGAATTCGATGAATGATATAAAATCCACTTCAATTGTACTTCCATCCTTTCTCCCAAGGAACTGCCTTATTATTGTCAGATCTTTACGCTTATTTTAACTCAGTTATTGTCGGATCTTTACGCTTATTTTAACTCAGTTACTGTCGGATCATTACACAAAAGCCACCAAATATCGATTCATTCAAGTACTTGATCAAAAATAAAATAAAAACTTCAAATATATTAATACACAAAAACGGTTTGATAATGCATTTAGATTGCGTTTTAAAAAATACAGTGCATCAATACATACAAATGTTTCATTTGATAACATATTTTAATTGAAAATGTATCAAATGGATGCTTTTTGTGGTGATTTTTAACGCTAAGACGATGCACTTGCACCTAGTGATGCTGCTAGGACTCGTACTGGTGAGGAATTATAGCATCAAAGGAAGAGGAGGGCAATAGATGGAGCATGGATAAGCAAGATGATAAAGAGTCTGTAGGGACCAGTCCCATCTCTCTTTTTCTCGCACCTTCTTGCTGACCATAAAATAAGCAATGGAATAAACAATGACACTTTTATGGAGAAACAAAACAGCACAGGCATAAAGCCATAAACTAGCTTCAAGTTCCAACCACATTAGGCTTTAAAGACTCTCGCTAGACAGACCACGAGGCAAGGCATTTAATGCATAAAATAATTACGACAACCGTCTCCCCACTTTCTAAAACAACGATATCCAAACCAACCACACAGTACTTCTTTGATATATAGGATTGGTGGAATCTTCAGGTCTCAGCTTTTTCGTTGTGTATTGTAATTGGCTTAACCTTTCCTGCCCATTTGACAAGATAACAACACAAATCTACCCTAGGGTTGGCTTTAGCTAGTTTTACAACTGGACAAAACCCATAAATAAGACACTACCAATTACATCACATTTCTATGCCCAGTCTATATAGCTCAGTGTTAGTCTATGTGTTGCTACTGGCCGCTACTTGGTCATCCACGAGATCACTAGTTTTTGCTACAGCTAGAAAGCAACAGGCAACTTGCATCATCATCGTACTCTGATGATTAGGACTACACCTATGTACGTATAATATCCAGTCCGGATACAAACAGGAGAGAAGCTACAAATGAACTCCTGTACATCTCATGGGATCATGATTACAAGATGAGAAAAGTAGAGGCAACGGCCAAGACGGTACAGAGCGTGAAGACAAAAGAATATTATTGTTCCTTTGCCAAATTTCCGTTAAATTCCAGCATCTCCATCCATTTATGATCAGCCAGCTCCTCTTGCGTAATGAATACAGCAAGACTTTTGACCGATGGACAATGATGGGATGCACCGCGGATTCCCATGTAATAACAAAGATGGGAAATTTAAAGAAGACTTGTATTCTGGATGATCATGCAATTTGCAGATATGATTAAACACAAATAGAAAAGAAAAGGTTGATCATTTATGATGAGAAAAATCGATGAATATCTTTCGAAGGTACTTACAAATTTTTTGAACATAAACATCATGCATTTGTTAAGATTGATTTCAACATTTCATGCTAGATCATTCACCATTATTAGGCTAGCACGGTTCTTCATCTGGTCAAAGTTTTCTAGCAAGCACAATAGCATCAATCCAAAATGTTAAAAGATGCACAGTTGGATAGGATTGTATGATTTGGTGGGGATTGAAAGCAATAAAAAACGGAGAGAGCAATATCGACCACAAACTCAAAATACAAAGAAACCTGCAAAACTTAACCTACAACATAAAATAGGTCAAAAGAATTCATTTCGAGAATGGTTTACAGTAGTCATGTATGCATACATTTTACTTAAGATATGCAAGGAAAATTGAGCAAAAGGATCAAATAATTAAGATGAGATCATGACACTACTAAATAAAGAGAGTCCTAACAAGAATTAATCTTTACTTGATTCTTGAACATGACAACGAAAATTTAACAAAAGGATTTTGTTTGATTAGATCGTGAATAAACGATTCAAGGGAGCTCCCTTCAGTCCAAGCACAGAGAAGAAAAGGATGAAATTTATCTCCCGCATCATTCACACATTCACAATAGCAGCCACTACTCCCTTAATTTCTACTGCGTTTGAATGAATGAGTCGGCAGCTAATCCAAACCCTTCGCCCATCCATGAGTGGACTAAAGAAAGCTCTCTTAAACCATTTTTCACGAATAGAAATTTTAAGTTGCGTTCTGAATAATAATTAAAGGTGATTTGAATATCAGAAATGTTTAGTTACTCGACAAAGAGATGAATATATGCAAACAGTTAATATCAATATGGCTAATTCAAATTATTAAAGCTTAAACACTCTTTTCAAGCTAAATCAAATTATGAAAGCACAATGATTCAATTTCACTATTGGATTTGCTAAATCAAAGAGGAGGATCTGCTTCTCAATTTCAAATACTAATGGAAATTAACTACTGCTACTAAATAGCAAATTGCAAGATTGAGAAAGCTTCTATGATGAGCACGAAATGCAATTCCTTGTTCATGAGATATATATTCAAGGTATCAAGAGTTGTTTCTCATATCCTATATAGAGTAATTAAAAAAAGTAACAAGTGGGAGAAAGAATAAACCGGCCATTTTCGAAGCTTGTTCAAGCCAATGACTTCTAGTTGCTGGCCAACAAAAAGAAAGGCAAAGGAGAAATACAGCAGCAACATAATTCTTCAAAACGTTTTCTACCAAGTCTTCAAACCTTCAAAATTAAGATATTGAAAGCAATTGAACCTGGAATAGTCCTATTAACCTGATGCTCTCATATATCAATGAATTAAAGGTTTCGAACTCAGCTATAGTAACACAAAATGGAAGTGATTCAAACAATTAGAATGTTGAAAATGTGGTTGCATGAACCCTAACCCTAAAGTCATGAGGTCTTTTACTTGTCAAGGAAAGGTAAAAGGTAATCAGCAAGTAAACGGGACAGCTCAATTGCCAAAATAGGAAAATCCGACCAAGCACTGGAACCTAGATTGCTGAAGAACTCAAAAAAACGGTGTCCAATATTAGATCAATTTAGGTTCAGATATTGATCATCCTTTATTTTATATGACAATCAGAGATCCACCCTGTTTTTTTTTTCTTTCCTTGTAGTAACTATACATAAGTTTCCATCAACAAGTCAACCTTAAAAAACCTAAAGATCATCTTCTCTTGAAACAAAGAGAGAACCATCTTGTTGTTAAGATATTGGAAACAGCATATATAGAACCTAATGGGGTTAGTTTAACGAAAGAAAGGTTTAAGTTTGCTTACCAAACCGATGTTCTGAGACCCCAATTAGCTTCATTGAGACTGGCCTTGCACCTTCTTCTATATCAAAACATCCAGTTCTTCCACAATGCTCAGCTTCAGCTGCACTTTCTTTTTTCTTTTCTTTTTTCCTTACTCTTTTTGGAAAATAAAAGCTAAAAAGAAAAAGAAAAAACACCTTAGTACTTACAGTCATGGTATGGTAGTGAAGAGTTAAGAGACTATTTATAGAAGGGAAAAAATAGAACGAAAAAAGTAAGCAAAGAAAGAAATGCATAAATCACGGAATATAATTAATTTGGAGCTGCAATAAAGGCAGCAGGGAGAGAGGGAAGAGGAAATGTCGCTGTCCTCATGCGAGTCAGAGAAGAGGTAGAAAGCGATTGAAGATCTCTACAAATCTGGCAAAGTTGCTCATTTTAAACATAAAAGAAAGAGAGATGAGCGCATGAGGGAGAGACATCTTTCCCTTTCCTTTGTTTTCTTTCCTTTACTTTTTCCACAGGCAATTTTTCAGGAGCTGTTGAAAGCTGTAGGTATAGAGAATGGAAGAGTCTCCATGAGCGGAAAGAAACAAGGAAATGCGTAATTATTTGGAGGATAATAAAGTGCTCTCTTCTCCTCTCTCTCTCTCTCTCTCTCTTTCCCACTCTTTCTGCTCATAAACAGGAAGTGACGCTTTATATACCACATATCATATCATACATGTGTGTATATATATACACACAAATCTACAAGGGAAAGGAACAGGCGGTGGGGTTCCTCTCTCTTTGATCATTCAATCAACTAAGCTTTGTCCTGTCCACTCTTCACCTAGCTAGCTAGCAATCTTTTAGAGGAACTCCTGGCGTAGGCATACACATGGACATCGGTAGGGTTTGTAGCAAGCTACTTATATGCTAGTTAAATTACATAAACACCCTTCTCCAAACGATTCATCTGTCCTCCCTTCTCTGCTGCTCATTGGTTGTCATGGTCCTCTCCACATTCGATGGAAGTTTTTTTTATTATTATTTATTACTCGAGCTTCTTTTATTTAGTAACCTCGTGTTACGGAACATTATTTTTAACCATAAGGTAAGATTATTGTTTTCTTTTTCAACTATATGAAATTGAAAATAGTCGGATATTACAATTGTTCTTGACTTAGTCGTTAAGTCTAGAGATTGAGGTAAGTGGTTGATGGGGCAAGGGATCATTGTCGGAAAAATATCATAGTTGGAGTAATTTGGAATTTACATGAGTTTGAAGTGAGAAAAATCTTCATCCATTGACGTGATATTTGTTCTCTTTTCAGCTGTTGTTTCCTATTGGATTTATCATTAAAGAAATGAAGAGAAAACATTTAGAATGACTCAACACAAAAGAATTAATCTTGTTCTTGATAATTGAATAATAAAAATTAATTCAAATAATTAATAGAGTATGATAAGATACGGATTAACATTCGTGTATATTCAAAAAATAATCATGTTTATCCATTTAGTACGATCATAAATATATATATATATATATATATATATATATATATATAAACATGACATTTTATATAAGGTATGTCATTTTATATAAGATATGTTTCTTGAAATTAATAATCATGACTCCCTTATTTTCTATTCATATAGATACAGCATATATATCAAGAAGTATGTGGGAAAAAAAAAGTTTTATATAAAAAAAAAGTGTTTAAAAAAAAATTGCCACAAAAAAATTAGGAATGTAACTTCAAGTTGGGTGTTCTACTGAACTTAGGAAAAATAAAATACATATTATATGTAATATTTGTGTAATCTGATAAATTTTTATTTAAAACACATATTACATGTAAATTATATCAAAACGAGTATTAAAAAAAAACTCCAAATATTTTATTTGCGAAAGTGTCAAGTTTGTCATCTCATCTGTTCTTGGAAGGGAAGAGATTATCCATTTCGTGGAATTTTAATTCCAAATATTTTATTTGCAAAATTATTCTAGTACGTAATGGCTGAGGAAATTGATTCCAAAAGCAAACATATCATGTGATTTTATGTCTTTTTGTGTATACAAAAACAACAGAATGTTTGAAGCTGCTTCCATTTCATGCCAATTACCTATATATATATATAGTAGGCCTTATCAGCATCGCCGTCAGAACCACCCATGTTTGTTTGTCTGGGAATAGTGGCCACCGCCATGCTCTACCAACCACCAATATCAATATTTTCTATATTCATTCCCTTATTTTCCACAAACTTGGGCAAACTAGCTGGCCTATATAAATTAAAGCAAATATATATATTTCAACTACTTTGATTTAAAAAATATAGCAAGTCTCTTCGATCGCATTGCATTCATCGATCTTACATTTCGTGTTCGTTCTCGTAATTTAACAATTAAATGTATTTCAATGATAGTTTAATTTAAAAAATAATAAATTTAATTTTAATTGATAAAAAACTAATCTGAAAATATTTAATACCTATAAATATAAAGAAAAATAAAAAAAAATACCTCAATTATTTTTTTTTTAACAATTCCATCATCGAGTAAACATTTGCTTTGGCTATAAGGACAAAGGAGTAGTCGTGTGTGAATCTTGGAATTAAGATTTGGTTTTGAACAATTGATTGTGGGTGCCATGCATTTACTGGCCAATTGATGTGATGTTTCGATCTTGTTTAAATTCATATAATCATAATCTCAAGTCCTTCCAAAACAGAGAAAAATAAATGGGGATCGACTAACCAAAGCTGGATTTGCTCGTACTTATTTGAAAAAACTAAACAGATCTTTGAAATTCTTAAGCTAAATCTTTGAAATTTTCTATATAATTTCTTCATAATCAATTTTACGCCCGATACTATATTTATATCCAAAATCCCATAATTTTAATTTTAATTTTAATTTGTTCCTATGTTGATTATTAATTATCACAATATTTAATAAAAATATAAAATTATTCGAAAATAAAATTTAGTTTCAATTGATGATTAAAGTGGTTAGAAAATATTTTTTATAATTAAATAAAAATTAATAATATTTTTATATAACATGTTACTGAATGTAGAGCCGTCGTATTATATTTACGACATGGTATGTATAATCAATAAATATGTATCGATAGATTTACAGATGTGGTAATTAGTAGAACAAAATACGATGTGATGTTGACAAAAAATATATTGATTTAAACATTTATATGTACATGAAAATATATATTAATCTCATGTCTTTTGATAAACTTTAAGTATTTATCTTCATTTTTTTTAGATTTTGTTTATTTTACTTTTGTTTGGGAAAGATCCATCTTTGATTATACTGTTTTCCCTTAGGATCAATTTTTTTTTATATATAATTTTTTTAATTTATTTTTATTAGAACTCTTGGAACAATTTTACATGATCATTAAGTTCTTAGAATGACTATGCTGTTGCTACGAAAAATTATATGATTTTTATGCTACTTGTTCATTATGCATTTTATAGTCATATTGTTTTCTCTAATTCCTATTTATGACTAATTTTTATTTCAATTTGAAAGAATTATAATGTACCACGTTTAATCAACTAATTTATGTGCTCAACCATGACGTATTAAAAATTAAAAAATATATATTTTTCTAAACTGACGGAATCAAATCAAATTTGGGAGTAAAAAGGTATGTAAGTTCCATCTTTAAAGCTACATTTTAATATTCTCTAGAAACAGTTGTGTCGAATCGTGTCCAATCGAAGAGATTCGTTCAGGATCTTTGATATTGATATTAATAGATATTTACCTTTCAGGAGATTGGAAACCATGACCGTGTGGCATTGATTTCCATGCTTTACTATTCTTTAAAAAAGAAAAAAAAATCAATTTTTTTGCTAAGCATTCACCCAATTCTCTGAAACCACCGAATACTGAGCACATAAAAACAAGAGAAAATCCTTAATCGAGATATTGAGAAATTTTGGTTAAAATCTTCTATGCATCTTTCTATTCTTGATTTTGTATTATTTTTTATCACTTTTATTTCTTTTAATGCCAACCCTCTGCTTTTAAAATCGTCATTGTTTGATCGTAACCAAAGTAATCTTTTCATCATCTAATTACCGGTTCTATATATTGACACGTATTCACTTCATTCGATATATATTGAAAAAATATATATGTACTTATTTTAAATCCTATATTCATAAAAAAAAAAAAAAAAGTTAGGCATTGAAAAAAAATATTAATAGGTGGACACTAAAAATATAACTTTCTCAAAAAAATTATCTCAATTTTCTCACATCAAATGTCTATCCCCTTCTTATGCTTTTATATATTTTTTCTTTATTATAGATAGATTTCATGCATTTTTCGTATTTTCGTAATCTTTATATATAATTTTTCAAAACTTTCTTTTTGATATTGAAAGTCATTTAATTTTAAATTTCAAAAACTTCAACAATTTTAATAATGTATTTACTTTTTAATTTAATTCACATTTTACTTATTGTCTCTATAATTATAGTCATCGCTACAAAAATTATTACACCGTAAACGCACAATTAAAAAAAATTAATTGCTAAACTTATTAATGTCATTCTATCCTATTTCAGCTTACTATAAGAAGTTCAATAAGTTATTGGCTACAGCAAGCTTATGTCACCTATGATATGCTCGATCAATTTTCTCCCGGGACAAAAAAAATTATTTTTTATAACTTTCTCAATTTATCAACCATTTGCTCCGCAAATAGCAATAATAATTGGATCTTATATACTTTTTATTTTTTCTAAAATTTAATCTTAATTATACTTTATATATATTTGGATTAAATAACATAATTTAAAATTTGTCTATATAAGTAAAAAGGGTTATAATTTTTTAAAAGTAATTTTTAACCGATACGGAGTATTAAAAATTATCATTGATAAGTAAAAAAAAATACTGTGAGCATGATATGAAAAATATTTATTATAAATTGTTTGACTAATTTTGAAATCTTGAGATAATAAATTTCTTCAAAAAACTACATTTTTTGTACTCAATCGTTAATTTTTTTCTATTTAAGTATCAATAACTACACGAGAATATGAGATGGTGACATGGTAGGTTTTACTACCATTGTCATGAGATAGGGGTTGACTCTAACATGATAGATCTCCCGAAACACGTCAGCAAAATTAAACTTAAGGTGAACTCACGTACCAAAATAAACAAAAAATCAAAGCTTCGATAGCAAATCATGAGAAATCAACGGCTAGACAAAAAATAAAAAATAAAAAAAATCAAAGGTTGGACACCAAAAAATTCTCTCTCTCTATATTAAATTAAATATAAAATATAAAATTTCATCTAATCTAATAATTTTTAATAAAAAATTTTTATTTGATTTTTTTTATAGGTTTTTTAATAAATTTTATTGCTAAAAAATATGATTTGTTTTTCATGATGCATTCATTCTTAAATAAAATTATCATTGATAAGTAAAAAAAAATATCACAAGCATGATATGAAAAATATTTATTAGAAATTGTTGGACTAATTTTGCAATCTTGAGTAATAAATTTCTTTAAAAAACTACATTTTTCGTACCCAATCGTTGATTTTTTTCTATTTAAGTATCAATGACTACACGAAAGTATGAGGTATTGACATGGCATGTTTAATCGCCACAAGGTAGGGGTTGACCGCCACATGGCATATCTCCCCAAACACGTCAACAAAATTGGACTTAAGGTGAACTTACGCACCAAAATAAACAAAAAATCGAAGCTTTGATAGCAAATCATGAGAAATCAAAGGTTGGACACAAAAAATCTTTCTCTCTCGTATTAAATTAAAAGTAAAAGATAAAATTTCATCTAATCCAATAATTTTTAATAAAAATCTTATATTTCATTTATTCTTTTTTACATTTTTTTTTATAAATTTAATTGCTAAAAAATATGATTTGTTTTTCATGATGCATTCATTCTTAAATAAAGATCTATAAAAATATAAATAGATAATTTAATATAAGATTTTTAAAAAACATCTTAATAATTTTTCATAACATTATATTGAAGAAATAAAGCAACAATTAGTATAAAAACTTATATAAATATTAACTAACAAATATTTTTTAACTTTTTGAATATATATATAAATCAATAATGTTAGAATAAAAGATGTGTTTAAATCATTAGGTGGTTCTTAAAAAATATCGTTTCAATTATTTTATTTAAAAATTAATAGCAAATGGTTAATGTTACATGTCTAGGTGTATAATTAATTTATAATAAAATCAATAATATATATATATATATATATATATATATATATATATATATATATATATATATATATATATATATATATATTATGACCATACTTGATGGTTGAAGAAGGTCCAATATAAATAAAAATATATATTTAAAAAAAACATAAGTTGTAAGGAATATATTGAAATTAACAAAGTACAATAAAAACAACTAAAAAATTTATTCGATAAAATTTGATTATATCAACAATAAGCAAATAAAATACTTGAATTCTATTATTTAATTGATAACTTATTAAAAAATTAACACATAGAGAAAAATAAATTATATTTATTAATAAATAAACTTACATAAAAAAACAGAAAATAAGAATTTAATTTGATGAGAATTTTCATGAAAATACGATAACTTAAAGAGATTAATTTTAAACAATAAGAATAATGTAACCATATATATATATATTAACATCTAAAAACATGAGAGGCTAAAAATATCTTCTGAAAAAAATAGGAAACCAAAAATATTTTTTTAAAAAATGAGGGATCAAAATGGAATGAATTGAAAACACGTGGTGCTAAAACATATATTTTAAAAATGTGAGGGACCAAATTTTTTTTTTTGGAATATCAAGGCTAAAATAGAATATAATGTAAAATTTACGCATGATTGTTCAAAAATTACTTAAAAAAAACCATCATAAAAAGTTATAAAACCCACCTCTCAATGAATAGTAATTTACGAGAGAATAAAAAGTGAATACTATTTATTTTCTCAATCCTTTTTACTATTTTTTTTACATATAATAGTTCAAAAACAACAAAAAAATTATGAAAATGCCACAGTAAAAAGTCTCAAAATCTCCCACCTAATGAATGCTGAATAAATAGTGATTTATGAGAGAATAAATAATTATTATTATTCATTTCCTCCATCTCATTTAGTGTTTTTTTTTTTTTTTTTAATTTGGGTTTCATCGTATTCCTCTCAGCTTTTAGAGTTTATTAAAAGTGATTTGGAATTTCAATATTAAAAATTAATAGATCGAAATCTAGTTCTAAAAACAAGTTTTGAAAATTGATTTGGTTTTGCATACTTTAAAAGTTAATTAATATATATTTTGAGGTTAGAAATAGATTTTTCAAGGACTTCAGGACGCCTTTAAGGTGTTTGAAAAAAATAATAACAATAGAAAAAAAAGTTTTTGAGTTGTTGTCCCGGTAGGTGTAGCACTCCAACGACCATGGGAGTCTATTCGATTCAACGATGTCGTTTTGCACGTCTATTTTCTCTTAAGAATACATCAACGATGTCGTAAAATGAGAATTAATTCGTGGATTTCTAAACATGAAAACCAAGATGACGTGCTTTAATCCAGCTATAGCTAGTGGACAATGGCAGCTTAGCTGACCTGTTCCTGAATGGAACATATTAATTGGGCTTTTATGATTGTGGGTGGGCCGAATAGTAAAGATTAACATTTAACAGAATGAGACTAAAGTCCACTTAAACAACAAACTAAGGCCCAAATGGACAGTAGAAGCCCAAATATAATGCTAACGCGACTTATGGAAAATGCGAGACTTCACACTATCCATGTAAGAAACTCATCATATGTCAGATAAATAACAAAATAAATTACAGGATACACGTTGATAGAGTGAGTTTTTTCCTTCATTTCATAGCGAAAAGTTGGAAGTCTTATCTTATAGCATAAAGCTTCTAACACCATTGCCGGCTTTCACTTCCTTGTAAATCTCAAGCGCCTCCTCCATTACTTCAGCTTTCTTTAATAACTTTGCTCTCTTAACTCCAGAAGGATGAGTTGAATCAAAAGATTCAAAACCATCATCCTCATCACCTGTAAGTAAATATACGTCCGGTGCAATTCGAGGATCATAGCCAGCTGATGCCATTAACATTAATCCAATATAATCTGCTTCTGCTTCCATCCTGGTCAAGGTAGGGGAAATGGAAAATGACATTACAAAAACTGATGAGAGTATAACTATCTAAGCATCATCGCTCGAAAGTGCAGCAAATTTACAACCTACCGAAAATTGCTAAACTGAAATAAAAAGTATCCCTAAAGTACATCCATATGACTCTTCGAGGCCTTGTTTAGTAGATCATAGAAAGCAGATTCCTTTTTCTACAAAGCCTATTGTGTTTTACCATATAATCGGGCTATTGAATCAACTAAGAATTCCAAATTTGTGACTTTCTTTGAGTGAATGATTACAGCAAGGTCGTATGCTTATCTTTAAAATAGCATAGACTAGACAAGGTATTAATTAACTAATTTGGCATATATAAATTGATGGTTATCGGAAATATTTTTGCTTAAAATCCTTAACTTGAAGATGAAGTAACAGTAATATTGGCAAAACTAATAGCCCAATACCTTTTAGCACAGAAGACAAGAAATATTTACCTTCGGGAAATAAATTTTAGTATCATAAACATTGGCCATTTGCATGTTGGGAAATTAGCAGCAAGAGAAAGAAAAATGATCAAGAACCAGGCAATAAGTATCCAAATAATCTCTTCTTCACTATGTCGAGCTATAGCATGGCCAATCTAGACAACATGAAAATACACACATGTTAATAACACGATTCAATAATAATTTTAACAAATAGAAAGATAAGAGAATCCATAAAATTATCAGACTAAACATACTTCATGTCCAATAACAGTTGCTATCGCTGCATCCGAACTAAGATCATCCAGTAACCCTCGATAAAGAACGATCTTACCGGAGAAATACTCAGCATTAGAAACTTTAGAGTCATGTACATAAATTTCCCAGTTCATTCCGTTCAAATGGTCGGTAGCGGATTTACAAATAATTTTTTGAGCATACTTTGGACAATGTTGAACTGCACTTTTGCATAAAATCTGATCCTTGAAGGCCATGTTGCCTATCCTTGCCGATAAAGAATCTCTAGCTAAGCTATCCCATCCATATGCATGACCATTAATTTTATATTGTTTGTCGAGCATAAGTCCTTTGTTCATAGCTTCAATTATCCGTCTGCCAATAGACTCTACGCGAATAGCTATAGGATCTGATGCTGGCAGTAGTTCATCTTCGAGTTCTTCCATGTCGGTTCCCCACACATGTTCTTCCACTTTTTTAGCAACTTCGGGGCGCAGTGCAATATGGAGCCTCCTTGAATACGGTATCCTCTCCACCCTCACAAAGCAAGCAGCAAACAGTACGGCACAAGAACCCAGAATCAGTAACTTTGGAGAACGTTTCCACCATATTACCGGCAAAGACAAAGCCCTGGGAGTGGGAGGTAGGGTAAGAAGGTATGGTTTTTTACGATAAAACCTCTTTGCAGCAGAAAGAAAACCTTTCGAAGGCACATATTTTGGTCCCATCAATAAGCACATCGCAGTAACATTAGTAAACCTAGTTAAGCTATTACTAGGTACTGAAAGACTCTGTTTTACGAATCTGCATATCGGATCACGGAGTGTAAACTCCGATTGAGCTGCCACAATCTGGGAGAAGCATGATCCGTACGTAGGGAATACGCGCAGCTTTGATCTTAAAAGAGAGACAACCATGATAGACCCTTCTTTGAATATTAATATTGTATAAACAAGCACTTGAGTTACATATACAGAGAAAAAAATCAGCAATGTGCACAGTGGTGAAAGTAGAAGTTTTTTGTGGGCGCCTCACAAGTTATTTCAGGATGCTTGTCCCTGCAAACAAAGGAAATATATAGTATCCTGATTTGGTGTATATTTTTATTAAGCGGGAGGGGGCAAAATCTTTTAATCTTGCGGAATTTGTCCCTGCAAACATAGGAAATAATATCCTGATTCTTGTCGGTCAAATCCTACCGACGCCTCGCAGTTCATTGTAAAACAAGGTTAATGATGTCTTGAGGAGAGACAGAGACATTGGTCGAAACAAAGGGAAATTAGGTTTTGATTTTCTCTCCTGATGAACTCTCTGATCTCATCTTCGATGGTTCTGTCCAATAATGTCCGGGACTCCAGACCGTGCAAGTTATCTAGAAAAGGATCAGCTTCTGGACAGGATCAGCTTCTTTTGTCCAGGTAAATTTATTCTTCTATCTATCTATCTATCTTTACTGCTTCTCGAATGTATCTATCTATCTATTTATCTTTACTACTTCTCGAATGTTTTTATCTTTCAGAACTCGTGCAAAAGAAATTGTAGTGAATATGTCGAAGATGAATGGGGTGGAACGATTTTAGGCTGTATTAGTATATGATTAAATTTTTATTAAGACATAGATAAAAACCAACTTATTGGTTCTTCATTGATTTAATCAGATTGTTAAGTTGTTTACCATTGTATGATGTTGAAAGTGTCAGCTGGGTTCATGTCTGCAGAAGAGTACACTACTAGAAAAATTGAAATTACCGACAGTTGTTTTACAACAGACTAAAAAACCATCACAAAAAACAATTAATTGTGATGGTTTTTATACAGCCGTAACTAATTTCTTTTTAAGACTGGAATTTAGAAACCGTCACTAATCCAGTCAAAAAAGACTCAACTTAGCGACGTATTACGTAAATTGATAAAAAAAGACTGAAATTAGCGATGGGTTACGTAAATCGATTGCCAAGCGAACAAATTAATTTGGAATTAGCGACTATTTAACTAAACCGTCGCTAATTTCAAAAAAAATTGATTTTAGTGAAGATTTATATAAACCATCGCTAAAATCTCTTTGTTTCGAGGATAATTAACGACGGTTAATAAAAACCATTGCTAAATCCTTTTATTTCCCAAAGCCAATTTGGGGAGAAAATTTGCGATGGTTTTTAACGGTTTTTGTCATAAAAAACCATCGCAAAATGTGGAAACTAGCAACGGTTCTTCTTTTTTACTGTTGGAGGGAAAATGGTCATATTTTGAAAATTTTAGTTCATTAGTAATGGTTTTAGCGACGGGAAAAAAACCATCGTTAAAAAACTTAATCTATAAAACCTACCGCTCGCATCTTTTTCCCCCAAATTTTCCGACTCTCCTCCTTCTTCCAACGACTTGCCTCCAACTCCCTCTAAATCTCCTCATTTCTCTTCTTTTCTTCTTCCTCTCTCCTCCTTCCTTTTCTTCTTCTTTCTCTCCTTTCCGCCTCCTCCCTTCACTCCTTTTCTTTATAGTAGTAGCTCCTTCACGGTAACAACAACTCCTCCATGGCAACAACCTCTTCTCCTTCTTGGCAGCAGCTCCTCTTTTGTAACCCATTAAGTTTTTTTTTTCTATTTTTTTGGATAATTTAATTTTTCGTTAATTTTTGTTGTTAATTATTCATTAGTTAATTGTTGTTGATAATTGTTTAATTGTTGTTGGTAATTGTTAATTTTTATTTTCACAAATAACTTTCCTTATATATATATATTAGGGTTAGGTGCAAAAGAATCGAATATGTTTCTCGGACCCTTTTTGATTAATTTCTTTTAACATTTTTAATAAGAGAATATTTGATGTGATTTTCATTTTCACAAGTAACTTTCTTTATCCTATAATATGTTTATATGTGTAAACTTGTCACACGAAAAGCATTTTCACAACTTCACCACTTAACGACGATAGTATAGAATAGAGAAAAATGGAGATTGATTAGGGAGCTCTTAAGGTTAAAGAACCTATTAATGATAAGGAGGTAACGATTGCAAATTTGTTGTTTGTGCAAATGCAATAATCACTCGTTGATTGTTAGCAATTGCTTCCAATCAAGTTGGGACCAATTGAAAAACACAAAAGAAAAAAAAAATTGGTTGAAGGGAAAAATGACTTGGGAGAAGAAAAAACTTTCTCCTCTATTTTAATGACGGTTTAAGAAATCGTCGCTAATTCGATAAAACAAGATTAAAATTCACGATAGTTTACATAAATCAATCGCTAAGAAAACAAATTATTTTAAAATTAGCTACGATTTAACGAAACCATCACTAATTCCCAAAAAAATTGATTTTAGTGATGGTTTACAAAAATCGTCATCGAAATCTCTTTGTTCCAAGGATAATTAATGACAAGTTAATAAAAACCATCACTAAATCCTTTTATTTCCCAAAGCCAATTTGGGAAGAAAATTTGTGATGGTTTTTTTGTAATAAAAGCTGTCGTAAAATATGAAAATTAGCGATGGTTTGCAAGAACTGTCGCTAATTTTTGATCGTTAGAGGGAAAACAATCATATTTTGAAAATTTTAATTCATTAGCGATGGAACCAAAATCGTCGCTAAAAAACTTAATCCCTAAAATCTACCACTTACATCTTTTTCCCTTAAATTTTCTTTCTCCCCTTCCTCTTCTTCTAAGCATCTGCACTTCGAAATTTCTTCCCAATTTCTCCAACAAAATCTTGCCTCCAGCTCCCTTTAAATCTACTAATTTCTCTTCTTTTCTTCTTCCCCTCCATCTCTTCCTCTTTCCTCCTTCCTTTTCTTCTTTTTTCTCTTTTTTCCTCTTCCTCCTTTCACTCCTCTTCTTCGTGGCGGCAGCTCCTTACAAGAACAACTCTTTCACGACAAGCAACCTCTCCTCCTTCTTGGCAGTGACTCCTCTTTGGTAACCCATTTAAGTTTTTATTTTATATTTTTAAATAATTTATTTTTTTGTTAATTGTTGTTGTTATATATATATATATATATATATATATATATATATTAAAAGAATATTTGACGTGATTCTCATTTTCACAAGTAACTTTCCTTATGCTATATTATGTTTATATGTATGAACTTATCACGGAAAAGCATTTTCACAACTTCAACACTTAACAAGATAGTATAGAATAGAGAAAAATGAAGATTGACGAGGGAGCTCTTGAGATTCAAGAACCTACTAATGATGAAGAGGTAACAATTACAAATTTGGTTTTTTTGTGCAAGTGCAACAATCATTGCTTATTGTTAGCAATTGCTTTCAATCAAGTTGGGACCAATTGAAGAGCACAATAACAAAAAAATTGGTTGAAGGCAACAACGACTTGGGAGAAGAAAAAACCTTCTTTTTATTTTAACAACTCGTTTCTAATTCGGTAAAAAAAGATTGAAATTCATGACGGTTTACGTAAATTGGTCGCTAAGCAAACAAATTAATTTGGAATTAGCTCTTTATGCCAAGAACAATTAGCGACGATTAAGAAAAATTGTCACTAAATACGTTTATTTCCCAAAGCCAATTTGGGAAGGAGATTTGCGTAGGTTTTTTGTGATAAAAATCATCGCAAAATATGACGTTAGAGATGATTTGTGAACCGTCGCTAATTTTTGACCATTAGAGGGAAACGGTCATATTTTGAAAATTTTAGTTCATTAGCAACTAGACCAAAATCTTCGCTAAAAAAATTAATTCCTAAAATCCATTGATCGTATTTTTTTCTCTCAAATTTTCTCTCTATTTCATCTTCTTCCAAGCAATTGCACTTCGAAATTTCTTCCCAATTTCTCCCTTAATCTTGCCTCCAACTCCCTCTAAATCTCCTTATTTCTCTTTTTTCTTCTTTCCCTCAATCTCTTTCTCTCCTTTCCTCCTTCTTCCTTCACTCCTCTTCTCCGTGGCGACAGCTCCTCCACGACAACAACAGACTTTTTCATGGTAGCAGACCTCTCCTCTTTCTTGCGCAGACTCCTTTTTGATAACCCATTTAAGTTTTATTTTTGAATAATTTAATTTTTTGTTAATTGTTAGTTAGTTTAATAGTTAACTTTCCTTTATATATATATGTTTCGAGATTATTTTTGATTGATTTCTTTTAACATTTTTAGTAAAAGAATATTTGACGTGATTTTCATTTTCACAAGTAACTTTTCTTACCCTATATTATGTTTATATTTATGAACTTGTTACATGAAAAGCATTTTCACAACTTAACCACTTAACAAGCATAGCATAGAATAGAGAAAAATGGAGATTGACGAGGGAGCTTTTGAGGTTCAAGAACCTATTAATGATGAGGAGGTAACAGTTGCAAATTTATTGTTTGTGCAAGTGCAACAATCACTCGTCGATTGTTAGCAATTGCATCCAATCAAGTTGGGACCAATTGAAGAGCACAAAAAAAAAGTTGGTTGAAGGGAAAAGTAGCTTGGGAGAAGAAAAACCTTCTCCTTTACTAACGAGTAAGTCTCATTTTCTTTTTGTTGAAAGATCGAGCAACTAGAGGGTACTCGTTGCATCATTCTTAGCTATTACAAATGAGTTGAAAGCAAGTATACTCGGAAGCAACATACGATGATGTAGCAGATGTTGTTGGATATGCACCGAGGCAGCTTCATCCATTGATCCTCCGATCGACAACCATACCGATCGCTTTTAGCTTTTATGTTTTTTTTTTGAACTATTAACAAACTTTAAAATTATTTCATAATTTGATGTTTTAATATATATTTCATTTTATTAAAATTTATATATTATAATGGTTTTCTAATATTTAAAAATCATATGTATAGCCTTTTTTTAATTGTTAAATTGGAATAGCTTAATTTCAAATTTTCAAAATTAAAAAAAAAATTGGAGAAATTTTGAAATAAAAATTGCAAATTTTTTTAAAAAATTCAAACGGATTTAGCGATCATCTTAAAAAATAGTTGCTAAATCTTTCGCTAATTTTGGATAATTTGCAACGATTTTAGTGACGGTTTTTTAAAATGGTTGCAAAAATGTCCAAAATTAGCGACGAATTTGACGTCGGTTTTTTTTAAAAGTCACCGCTTTGTCGAAAATTAACAATGGTTTTTTTCTATTTTAGTGACGGTTTTTGTTGCTAAATTAGCAACGGTCTTAAAAAACGATCATTAAATAATTATCGATAAGCTTTTTCATCGTTAATTAATTTTAAAGAAAGTTTTTAATAATTAGAGATAGTTTATACCATCGCTAATTGTCATTGTTTTGGTAGTGATATAAGAGCGACAAGACAATTTAATTCGACTAAGCCTACAACATTTATGTCCCGTCCTTAAGTTCCAAATCTTATAATTCAGCTACGGAGGTCGAGGCTCGTCTTGTCACTTTCATTTTAATGGCGTTATCAATTACTCTATTCTAATCATCAATTATCAGTATATTTGTGTCATTAATTATTATTAGTTGCAAACTATTGGTGTTGTGGGGGTTGGTTTGGTTCTATTTGAAATTTACTAGCATTTAAGTAAATAAGTTAATCAAATGCCCAAACTCCCCAAAAAAATCCATTCACTAAGCATAATGAGAAAAGAAAAAACCTTTCAAACTCTTACATCAAACTTAAATATCTACGTAATTAACTATTGCTAACTCTTATGAATATTTGACTTATACAAATAAGATTACTCTAAGATGCTTCTTATATTCATGTATTTTTTTAATATGAAAATAAAAATATCAACAAATTCGTGCTTCATGATTTCATATTTTGACTCATTTGGTTTAAAAGAGAGTCCGCTTACTTATCCAAAAAGGAACATCTTAAGTGGGCTTTTTATTATCGTGGTGGGCCTAATAGTAAAGGATTAGCAGGATGAGACCGAAGTCCACTTAAACAATAAACTTAGGCCTAAAATGATACTAGAAGCCCAACTATAATGCCGACAAGGACTCGTGGAAAATGCGAGACTTCACCCTTCCCGAGTGTGGATGCGGACAAGTGGCTTTTAGATTTTTTTTTTTTTTTTTTTTGTGGAGAAGATGCATTTTTTATTTTTATTATTATTTATTTTTTTAAGTTCTCGAAAGCTTCATATACCTTAAACTATAGAAAGAAGGATGTTCCTCCTTCAACCATAAGAGATTGGCACAAGCAACAAGGACTTGATACCAAGGGGTTTACTCTCCCCGTGATCTCGGGTTCGAGTCCCGATTGTTCTCCTCGGTGGTCACTTGAGGCTTATATGGTCGTTAACTTAAGGGCTCGTGAGATTAGTCGAGATGCGCGTAAGTCGATCCGGACACTCGTGTTATCAAAAAAAAAAAAAAGAGATGTCCTCCTCCTCCTCCTCATCTCAAAAATTACATTATAATTTTAATTTTGAAACCAAATAATTTTTGTATCAAACTTTATTATCAAAATGTTTAGAAATTCCTTTCATTTTAAAGAACTTTCTTCCCTATTTCCATTTTTTTAAATAAAAAAGTCATTTATTAAAAAACTTAACATTTTTATCACAAATGTTTAATTGAGAAATCAAAATAATTTAAAAGTAAAATTGACAAATAATAATAATAAAAAAAGGTTGGGAGAAAATCCATACTAGGGGTAGTGCACAGTCCAAACGCTACCGACCGAGGAGTGGCATGGATACAAGAGAAACAAATGAAAGTGGTCAACGGATCTTCTTTACATTAACATTTTTTTTTTACTGGCTGTGTTTGGTCTCTCTGTCATTGTAATAACTGCTTCTTCTTCCATTCCTTTCTTGGATTCTAGTGCATCAATCCATTTTCAGATATACGATAGAGAAAGGAAGAAATAAAGAATTAGGGGTTTCTGATTTTGGTTTGATCAGGTAGAAGATTAAGAAGATTAGATCAGAAGCCTATTACTCCATAATTATCTCTAGCGACTATGGCATATAGAAGAAGGCAGCAGCAGGAGACATCAAGCACAAGCAGCAGAAGCAGAGGCAGAAGCAGGCCGTCTCCAATCACGACAACATCTTCTTCTTCTTCTTTTTCATTGGACCAAGAGGATTGGAGTTACGAAGATGTTGATGTTAATGATAATAATGACAGTATCGACGATAAGAGCAATTCCACATCCCTGGCTGCCAAAGCCATTAGAGCTTCTTCCGCTGCCCATAGAGACTCCTCTCTCTCCTCCGCTTACGCCTTCACTAATCACCCCTCTCCCTCTCCCTCTCCCTCCCCGTCCTCTAACTCTTCCAATTTCAATTCTTCTTCTACCAAGGTAATTAAATTCTTCTACTACTACTTTTACTTTGCTGCAGATCCAACCTGTCTCCGTCAAGTCTCAATTTTTACTGCTAATTGGTATAAAGCAATTTACTTTCTGCTTCATTTTGTTGATATTGAAATGGGTTTCGGTTTTTTTTCTCGAATTATATTGTACTATTATATATTATAGGAGGAGGAATCGAAAAAGGCCTATAATCACGAGTACACATCAATGAAAACATTGAACGAAACAAAGCAACAGCAGCAGCAAGGGTTTTGGGGTACTCTTGCTAGAAAAGCTAAATCCATTCTTGATGATGATTTCAATACTAATGACGACAATGCTCCTCCACCTTCTCCTTCGCAAAAGCAACAACAACACCAACAAATGGATTCAGCTACTGGCAGGACTACTACAAGGCAGCATCGTGTCCCTGACTCTGCAACTATGCCCAAGGTCGAATATTCTAGCCTGAAATTTCCTTTTACTTTGTTTCTTTTCTTTTTTCTCAATCCCCACCCAATAAAAAGTAAGTTCATAGCTTTAGCAAAATCCCGAGCTTTTAGTTACTCTTTTGATATGCTGAAAATACCCATAAATTAAATTTCAATTTTATGCTCCTTTATACCTTTTTTTTTGGGTCAAGTGAGTGTTTCCATATCAGCTGAGGTGAATCCGTTAGATGTTACGTTATTGCAGTACCAGAATCCATACCCTTCTCGCGAGACCAATCAAAAAACAGAGAGTCCTGCATTACAGAAGGGACTCAATGCAATCTCATCTTCCCTGAATTACATCGGTAATGCTGTTGAGGTGAGCTTCCTCATTCATTTTTTTTGTACAAATTATCCATGATTCCTTCAATAGCGTGCTTTAATGCTGTTTCCCCTTTTCAGGAAGGTCTAACAAGAGTGGAGAACCGAACTGCAGATATTATCCATGAAACTCGTAAGCATATTCGGAAAAAGCCTAACGGTGCTGCAGCACAGAATCAGGCAACCGATCAGAGTGGCATTTGGAAACATCCTCAAATGCAGAACAATAGACAACAACCCCAGAAAGAAACTGAGCAAGAACTTCAACTGAAGGCATCTCGCGACGTAAGGTGGCAGCTGTGTCACTGGTTCATATAATAGAACTGTATTTGCATGTGTGGGTTGCCCTAAACTTGTTCGGCTTTAGTTAGAAACCTCTCTGCCAGATTGCCATTTGTACATAGTACAAAATAGCATCATTTCTTTTAAGTTAGAGCCAACGTATTTGCTCGTGTTATTAATCCGTTCTTTCACCGACTCTATAGTCCTAGTAGTTATCCTGAAGCTTCCGATCATCAAAGTAGCTTCTAAATAAGTATTTCACTGTTTTCAGGATTGGTTCTTTGCTATTCTAGGACTCTTTTCACTGGTGCCTTGTACTATGTCTCTGGACCAGCCTATTCATAGACAGGAAACCCTTTTCAAATCTAAACTTGACTTGCACCTTCAGAATCTCTTGCTGCATGGACCTCCGTCCTAGCAGCAATATTAACTAGAGAGTACGAAGCAAGTAGACAGAGAGCAAAGGATGGTTTCGTATCAGGGGTGGGAGTGTAAAATTATGTCTAGGATGGCAAGTGCATCCTAATTGGTTTGATGTAATCACTTACTTTCTATGGCAAGATGCATGATTTGGCTTTGATCTGTGTGACAGGTTGCGATGGCAATGGCTGCCAAGGCAAAGCTTCTTCTTCGAGAGTTGAAAACTGTTAAAGCGGACTTGGCTTTTGCTAAGGAGCGATGCGCTCAGCTGGAGGAGGAAAATAAAATCCTCAGGGAGAATCGTGAAAGGGGAGAGAATTTGGAAGATGATGATTTGGTATGCATTCCTTTCACTATGAAATTTTCATCTTAATTTGATGCTCCACCCCCCAACCCCAAATGCTGTGATGGAAGATGATAATCTGGTTGTTGGTAAACTAGCAGAGGCTCTTTAATACCGCAAAGGGAAGTATATGAACTAGAAATACAGTACTTGATGAAGTTTAACTATTACTCTGAACGTGTCAAAGGATTTTAATGCTGTTGTAATTGGCTGCATCATCATGCTGCTTCCATTATATTATTAGCATATGCATTTGATTCTCCAGGCTCATTATAATGTTTAGAATGCTAGAACTGTATGCAAGATATGCTTACTTGTACTTTCTGCTTTTTGGGACAATTGCAAAAGTGTAGGTCTGATATAAGACCCTATTCGTACTAAAAGGTGATCTCATCTATGCGAAGAGGAGAGCTGGCATATATGATTGTGGATGCTGCTCTGATCTTATTCTTTTATGTTATCATGTTTCTATAAGCCAGCTTCAAATCCATTTCCAGACCAACTAAAACACTGATTGTATGATCAATCTATGTGGATACAATTACAATGTCATGGGAAGAGAGTCTCTGTTTATGATAGATTTTTTATTGCTGTGTTTTTCATACATTTGGCATTGAATTTTGCAATCTGTTTGAATGAGCTTCTTATCAGACTTATCCTTCCCCCAATCCGTCCTTCCTAATCAACAGACCCTTAGTTATAATTTAGTGACCTGTGTTTCTAGTTTAAAATTGAGATTAAGAATGGCTTTTCGTTTTTTATTATCTAGAATGACTAAAGAGTATTTCTCAAGGAAAGAGAAACAGAGAAAAGAAAAGAATGACTGAAGTGTAGAACCCAATTCCATGATAAATTCAGAGTTATTGTGACATTCTTTCGTATCTGATTGTTAATTCTATCAATTGGGAAATAAGCAATCCTCTTTTCAGTGAACGGAAATGATGACTGAAGCATGATATTCTGTTTGTATCATGCAATTTCTATTCTGATTACCTTTTTTTCCAATTCCAGATTCGGCTTCAACTTGAAACACTGTTAGCAGAGAAGGCCAGATTGGCACATGAGAACTCAGTCTATGCTCGTGAGAACCGCTTTTTAAGGGAGGTTGTTGAATATCACCAGCTTACCATGCAGGATGTTGTATACTTGGATGAGGGCACTGAAGAAGTAACTGAAGTATATCCCATCAAGGTTGTCTCCAATACTTCCTCCAGGGCTACATCACCCCCTCCGGTGCATACGGAGGCTTCCCATGATTCAAGTCTGCCCGTGACTCGAGACATCTTGCCTCATCCTGTCCCCCCACCAGGGTCTGCTGCGTCACCAAATTCATATGCCTCGACATCAATTGCATCAGATATAAGAAAACACTCTTATCCTACTGTTTGAACTTTGAATGGGAATGCTCCATACTCTTTTATCTTTCTAGACATAAGTTTGAAACTGTAAACAGTATGGTTTGCTCCTGATTCCTTTTTATTCATTGTCGGTCTTCCTTTGTCGGCCTGATACTTAATGTAAATTTGCTATCATGTACTTTAAACTTGTTATATGTTAAAACTACAGCATTTCTTCAGATTCTGTTATTTGCCTGTGAATTTAACTATAAATTCACATTGATGTCTGTAAAAGCTGTCTGCAATGGTGAATCTAGTGCTTGTGCTTCAAAACAAGTATATTTCCATAATTGAGATGGATCAATGTATTTGCAAGTTAAAGCTGTAGCAAATGTGGAACAATTTGGATTTCTGTTCTGAAGCTAGTGGATCAAGGAATTCAACGATGGAGAACCGTGTCCTAGGTTTTTTTTTTTTTTTACTCACACACCCAAGTATATTTTTGTTTTAGCAGATTTAGTCCATGAGGATTTAGTCTCGTAACCTCTTGTTGTAAGAAATCACTATCACTGAAATCACTATCACTGAGCTATAAGGAGCATGCTTTGTTATGAGAGGAAAACATCTGTATTTATTCAAGATGCTCACAGGACTAAATATTCAATCTTTGCCTTTCCTTGGCGTTTTGAGGAGCCTTATGCTCATGACTTGGGAAGATAATTTATTTTGCAAAACCAACAACTAAAAGAACTTTTGCAGTAATATTGCAATGAATATTACTGACCATAATTGTTGGAATAGCATGATACATAGAATAAATTTCTCCTCAAAAAAAAAAAAAAAAAAAAATATTGATGCAGTGGTTACAGACAGAGGAGAGCTGGAAGGGCTCCGTATGTGGTTCAAAGATTATAACTACATTGAATTGGCTGTAAGATCCATCTAAAACCTCTGGATTACAACAAAGAGGAGTATGTCAACATTTATGTCGAGGGAGCCGTCAGCAGTGCTTTGAAAAAATACCCGCTAATATTTACTGGTGAGAACATATGAACAGAATATGTAGAAAGGAATAGGCATTTGGCTCTGAAAGGTGAAAGGTGCTGGTTTAAAAGCAAGCATCATATCTTAGAATAGCTGGAAAAACAAGCTTGTTGATCCATCACTGTATGATTTTATATCTGCTTGTTTGACCAATGCCCTGCATAATGGACACGTCCTTTCTCGATCAAACCTGAAAATGCAAAGAACAATATACATGAAGCAACAAGAAAACAGCGAAAAAGATGGAATGCTTTTCAAATGCGTGGACTTTTAGCACTCGTTTGCAAATTCATTGTTAGACTTTTGCTAATTCAGAAACAGCAAAAGCAGTAACTCTTGTCATCATCTTCTTCTTGTTTATTCATCTTACTTTCCTAGTCGACAGGAAAATACCAGAGATTTCAGAAGTACAACTAGACAATGATACATGGTTATTGAATTGTTAATCAAGTCAAAGGAGGAAAAAAAATAAAAGAGGCACATACAACAGGAATAATGCGACTTTATTCATAAACAACAGCCACAGCATAGATTGGAGGTAATTCTTATTCTCATCCTCTTTCCAGCCATCAAACACGGCTGAAAATTCAATCTTCTCTAACTCAAGGCAGTCATTGACATGATGGTACTTCGTTAATTGTTATGTACGGGCACATTTTAAGTTTTAGATTTCAGACGCTATTTATTTTGTGACTGAGAACAAATTGGCAGCTACTAGTCATTTTCTTTCCAACACATGATTAGTAAAAGCAACAGAAACCAAGCACAGAATCTCATTGCTGAGCAATAGGCTTGATGCTAATAGTTCCATACAATACCTACAGACATTCATAACTTACGGTTACTTGAAAGTTACCATTCTAAAAGTCTAATGCTAGACTTCCAGAACAGAAAATGATTTATGCACAGGAGTGCATGCATTTGTGTAGATAAATATGATCCTCATAAGTAAATAGAGGAGGAGTTGAGAAAATGACCATTCAGATACACAATCCTCACAGAATATGTGTTTACAACGTAGTAAAATGGGTGCATGCATCTTCTCCTGGCAAATGGCACAGAGATCCCCTACTGCATTGACCTGCAATTCAGTGTCGAAAACTTAGAATGTGCCAACAGTTGTGCACAAGAATAGAATAACACCAACACAGAGGACTGATAGATATAATATAGCAAACCAATTAATGAAGAGCAAAGTAATGATAAACTCATATATTAAGTTGGGTAGCTCATATGCCATGGTGTCCTTAGAGAATTTCTAGCTGGAAGTTTGAATGTTCAAAAGCAAATGATGGAATCTTGTAGTACTGGATATTTATTAGTAAGATTACCCTCAAAAGTCTTGCGAAAGAATAGCATGACTACATTTTTGCCATGAACCTCAGTACAAAGTAATGCCAAGCAAAAGAGGAATTAATAACCGTCCAAAATCTGCATGGCTGTGGCCAAAATAGGTAGCAGTTGCATCCAAAAATGATGCTTAACCATGAACAGATTATGTTTCTACATCTTAAGTGAGGAAAGAAAGGACACTCAGTTAAAATGAACAAAATTATACTTAAAAGATGACTGCTCACCTGTTCAGATGTGGCATAAGAACCATAGTACATTTCTTTATGTGACAAGGTCCTCAATGCAGTAAAGAATTGTTGAACCTAGATATGAAAGTGATATTATGATCCAGATGATGTCAACAAACTATGGTTTTATTGTGGCACTAAAAAGAAGGCATTTTACATAAATGAGAGCATACCTTCCTCAGAACTGTTGTGAGCTTGAAGGTTAAATATAACCCTGTGATTAATGATGAAAAAAAGCTTCCATATTCTCTGTTTAAGAAGAAACGATACCAAACAGGTGTTGGTAACAAGGCACGGTACAGTAACAGCAAATACTCAACCAGAGTTAGCATTTGACCCTGTAAAAGCACAAGCTTTCAGAATATGTAAAATGATACACAAGACAGGAGAAAATTGAAAACATATGCATAGAAATTTAAAATTTGATAATAAGCGACCTGTTTACGGTAATTGTGGCCTCGGCTATTCTTGTAATACAACAAAAGCATACATTTGAAGACCATCGATACCTGTCGCACCAAAGCATCTGGAAAGAAGAAGACCATTCAGAGTAAATGTTGAGATCACATCACAATTACAGCATATGGAAGGCACATTAACTTATAACAGAGGAGTTTAGTTTCCACTGCTTTCTTCCTTCTTTTTCTTTTTACATGGTAGTCAACCAAGCAAACAAAAACTGTTTGATGCTTCAATGAACAAAATGTCATGGTACAACTTCCTATCAAAAGCATCAACTCACATTTATAATGAACAAAGAGGAACAGTTTGTCAATAGCAACTCAAATTATCCGAAATGCAAACCATTTTGTCGCGGTAGGGCTAAGACTTTCTGTCTACCATAACAATGCCCAGGATCAAATGTCTACTTTCCCTCCTTTTCTTTTTTCTTTTTCTCAGATATCTACCATTTCAATCAGTCCAACTAAAAATTTGTTAAGCAAAACAACATCATGGAAATCCTACATGTTGAGGGAAAGACCAACATGACAAACTGTGATGTTCTCATGTCTTAAAAGAAACTGAACAGAAAGTCTTAACGAAGCCAATGGAAAAACAACAAAAAGACCATAAATTTGCAGATGCATAAGAAAAATCATTCCACACAGAGCATTCCCATAACTTACAGGCCCAGCAGAAATATTTCATGGGCACACGGTAGTAAAGACTGATAAAAGGCACTCACCATTCACAACGATGATAAATACAGCATGCCAGAAAGGAGGTATCGTGGATGGAGGAAGTAAAACCAATGGATATAGAAGGTCGCCATTCCCATACCACCAATAAATTGACATCACATGAAGAATCAACACTACAGTCATGCCTAGAAGAACAGACTTCTTTCTCTCTCCCTGCAGAAACCAGTATTGTATATAGTTAGAAACTTGACAAGAAATTCAAGGTTATTTATCCGTTGCCTTTAAATATATCCGTTTTTTTCAAAACCAAGAAAAGTGGAAATCAGAAAACAAGTTACAGAACCTTTAGAGCTGTCTGCTTCCTTAGAATATCATTTGATTTAAACAAGACTGCAGCAATCCACAATGCAACACAAAAGCCTGAACAAGATGCAAATTCAAAACAAATAATTTGATTGTACATCCAAGGATACAACATAATCTCTAAAACTGACAATTTCTGTTATCCCTAATCAAGATTAATGCTTGATATAATCTCTACAAGTGACAATTTCTTCAACAGGAAAAAAATAGTTCAAAGAAAAAAAGGGAAACATTATCTTTATTTCACTCGTAATTGGAAAAGGGAAAATGAAAGAAGGATGCAGGAAGCAGGAGAAATACCTTGCAAGTGTAGGCGGACAAAAACAAGAAGCAACAGCAAAGAAAATGGAAGAACGTGCTCAATCCACCTAGCCAAGTTCTGAATATCAAATCTCTGATAAGAAGAAGAAGATGATGATGATGATGATGAATCTGTAGCAATCCCAGAAGACTCATCAGAAATAGTGCTTTCAGAATTCACATTCTCCTCCACAACCGCACCTCGCCGAACATATGGTAATGCCTCAACACTTGGAGAAGTATTGGGTTCATCATCATGATCATTCTGTGAAGAGCCAATTATCCTAATTGTAACCTCCTGACCACCACCACCACCTCCAGTAGATGGAGAAGGAATTAATTGCTCCCTCTCTTGAGAATAATTGGAGGTGTTTCCTCCTAGAATACCCGAGTATTCCAACAGGGTTGTTAATGGAGCATGTATCAAATTTGACGCTGCTATATTAATTCCATACCTTCTTGGATTATCGCTATTACCATCACCACCACCATCACTCGTACTGCTGCTTCCTAAAGAAGAACTCCTATAGATTTCACCAGAATTGCCAACACCACAACTCTCCATACCTTTACCTAATCTTTGCCCACTACAGATGATGTGCAAGAATGGAACTTTATGACAAAGAATGGAACTTTAATGCAAAATTAAAGTGGCAGGATGGATATCTGAAACAGGGTAAGCTTGGTTTTCACACAAGCTGGATACAGCAGCTGCGGCTGCTTTCATCTTCTTCTTAATGCTTCCACATATGGAGTCTTTCACTTTCTGTCCTTGTCTTAAACAGCTTTTCGGCTACGCGCCTTTGATTAATTCTTGTGATAAAAAAAGGGGGGGTCGTCGTCAACAAAATATCTACAAGATGGTGGCTGAAATCTGACCTTTTCTCTGATCTTATCTTGATTAGGACTGAGAGAAGAAGAGGAAGAGGTTGGAGCTTTTCCTAAAGATCAGAGCTGATCATCTGACAGGGAAACAAAAGCTTAAACTACATGGACATTTCAACTAACTTCGATTCCCTCTCCCCCTGCGTCTCCTCTCTCTCTCTCTCTCTCACGCACACGGTTTCAAGCTGCAATCTTTATTTTATTTTTTGTGTCAGTCAAATTTACCTCCACCTACGAAGGAGTAAATTATAAATTAGTCCCTTTAGTTTTAGAAAACGAATTTATTTGGTTGTTTTAAAAATTAAATATTTAATCTTTTAAGATCATGCTTAATTTAATATTATTTTATTTCAAAATATTTTTTGTATAAATTTTTTCTTAATATCCATTTATTTTTTATTTTTTAAATATAAAAAAATAAACAAAAAGATTAAATATTAGTTTTAAAAATAAAAAAGACTAATTAATTTGTTTCTTAAAAGTAAAGAGACTGTTTTATAATTTACTCTCTAACTATTACAATAATGATGTTTCAATTTGATGAGAATTATAAAAATCTACTCTTTAGGGTTAAGAGTTGGTTGAGTAGCTCATGTGTTGAAAATCATCAACATTAGTTAACTTCTTGCTGTTAAAATTAGCTGTAGTGGCACTACTTACCACCCACGAGAGGTTGATTTACATTGAAGGATAAGAAAACTGTTTCTGATTTATTAGGTTAATGACTTTCTTTTCCTTTATGTGTTATTAGATATAAACTATTAGACTATTGTAAAAAATTCGGTTTTAAATTCAATTAAAGTCTATTCGTGATTTGGTACTTAAATAATCTAAAAAAACAATTAATAAAATCTAGATTGATACAAAAATTAATTCTACTTTAGTATATACATATATAAGGTTTTACATATATCGAAATCCTGTATAATTTGAATTTTTTGATCGACACCTTAAGTTTTTATTTCTATCTAATTTAAGAATTCTACTTTTATTATATTATTGTTTTAAATCCTAATATGTCACGTAAGTACATGTGATAAGCTCTAGCTTATAGCTAATAACAACTTATCACGTGTCATGATGAACTTAAATTAAGTAATTGAATTGATAATGTAGCAAATCATCATTTATTAGAACTTATGACAACTTATTACGTGTGCTTATATGATAAGTTGTAATTATTACAATTTGAAATAACTATAAATCTTAAATTTTCTCGATGGAAACATATAAATTATAAAAAGTCTTAACATGCGTAAAACCCTAAAGTTACTGTTGATTCCGTGGCTAAATTTCTTATGAATCTTTTGATTGCACCAAAAGAAAGGAATGGAGCCTTGAGCAAGTATAGTGAGAAGACGAAGACGTTTCATACTTTTTTAAAGAAGCTGAGATCATATTTGGTCGCATCAATCTCAAACAAAAACTAAGTTACTGTTGTTGTACAGATAACCAAGAAAACAGAAAACTGTGAACTTTCAATCTTGAAATCACATCGCACCTTTGCCTATGTAAGCTGATAGTGTCTGGAAAAACTAGAAGGTACTGTCAAAATAGAAGATGGACCACCTTATTCTGAGCTCTGCAACATCTCACTCACATGGGTGGCTGCAATTCATCCTGCCTCCTATCTTACCTCCCTTTTCATGAAATGGCCAACCACCCATTCCCCCACTTGGATTTTTTTCTTTGGGTTTTGCTTCCATCAAGAGTCAGTACAATTTGATTTTTTCTATCATTTTTTTCTATCTAATTTAAAAATTTTATTTTTATTTTATTATTAGTTTAGATTTTAATATATTATATAAGCATACATGACAAACTCTAATTAACAACAACTTAACACATGTTATAATGAATCTAAATTAGATGATTAAGTTGGTGATGTAATAAGTTGTTAGTGGCTAAAACATACACGTGACAAGTTATCATTAACTCGAAGTCTGAAATAATAATAAAATAAAAATAAAATTCTTAAATTAGATAAAAAAATTTAAAATTTTAATAAAAAAATATTCCAATTGTATATACAAGTAAAACTTTTTTTTTTTTTTCTTTTGGGTTGGGTTGGCTTCCTGCCTGTACCAATTGCTACCAAACTTATGTTTTGAGTTGGCTGCACAACTTTGAAGATCCTCTTTGGGGACAGGCTTACTCAATCCAAGCACACAATCCTTGACTTTCCAATACTTTGATTCCTTTCGATTTTTGTGATTGTTTGTTTATTGTTATAACTAAGTCTTCTCTTAGCTATTCTTCGTAATTAACTTAATTGCCTTCTCATAAAAAATATCTTTTTATCTATTCGAAATTTCCAATCTCAGCTACTACAAATAAAACTAAAGAGAGCATTCTGAAAAGGTAGCAGTTTTGATTTTTTTGAAAAATGTTTGCAGTCACCTTCGATTAAGGGACTGAGTTATGATTTTCGAAATTTAATATAATAAATTGTAAATTCATGAAAAACACAGGGACTAATCAATAATTCAATCCATATGTTAACCGGTTATAAGTTAGTCCCTCTGTTTCTTAAAATAAATTAATAAATCCTTCTTATTTTTAAAAATAATAATTAAATCTCTTGACTATTGTTGAACAAGTTTAATTTAATATTATTTTATTTTATAAAATATAATATTTTATCATCAATTCTTCCATATATTTTTCTTCTATTTGTTTTAAATAAAAAATCAAATCAAATTAAAAAAGTGAAAATGATTAAATTATAAAAAAATTAAAAATATAGAGGTAAATAGCTCAATTTATCCTTATGTGGTAGTAGCATGAGTTTTCAATCTATTCTTATGCTTCTAATTGCATTTATTATATCACTAAATAAAAGCCTTCAATATGTTTTTTCGATTAATTTTTTTTTTTACTATAACCAAAAATTTTGATCTAAATGTCACGGATAAAATTCAAAAAAGAAAAAATGAAGATTTCAAAAATAGAACATACAAGTCACTTTTAAGTGTTTTTTTTTTTTGTTTAAGCATTTGAGTTAAAGGTATTTTGGTTAAAAGTTTTATCCATGGTCGAAAATTTGATAAAAATGACATATTGAAAACTTAAATGTTATTCAATATAATAGATACAATTAGAAACGTAAAGACAAATTGAAGACTCATGCTATTATATAAAGACAAATTAAGTTATTCATCTAAAATATAAAAATTAAATAATTAATTTTTAAAACACTGAAATTGAGTATTAATTGATTAATTTGTTTTTAAAACTAGAGAGAATAATTTATAATTTATTCGCTAGGATGCTAATGTTTGTGATATTGTGATATACGTAGTCGGAAAGAAAGAAAAAGAGAAATGAAATGAAATGTAACTTTCATCATAACCATCTCCATGATTATGGGATTCATGTCAACTTGTGGAGTGAGGTCAAGAAGACAACACAATCCTTGACTTTAACTTTAACCATGCAGCACAGTAAGAAAGTTCTTCATTGCATAGTTTTTAAAGGAAACGGCAAAGAACCTACAAGCTGTCGGCAGTAAAAAACAACAGGAAAAAAAAGGCAAAGAAGCTTTATGAATAAATGCTACCTTATTGCCCAAGCAACAAACACATACTTTTCATCACATATCATTTTCTATTTCCTTTTTGCAGTGTTAATTTCCAGCTACATGATGGATCCAATATAATGGTTTTGATTGATTGATAATATTGCAAATTACATTAATGCATGATAGTAACCCCTATCTCTTTGCCAAATGCCAGCCAATTTCTCCTGCCATTTATTAGCTCTTTCTTTTTAATGTTTGTAATTATAATTTATTAACTTAGGCTTCCGTTGGCTTGTATTTGAAGATTAATTCTCCTGCTCTCTACTCTCTCCTACCTTTTGCTCTGCAAAGGAAATGCTGATGATGTTCCTGCTTGTCGAGGACTCATGCTATTCTCAATGCTATATATATATATATATATCTTCTCTGTTTGACATGGATCATTGCTGAGTGGCCAAGCATTCCAGCCCAGGAGGCCAGGACTACGTTTTGATCAGGGCTTGTTTCCAGCCAAGAGAAGGGATTCCATATGACAGTTTACGTTCTCAAGCCATTAGGAATTTACGTATCTGCAATAAGGTGGGACTCGGGAATGGTGGCTTAATTAGGAAAAGGAGTGTTTTTCGCTACTGTATTGATTACACCTTAATCACCTGGGTTACTCTTATCTAACTCCTATATATTTAGGCTTAAATCTAGCTAGCTGGAGTAGAAGTAAAGAAATATCTGATAAGCTACCCCATTTTCATCGATGAGATGCAGAAGTTGCAGTACTATGTATTGACATGCTGAATGCGATTATCTATTTTATTTTTTGTTTGATTCGTTGATGAAAGGACTGGGATCATTAAGCCTTGTACGTAGTTGACAAGCCATTGGCAGAGTGAACTTGGGACCAATGAGTCTTGGACTCATTTTCTCATCCATGATTGATTCAACTGTTCCATGATTAGCCTTTAGAAATTTTTTTCTGACTCATCTTCTGGTGCCTTGCTATCTATGTCGGTTTTTGGCTGACTCCTTGTTAATTATCTATCTTGCTAGTGGAGGACACAAGATCATTAGTAGTAGCTAATAGCTATAGCTATTAGTGTTTAGTATTTGAGAGCAACAGTGATTGCAATCCATTCCCTGGTTACTCGACTCGATAAACCATCAATGATAAATGGGTTGGTTTGTGTCCTTGTCCTAGAACACGTTAATTCTGAAGGATGGGTAGCCAGGCTGTGAGTGTGATTCAATCGGTGACATGGGATGCTGTTATTAGCTAGAACTCACAACGTGTGTTTAGTTAATAAGCTGTCGTTAGTTAGGGTTTGAAACAATAATAATATAAGAATAAAACTCTTAAATTTAATAGAAAAAAATTTAAAATTTCAATAAAAAAATCAAAATTATATGAGATTTCGATATGCGTAAATCCTATAATGTAATTATTCAACAATGGATTAGTGAAATTGGTTTACTAAAGATTGAAATTTTAATAGTTTATTTATTTCTCAGAATTAAAAATAACGAATAATATTGCAACGTTATTAAGAATATATCGATTACATCACCAGGCTTCTTATCTTTACCATCACGGCATTTTACTGTATGATAAAGAAATTTAGTTTTTGTTTTATAAGCAGCCCTCTATCATTAATTAATTAATAGTGATATAAATATATATAATCTTGTGAGTTACATTTAATTTAGTTGTTGGGGCATCATTTGCGACCCAAAATAATACAGGGTATGATGGACAAATTGGATTGCATTGATTACAACCTATTAGGGCAAGATTTGGACAAATTAATAATTGTGATCAAGCTTTGCCTATTAATGGCTTCTTGTGATCCACACATTATTGTCTCCAGCCCAACAATCTCTGCCATGTACTTTTCAAGCAGACTTCATAGGAATCCTATGTTCATTTTCACCTGGCCTTGCCTTGTGACGTCAAAGCTTTACTCCAAAAAAGTGTTCTTCTTTTCCTACAAGATTTTAACTCTGCCTAGTCGACTCTGGGTTTTTTATTTTTTTTATTTTTTTCTTTTTTTGGGTTAATTTTATGTGAGGCTAAATGGGGTTTTTTAGAGTCAATTTTCATGCAACAATATTAATTCCATCGAAGCCAAAATTGATATTACTTTTTTTTTTTTTTTTTGGGTTAAGAAAATCTGATGTTTTGAAGGAAAACAGTAGGATGATTATTTGAAAGCAAGTGGGCAACAGTTGTAGACGAGAAATCTGGATTGGTCTTAAGACAGTTGGAAACTATGATTAGATGAAACAGTTGGATGATTGTCGTAAATGTTTCGGTAAAAATCTTCTCATGGCATATATATATATATATACACACACAGGTAGCTCGCATGATCTAGACAGAGAGGTTTGTTGGTCCAGCGCTTTCATTTCTTGTCATGTGATAACAATTAACATATATTAAACATAAACAAAGCAGGATTATTAAAAGTTTAATCATTTCAGGTTAAGAAATAAAGCAGTGTTTGGGACTTGGGAGTGATTGAAAGCAATTTACGAGTAATTCCATGTCAAAACACAAGGATAATCATTTCGGGTTAAGAAATAAAGCTGTGTTTGGGAGTGATTGAAAGAAATTTAGGAGCAATTCCATGTCAAAACCCAAGCATCTCTTTCTAAATTAATAAAATAAAATAAAATAAAATGGGTTAGCTAGTTGTCAACCAAATTCCTTCCTCAGCTGGCCAGTTTCGTCCAGCTCTTGAATACATATTCCTTAGTTTGGTTCATAGATAATGACAACCTTGATAGCGGCTACAGATGCCTTAGTTAGGAATGCAACCAAAAGGAAAGCCAGCTCAAATGCATGCATTTCCATGTAAATTAGGTTGGATTATTATCGATTTGCACCTCGTAATATACATTAATTACATAAGATACAAGGCTCAATTAACTTGAAATCGCAATCACGAACTTGGCAATTAATAGCTTGGAGTTGGTGAACAAATGAAAATTGTATAGAGCTAATGGAGATAGGGCTATTCCATGATGGGAGGTGGGTAGCAGTTATCCTTCATTTTTTATTTTTGACTAACTGAATTGACTAAAACAAAAATTGTAATCGAATTGAATCGATGTTTGATTTTTTGATTAAAAAATCGAATTTTTCAATTCGTTTTTTCTATTTTCGGTTAAAAACTGATCTTTTATTCATTTTTTCTTCTAAATTTTGAGTTTTCTCTTGGATCAAGTTGAAAGGCCACTTTTTTTTAATTTTTTTTTCAATTTTTTAGGAATGCTAATAGCTTGAATTGAAGTTTTGTCAAATAAAATCATAAGAAAATACTATGAGCCTTAGGTGTGTGTGTGTTAAAAAAAAAAAAAACTAATTTGATTTTCGATGAAAACCGAATTAAAAAAAAATGAACTGAATCGAAATAATTTTGATTTCGATTTATTTTTTAAATTTTTTGTACAAAATCGAAGCGAAATTACTAATTCGATTTGATTCGGTTCGATTTTTTAGTTTTAACGCAATAATACTCACCCTTAGAATTGAGTCAAAAATCATGTCATTGGACAAATTGTTCCGTCATTTTTTGTTTCATTTGTTCACTCAATGATTATAAACAATTTCTATTTGTATTAATTTAGACTTAAATGAATAGATTGACCATCGGAGGTTTGAATTATTAATATTTTTTTCTTATTTCAAAACCTCATATCAACATTCATAAGACTTTATTTCAATTGACCTAATATATAGATATATTTGGACAGCCTATGATGCCAAACGCTGCCTTAAATAGCAAATAGCTAGTAGAGCCATGTAAATGAGCAATTTTTTATCTTTAGCCAAGGAAAGGAAGAAGACAGGGCATGGAATCCTCTCTCTCTCTACATATATCTATATATATATATATATATATATATATAAAATATATATATATATATACAGATGGAGAGAGAGAGAGAGAGATGCTGGCTGGGAGATGTCTAATCTAAAACTTTAAGACAAGATTGACTAAGGGAAACATTTCTTTTCCAGAATCCAATACAGGTAGGAAGTGACTGTAGTAGTAATAGATCCTCTTACCATTCCTTCAATTCATGCGAATATTCAAAACCAAACTAGTTGCTCTAATCCCTACAAACCACACATGAACTTCAAGTTTCTGACTCCAATTTCCCACATTCACGTATGATCTCTTTGTCTTTAGGGTTCTAGTTAATTAAGACAGTAAATAGTTTATTTTTAACCAAATCCAAGAAGTAAATTTGATCTGAACGCTTAAGAAAACTGTAGGAAAAGAGAGAGATGGCTAAGGTATGAGAGTTGGCATCATTAATATTAATTAAATGGTAATTATACGAATAAGCTAAAAAGATCTTACCAACATAGAGAGACCTCTCATCCTTCTCGGCAAATCTTTTCTTTCTTTTAACTGTCCATCCATCCATGTGTCTCTGTCACACAGACTTTGGGCATTTTACACATGATTTGTTCCTCTTCTTAATAATAATAAAAAAAATTTCAATAATTTCAGGACACCTGTAAATCAAAGGTTAAAACCTTTTTGAGTACAAGAAAGAAAGAAAGGGGGAAAAGCCTTAAAGCCCTGCTGCCATATTTAAACCCCACCAGCAATATTACTTCACTGCTAAAAGCCCACCACCATTTATTGCTTCTAATTTTTCTCCTTTCCTTCCTTCCCCTTGACTGACTCGCTTACCCTTCCATCTTCTTCTTCTTCTTCGTGGTCTTTGTCTTTTCATATTTCTCTTGTTTTTGTGTGTTGCTATACGATTGATTACCAATAAGAATCATCATGTCAGGCTTATACACGCATAACTTTTCACCTGTTAGAGCATCTTCACATGTAAGAACAACCCCTGATGTTGACAGGTACTAGTCTTCTATTTCCTTCTATCTTCTTTATTTTTTTTGTTTCCCAGTTTTGATTGATTTTTCTGGGTTTTATTTCGTTATTTGTTTTTGTTTTTGTTTTTTTCTAGTGGTCAATATTTGACAGAGCTGTTGGAGGAGCACCAAAAGCTTGGACCTTTCATGCAAGTCCTTCCCATCTGTAGCCGACTTTTGAATCAAGGTTCTTCTTTTTTCTTTTTATTCAATTTCGATCTCTTTGATTCTTTTTTTTTTTTTAATTGATTTCTTGTTCTTGCTTTTGGTGCTATATAGGTCAACTAATCACCTTCCCTCTTGCTTATAACTGTGTATTCACGAGGAGAAAACCAGAAAACTTGATTTTTTTTTAGTTTTGAATTTTATTTTTTCCTGCTGCTGCTTCTTTGAATGTTGTAGTCCTTTTTCTAGATTGTTTTTAAATGAATGATATATAAATATATGGTTCTCTTTAAATTCAATCCTTTTGATGCTGAGATAGTGTTAATCAAGCTACTTCTTGCGAAATCAAGTGATTTATCATGATTGAATCTACGGAGTCTTACCTATACGCTCTACTATGCATTGACTGTTTCGCACTGTGTGGTTTCCATGGATGACAATCTGCTAATTGTCATTGAAATAAAACACTAATCATAGTAACTTAGAGGTAGTGTTAAGGCTGCCAACCCAGTTTATCTTGCAAAAAAGCCATTTATATCACGCCTAGCTGTTCCTTGGATAAATTAGATGTAGTAGGAGACATAGGAGTTGGTTATGTTCTTCGTGCATTGCAAATTCAATCATTGTAATGAATCATGGTCCAAAATGTCCAAGCAGACCAACTTTCAGGAGTGTATGTCATGTTTAATTAATTTTAATTATGGAATAGTCCGAAGTGATCTATCTTGCAAAAATATGAACGTCATTCGAGAAAATGCACATAAAGCATCAAATTTTTGGTTGCAAAAATCCTCAATTTCTATTTACTTGTGGTGGATCACATTTTGTATGGAATTTGTCTAAAATGGATTTCATAAATCAATATCGTGTCTTATCTCAAGCTGAGCTAAGGTGATTTTTTAGCTTATAGTCTTATTGATTGCTAGTATTGATGGTGATTCTGAGAAGCTATGTGGTTAATTTGTATATCCTCTATGCTGGTCACACTTCAGTCTATGTACTTTGACCACTTAAATTCTAAGTATGTAAACTTCGTCAGGAGAATGGTTATAGCATTTTTCGTTTTGTTATTCTAGAGAAAAAGAAATTAAAGAGGTTCTTTATGTTGGCAGAGATATTGAGAGTTTCTGGAAGGACCCCCAACCAGGGCTTCAGTGACTTTGACAGGCTGCAATATGGGAGCCTGAGCCCTATGGCTTCTTCCGACATGATTCCAAATAATATAGGAACAGGCTTCAATGGGTGGAATGGACTCCAAAAAGAAGTAAGTGTTTGCTCCCCCTCTTCAGCTTGGCATTCCTGTCAATGATTTTTATATTCTGACCCAAATACTTAGGTCTATTGTCAAATTTTAAACCATAACGTGTACTTGAACAAAATGCCTGGTAATTGACATTACTAGGATTAGATACAAAAACAGATATGAAAGTACTGTACCGGTTTAACTCAATATGATGCACCTACATCTTTTTGATAATTGAATTAGACCAGAACAGCTGGTTCTTAATTAAGTTTTGTTTTCAGAGGGCTCTCTTACATCAATAACCAAATATTTTGGTAGATTATAAATTCTGGCTTTTTGCCCCACTCAGCAGATGAATGTTCTTTAATTGGTAGTTTTCATATGCTGCCATTTGCTCAATTTTCTGAGTTTCAGCATATGTGGTTTCTGCTCCATCTAAAATCTGCAGCTCCTTTGTTCCTCACTAGCTGCAAAGTGGATGCCTTGCATCTTACCTATGGAACTGACTTACCGTGGTTTTGCATCAGCTGCATTTTCTGTTTCTTTCTCATGGAACATTAATTTCTCTAGAATGAACTTATAACCTCATCCTCGTTACATGACAGAGATTAGGACCACAGGGGATGAGTATAGACTGGCAAGCAGCTCCAGCAAGCCCAAGTTCTCATCTTGTGAAGAAAATATTGCGTTTGGATATTCCAGTTGATAGCTATCCAAATGTAAGCTATTCATCTACTTTGGAATGTATTATGTTTATATCTACACATTCTTCATACAACATAAGGCTGTGATGTACTAAATGCCTAGTTTCTTTGTGGACTTCAGTTCAATTTTGTTGGGCGGCTTCTGGGACCTAGGGGCAATTCACTAAAGCGAGTGGAAGCTTCTATGGGCTGCCGTGTGTATATTAGAGGAAAAGGTTCCATAAAAGACCCAGAGAAGGTAATGTTTTTTTCCTTCAGAATAGCTTTCAGCTTGGGATCGGCCTTTTCAATTCCTTTGATGGCACTCAAAACTTATATTGAACTATTTTTGCTGTCGTATTCATCATAACCATGTATTTGCTAAGCTACCGAAACATTCAGTATGATTGTCACTGTTTTAACAGATTTTTCATTTTGTTTTTTACTCCATAGGAAGAGTCTTTAAGGGGAAGACCAGGTTATGAGCATCTAAGTGAGCAGCTGCACATTTTAATTGAAGCGGAATTACCTGCCAATGTTATTGATACGAGATTGAGACAAGCACAGGAAATCATAGAAGAACTGCTTAAACCTGTGGTATCCCCTTGAACCTTGTCCCTTTCTTTTGTACTATCTGGCTTTTCTAAACAGTTTGAGAAATGCTACTCTTATTTGATTCATGAGATTTTATCTCTGTCAGCATGCTGGTCTGATAATTGTTATTCATAGAAAACTTGTTACCTATGTTGTTTGTTTATTATTGCCAGCATATGATTAAGGATGATGACATGCTTTATTTCTATTTTTTCCGAGTTGTGCTGATCATCAGTGGAACAATTATGTTATCAGTGTTCGGCCAGTGAATATAAGACTTTCCCTGGGAAACTTGTACTGCTACCGATGCAGTCTTTTTCCTTTGCTTGTGACATTTGTATTTCATGAATTTCATCGGTTGAAATGTTTGAAAATCACGTCTACGATGTTACAAGACACTCACTTTGCGGTGTCATTCAACTTGCAGGATGAGTCTCAGGATATGTACAAGAGGCAACAGCTGAGAGAACTAGCAATGCTGAATTTGAGTTATCGGGAAGACAGCCCTGGTCCGAGCGGTAGCGTCTCTCCCTTCACCTCGAGTGGAATGAAGCGTGTCAAAACTGGTCAATAACACATTATTTGATCCAATCTCCTTACTGGTCTCTCTTGAAGACTCCTTGCAATATTATAGCTACTTGTTGCTTCTTCTGGTGGCATGTCAATTCTGTACAGCTACAAAGAAGTATGGTTTGCCGCGTCGGTGATAGTTTGAAACAGGTCATTCTTTGTTAACAAAAACAGTAACAATGGAAAGGAAATAGAAATTCATTTCTCACAGTTGTTTAATGTAATTGTTTGCAGTTATAAAAAAAGCATAAATAGAACAGTGATTTGATTTGTTCTGTAATTAAAACCAGCATTTTTGTTGAACTAGTCTGTAATATAATGGCAATGGTGCAACATATGTTTTGTTTCTTTGGGGGGTGGAAGTGGAATGAAGGGAGGGCTGGTTTTTTACAATGAGTGTGAAACGACAGCATCCTCCGTCATCAGTGACCTGTATTATTATTGTAGAAAGACAATCTTTTAGGGCAAAGGAAGTTGTCGTCCATGTTGTTTTGCCTTGATTAGCAAACATCCTTTTCCTTAACGATTGGCTCCATAGCATTATTAGCGGCACCACTGTCGCTTGCACCATCTCAGCCTCATTTAGTGGCCACAGATTAATTTTCTTCTATTTGCCAAATCTACGTTGACTAGATCTGCGTATGCAAGTAACGATACCGAAGGATTTGTAGCATTATACTGTTTTTTTTTCTTATTATTATTTTTTGAAGTTGAGGGTTTGAGTTCAAACAGTAATTTTTTTTTGTACAATAGGTAGGAAAATAGTTTTAAATTGCAAAGGTATTTACAATAATAATTATGATTATCGATATTATATATATATTTATAATTGTTAATAAATTTATTTTTAAGATTTTTTTTTGAGAAAAATACCTTAACGGTGGTTAAATGTTGTTGGACTACCTATAATGATGAATAAGAACATATGTATGTTCGAATTCTTTAAATAATGCCTATTACGTTACATAATAGTCATTACTTGAAATTACGGATAAAAAGAAAAATATTATTATTTATCATCATTCGGTTTTTCAATTTAGTTTTGGTTTTTTTTTTTTCGGTTAACTGAATTGACTAAAAGAAAAACTGAAATCGAATCAAATTGAGATTCTGTTTTTTGTTTGAAAAACTAAAAAATTTTTGTTCAGCTTTTTGATTAAAAATTGGATTTTTTTTATTTTTTTTGCATCTTTTCTTTTGAATTTTCTCTTGGACCAAGCTGAAAGACTTTTTTTTTGCAATTTTTCTTTTTTATTTTCAAAGAATTCTAATAGCTTGAATTGAAGTTATAGCAAAGAAACTTATAGTAAAATGCTATGAGCCTTGGGTGGGTGTGTTAAAAAAAAAAAAACACTAATTTGGTTTTTGATGAAAATCGAATTAAAAAGAAAAAATGAACCGAAGCGAAATAATTTCGATTTCGTTTTTTTTTTCAAATTTTTTTTATAACATCGAATCAAAATTGCTAATTCAATTTGGTTTAGTTCGGTTTTAACCAAATAATGCTCACCCCTAGCTTTCAAGTCTAATGTATTGGAAAAGAAAATAAATTGATATTTTTTTATCATTTGTTTCATATCAAAACCATAAAAAAATATATTAGAAAAAAAAAAACAGAAATGTAATACAACGAAAAGTTTTTTAATTAAGTTAGGGCCTAGGGGGCTAAATTAGGTCATGTCTGTATCATGTGGCCCAATGGACTTTCTTAAGAAAATAAAACCCGGCCCGAATAGTTGAATCAATATCCGGGTGGGTTAACAATAAATAAAGGAAGTGAGAAGGGCCGAGAGGAGAGATCGTAGCGTGGTGGTGGACAGAAAGGAAGCGGCGATTGATTTGAAATCGGATCAGCAGAGCTTAGCAATTGAGTGAAGAAAGGATGGGGAAGCAACCGGTGAGAATGAAGGCGGTGGTTTACGCTTTGTCACCGTTCCAGCAGCGGGTCATGTCAGGTCTCTGGAAAGATCTGCCTGGTAAGATCCACCACAAAGTCTCCGAGAACTGGATCAGCGCCACCCTTCTCCTCGCTCCTCTTGTCGGCGTCTACACGTAACCTCCTATCCTACCCTCTCTTCTGTTTCTTTTTTTTTTTTTTAATTTTTCTTTCTATTTATTGAATTTCTATATAATTTAATTGGTTTTATAGAAACCCTAATTAATTAACTAAATCAATCTGACAAATGAATTCAATTTTAATTTGAAGCAATCTCATTCCTTCCTTGAGTTGAAGAAAGAAAGTTGTAAAATTTTCTACTTTGTTTGTTGTGAGATGAGATGGGGGCTTAAAAGTTTATAGCTTCATTTCTGGTTCGAAGTTTCGTTAAATTAATTCATTTCTACAGCTTTTTGGGGTTCACAAAGGTTGCCGAATTGTTTGCTTGACCTGGTTTAGGGTTCTTAACTTTTGCACAAATCCAAAACTGAAATCAGTTTTATTATTTCTATTAGTAATCGTTGATGTATGGTTGCTATTTTGCATTGGTAGTACAAGAATACTCATCCATATCCCTTTAACAATGCTCCTCTCCCCTCCTTTTCTTTTTTTAATTTAAGTTTCATTTATTTATAGAGTAAAATTTAACCCAGGGTATTTGACAATCATGTTGATCTTTTTTGCTTGTATGCTTCATCAACTAGTCCTAGAAAAGATCTTCCCTTTTTACTGAAACCAAGGGAACTTTTCGAACTGCTTGCCAAAAAGTATTTACATTTGTTGTTTTCATTATTTTTGTACTCCCATGTTCAGTAAGATATGGCGCTTTGATCTATCCATAGTTGTTTATCATTTGATACCAAGGAACGCTTGACTTGTTAATACGGTTATGAATGGTTAGCAAGATAATTGGAAAAGAAATTTGATGGTTCAAAGGATACTGGTTTTACATGATTACACATTAACTTAGCCAAAAAAATTGCACAATACTCGGATCAATGTTGATGTTTTTGCTTTTTGTCCTGCATGTTAAATGCCATAACCACACACTGAGCTGAAGATGCTGTTAACTTGAGCTGACCATGTTTCTCTGCTTCATTGTCTTGTAACCCATGCAGTTATGTGCAAAACTACCAGGAAAAGGAGAAGCTGGAGCACAGGTACTGAGGTCAGGCACAAACGGATGTCTGCTTTTTCTCGAAGACTCGATATTTTTTCTTGTTCTAATGGCAAATAAGCTGAATGTTACTAGCTGCATTTGCAGTTTCCAGAACTTGCAAACTACTTTTGTACTGAGTCATGTTGATGATTTATAGCCAATGTTCAAACTTGCTTTTGAACTGTTTGTGATGTTGCATGTTTATCACCTGTTGGTGCCCAATTATAAGATTCGGGTTTGAATTTTGATTCAACAAGACACCATTGTCTTTATATTTTACTATTTGATAACATCTTCCATGTGCATGATCTCAGCTACTGATTTTTGTGGCATATACATGCGTGATATGCTGCGCACGCTACCCATGATTCACATATATCCTCATTCTGTAGTGTTGAGGTCTTTGTGAACTGCATCACGGGTGGCGTTGGGAAAAAAGAAAACAGAGAAGAAAAGGAAAAAAAGGATAAAGCTTGCTTACCAGGTCTTTATTTTTGAGATGGAAGTAAATCATTTGCACTTCAATTGAGGATAATTGTTCTTACCATGAGCATGTTTTAGATTCTATTCGAAAACCTTTGTCTTGAAAACTTGCAATTATCGAATGATAAATGATGATCGGATTTTGGATTTTCAAAGCCTTAGCCTAATTACTTTTGTGTTGCTAAAACTGCTCAGCTAACTTTTCAAACTATGTTTTGACGAAAAGGAACTGTGCTTTTTGGATCCAGGCTATACTGGATGAGTTCTGGTGACCCGCTGGGTCCAATAGATAATTCCCACCTTTTTCATCAACCATCCCAAAAAACTACGTCAAGGAGAACTCAAATCAACTGGTAAAATCTTACAAATAAAAGAATAAACATGTACCACATCAAGAAAAAATGAAAAATCAATCTAAAAAATAAATCTTTGAAATTCAAACAGGCCCTTGCCCCCGCCCTTCCATAAAAAAAAAAACAAAAGGTACTTCGGTGGGATTTCCTTTTTCTCAACAAAACAAGGTCAAAGTCTCTTCCTTGCTTTGCTTTGAGCTTTTGAGCTTTTGAGTCTTTTAGGGTTTTTCATTTTCAGTCAGTCAGTCGGTAAAGTCACCAGGTAATCTCCTTCTCGCTCGCTTCTTCCTTATATATATTCCTTATTATCAAGTTTTTTCTCTTTTGTTTTATTTTTAGTCTATTAAGACTCAAAAGTTTGTAACTTTTTTTTTTTTCCTATTACAAACTTGTGCTTCTTCAAAAATAAATGACCCAGATGCCGAGAGCGAGAAGTGTTACCACCAATGGTAACACTTACGAAGAGGCTCGTAAACTGCGTGTTGAAGAAAACAAGAAACGCATTGAGGTAAAAACCACATTTCTTTCCTTTGAAAAGAAAAAAATTTTCTTTGTGTTTCTGTCTGCTGATCTTTCAATAATGTTCTTTGGTTTTCTCTCAACTTCTTTAGGCTGCTGAGTACAAAACATGCTAGGAATTAGGAAATTGCTTCGAGTCATATCTTAAAAGTTTACTTTTTTTTTTTTCGGTTTCCAGGATTTGGGAATTCTAAACCTTGCAAAAAATTTGTCGTAGCCAGCTAATTCTGAGAAGAAATACTTTCATTTCTTTTCAATTATTTATTGGCAAAAAACCTGGTTCCATTTGCATATCATATAATAAAGAAATTAAAGATGTTTATTTTAACTTGTCATCTTTGTCCTTTTTAATTTGTTTTTAACTGTCCAGGTCCAGCAACACCTTCCGAAACCAGAAAACTCTAAGCAATTTGAACTGAGGCGCTCTTCTCGTGCACGCAATCCAGTTTCTTATCTCGATGATGTGAGAGTCAATACCTTTTAGTTTGATAATATGCTTTGTCTTGGCGTTTGATCTAATGAATTTATACACTATTTATTCTATGATCTCATCAAAGAAAACAAAAACTTGCTCATAATTTCCTCTGCTTCCAGATAGACATAGGCATTCCAAATTTGCGGAAGAGTTCGAGATCAAACTTGTCATCTTTGGATAGGTACAGCAGATTTTTCTTCTGGAATGTAGTCTTCTTCTTTTTCCCTACAATACACTAAGAATTTTGAATTCCGGGTGGTGTGATGCAAGGTCATTAGATGAAATCAAGTTTGCTACTTATGAAGAACAGGAACGTGCTAAGAAAGCTGCAGTGGAATTCCAAAGTAGCTTACAACCTGAAAAGCCATCCTTTGTCAAACAAATGCTTCAGTCTCATGTTTATCAAGGTTTTTGGTTGGTAAGTCAAAATAATGGGAATTTCATTTCAGAATATTGATGGGAAATTTTGTCGAACCAACGCAATTGAGACTGGCGTTATCTGTACTTTAGGCTACCAATCCATGTGGTTACACATTGCTTTAAATCCCAGGGCCTTCCTGCTCTGTTTTGCAAAAAACCATCTCCCAAAGGAAGACTTGGAAGTGATACTAGAGGATGAAAATGGATCAGAATCTGGTTCTAAATTCCTTGGCGAAAAGGCTGGGCTTAGTGCTGGCTGGAGAGGATTTGCACTAGCACATAAGCTGAATGCTGGTGATGCACTGGTGTTTGAATTAGTTGAGCAATGGCAATTTAAGGTAGGTTTGAAATGTCGTTTAGTCTCTCTTTTGATCAGGTTGAAAGTATTTTAAGCTGCTTGTTATAGATGAATGTGATGGTGGTGTTCTGTTCATTGTTCTAGGCATGCCATTGTCAATGGCCTGTGAAGTCAAGTTTACTCGAACTTTGTAAGGCATGGCTTCACATGAGTGTGTGCCTTATCTAAGTAAAAATGTATGTTTCAGGTGTTCACCTTAGTGCTTCAAGACTAACAGGAACTATTGGCTATACCTTCTTAATTTAAGGAAGAATAGTTTAAGAGTCATTAGTTATTTAAAGTGTTATATTTTTGCTGTCAAGTTGTATCTTCAGTATTACTTAGAGTGGTGTTGGCTGAAACTTTTCGTTCAATTGAATTATATATGTAGTGGTTAGCCAGAAAGAAAATTGTGAATCCAATACTCAGTTGCACAAGGTTATGATTTTGCTGAGTTAAAACCAATACCACATTCAGTAGAAAAGGTATCAAAATGCATTATTTTGATCTGCATTTATTGTCATAAAATGCATCTTTTTCCCATTCACAATTTCTGCTGTTTCTTGCAAAATAATTGTTAAGTTGAACCATTCGAAATATCTGTGTCTGTTAGTATGCATGTCTAAACACAACAGCTTGTTCATAATGATTCAGATACCAAGACAGAGACCCGAATTTAATTAACTTCGACACCACCGCAGGTTTATACATTTAGAGCATCAGCATCACGTCCCGGTGAAAAATGCATAGATACTGTGGATAGAGAAGGGTCTGCTGGCCTGAAAAATGGGTCGAAAGGGGGAAAGAAGCTTCATTCGAATTCAGTTGTTGCACAGAAAGAGAAGGGCACTCAGATGATGGTGGATCGATCAACAATAAAAAACCTAGGGGACGGAAGGGAACAACCAATATAGGAACATCAGTTGAGGAGGAACATGATAAGAAAGACAAGTCAGCTGGTTCTGAAAAGCCCAAATTTGAGGACAAGGACCAATGTGTTGTGGAGCCTAGAAAGAAACGTGCCGAAAGGTTGTTTAAGAAGAGAGTAAGGGTCTAGGAAGTGGGAGAAGCTCCAATATTGAAGCCCTTAGGTGCCAAATTGTTCTGGAGAAATTGTCAAGTAGATTTAATAAAGTATGCCAATGAGTAAACGAACACATTCATAAAATCATCTGAAGTACATTGTCTATGTACTTGTATTCAAATGATAATGCTTCATGACACCTTACCTTAACCTATTCCCAAGTGAAAATCCATGTAATAAAACCGGAGTATTAGTTTACCCTATTATTGATCTTACATGTAATTTTAAACATTTGGAAGGAAAGCCAACCTATCGCTAACCATAGTATTAACAAGATAAAAGACATTTGAAAAATAAATTTGGTAATCAAAAAAGATATCTCAAAATTGATTCAAATATTGCAAAAAACACGATAAACACAAGGAAGTTGCATACAGTATCCTCGGTACAGTTTCGAAGAAACCCAACCAGTTCGACAACATAAGATACTAAAATAGTAAAGGATAAATTAATCAGAAGCTAAGAGAAGAACAAAGTCCTTTCCAGGAATGAAAAGTCCTAAACTTCAGTAGACAAGAACGCTCTTCCAGGTTGACGGTTGGCCAAGGGCCCATGGCATCCAAGAAGCTGCATGAAACAACATGATCATCATCAGTTTGATTGCGAGTAGCCAGTATTCCAAAAAGGAGAAGAAAAAAGGTAGCAATTGTTCTATAATGGATGTTTAGAATAAATATTAAGGAAAAGACTAACCTTAGCATTCACTCCATCTGGCATGATCTTCTTCTCTGCCTTCAACTTCAAATAATCAGTACGATTGAACTTGGTAAAACCCCTGGACATCACAGTTGTCAGACAAGGTGAGGTTACTAATTGCATTATCACTAACTATAGAGAAGGTAAATAACTGCTAAAATTATGATTAAAAAAAAAGGGCTTGCCGTTGGAGTCAGGCTTCAATTTCTACTAAGAACGGTGACTCAATGCACCAAGAAAAAAGAGGAACTTCATTCCCAAAATAGATGGATTTCAAAAGTTTGTAAAAAAAAAAATTGCATACCACTTCCTGCTGACAATGATCTTTTGGCGACCAGGGAACTTGAATTTGGCTCTCCTAAGAGCCTCCTGAGCATGGTGGCTGTTAGAGTCCTTGCATCGGACAGACAGAAGAACCTGTCCTATAGCAACCCGAGCACAAGTGCCCTGTGGTTTACCAAAAGCACCTCTCATACCAGTTTGGAGTCTATCAGCTCCAGCACATGAAAGCATCTTGTTGATACGCAAGACATGGAAAGGATGAACCCTGACTCTCAAATGGAAAGCATCTTTTCCAGCAAACTTTGCCATATATTTGTTACAGGCAATACGTGCTGCCTCAAGTGCTTCACTGGAGACATTCTCCTTCTCCCAGGACACCAAGTGCACGCAGAAGGGAAACTCATCAACACCCTTCTTCTTCATTCCTACATCATAAATCCTGATCTTAGGGTCAGGCACACCACGGCAATAACGTGATTTTGGGTATGGCTTATTTTTTATCTGGCGGTAACATCTTGCAGGTCCTGCAAAATTATTTTTAAAAAAAACAGAGAGAGAGATCAACTTAGCAGAAGAAAACACTTGTTTTGCAAAAATTCCATAACAGATAACGAAAATTAAACATTTAAAAGAAAAACACAGACATAAATGATAGAGCATATTGCATAACGATGCATTGGAAGAAGTTTTCAGAAGACAAAATGGCCCCCTATAAATTAAAAATCCATGGCATTTGTTAATTCTAATTGTTTCAACCACATCAAGAATTTTACTAATAACAGAAATGAAAAAACAAACAAATTTTTCAGTAAAACAAGAAAAAATATCGGTGAGTATCAAAATTAAGATCTAGATTGACATCAAAGACCAAAATAAAACAATTGGAGACCAAGAGTATCAATCCATCCATTACCACAGCATTTGATAATCTAATTGTTTCAACAACACCAAAAATTTTACTAATAGCAGAAAAGAAAAAAATTGATAAAACAAGCAATAAAAAACGGTGAGTATCAAAATTAAGATTTAGATTGACATCAAAGACCAAAATAAAAGGATTGGAGACAGAGCATTAATCCACCTTAGACAAAAACATTAACGTAAACATATTCCATGGTCTCACAAATTTAAACCTAAGTCATTTAATAATATTAGGATTCATCAATCTAACAAATCATCGGAAAAACTGATAGCTTTGAATTTGGATATGTCAATAAAATCTAACAACAACTCTAATTCAGCAAAGTAAAGAAAGCACAACAATCTATGACCCAAATGAATAATCTTCTATTCATTTTAAAGATCATTAACCTAACAATCTCAAGAAAAAAAGCATAAAATACCTCGTATCTATAAATGAAGGCACAAATCAAAAGCAGCAAACTCATTTCCAATCAAACAAGAAGAAAGCAACAATCATGAGTATAAATAAATTGAGAGCTAAAGACAAGAAGAAATCGAATTCGAGGAAAGAGAGAAAACGAAGCTTACTTCTACCCATGGCGAATTCTCTGCTTTTGACCGGCGGCAGAAACCCTAAAGAAAGAAAAATGAGAGGCTTTGTATTTATAGAGAGGAGAGAGAAGGGAACATAAAACCCTAACACGACTTGGTTGTTTTGCCTTACGTGTGTGCTTGCGTCAATATGGGCTGTAGCCTGGTCCAATATTCTCAGCCCACAATAATTTTAAAGATTCATACCTTGTCGGTTTCTTTAATTTATAACTTGCGTGTTGGACCTGACCTGGCCCGTTCCTTTTTTATTGGTCGGTCACCGTTTTTATTAACTTTGTTAATTATCATCCAAGACAAAATAGTTACGCGTTACACGCACCATTATCTTTTTTATTGCAATTATTTTTTCTTCTTAGGACATTCTCGTTTTGAATTTAGGAATTAAGATTAAATTCTTTTCCTCGATTGTATGTTAAAAATAGGAGTGAGCATTATTCGGTCAAAACCAAACCGAATTAGCAATTTCGATTCGGTTTTATAAAATAAATTTGAAAACAAAAAGCCGAAACCGAAAACCGAAATTATTTCGGTTTCGGTTGTTTTTTAAATTCGGTTTCCATCGAAAACCAAAATAAGGGTTTTTTTTTTAACACACCCACCCAAGACTCATAGCATTTTCCTATGATTTGTTTTTTGCTAAAACTTTAATTCAACCTATTAGCACTCCTTGAAAAAAATAAAAAAAAAATTGCAAAAAAATGGTCTTCCGGTTTGATCCAGGAGAAAATTCAAAATTCAAAAAAAAAAAAAAAGATGTAAAAAAAAGATTTTTAATCGAAAATTGAACTGAAAAATTCGATTTTTTAACCGAAAAACTAAACCTTAATTCGGTTCAATTTTGATTTTTGTTTTAATCAATCTGATTAACCAAAAACCGAAAAAAAAACCCAAAATCGAATTGAAAAACCAAATGATTATCTCTAGTTAAAAAAACCATCTACTTCTTGCAAACGCACAAACTTGATAAGAAAGCAAGGAGAAGAGGTAGAATTTGATCTCGTTGCAATATCACTGATTGTTGATTACATTACATATCAGTCAAGAATATTTTGGCATTGTAAGGTATCTCCATTGCTCTACCTACTATGTTTACAATAACAAATTCTACGAAGACTATACAGAAAACTGAACCAAAAAGTTGATAGATAATCCCCCAATCCAATCTTTAAGGACTATAGCAATGCAATCCAAGAATTCCTGTTGTCCTTCATTTATCTAGGATTGATAGTAGGAACGACTCCACTAACAAGATCACTGCCAGAGACTTCTGATGACACATAAGGATTCTTCAATAGAGAGGATGAAGGGGGTGGAGTGCTCACTTCCCTTCCGGTATCGGTGCTCATTGTATCTGTTGTTGCAGTATCAGATTCTGGCAGCACATGCCATATACTTTCAAGTTCTCGGACCACATCAGCCATTGATGGTCTTGCATCTGTCTCGTCGCTGCAACATTTCATGGCTAAAGTCAATAACTTGTCGATGCAGTCGGAAGGATAAGAGCCCATTCGTCCATCGATGATCGAGAAGATCATGCCAGATTGATATGCAATATTAACCTGTAATTGCAAAGAAATATCATAAATTGATTTAGACAGTGAACTGATACTAATTAGATGACAATGTTCTATGGACTTGGGGACGAAAAGCCCAACTTCACTTACATGGCGTGCTGCTAGTACAGGATCTCTAAATCAATATTTTCTATGGATAGAAGAGTAAGAAATTATAAACTCAACTTCAATTAAGAAGTAGTAGTAAAAAACATTACCTCCCTAACAATGTTTTTGCCATGCGAGATTGGCTGCATGCCAGTCAACAGCTCTAGCAATACAACACCAAGGCTATAGACATCGCTCTTGTCTGTCAGTTTATGAGTCAGAAAATACTCCGGATCAAGGTAACCCTACAAAGATCACACAGTTTAAAAAGAGAAGGAATTTCAGGAATTCGTTAAGTCCCAATTTCTATTTCAACTTCTAAATTTTCATCATGCTAAAGAATGATAGTATGTGTGATAGACTCACTGGAGTGCCCTTGACAACAGTGGATATATGAGCCGGCACATCCCCTTCAATATCTGGAACTGGGGCAAGTCTCGAAAGTCCGAAATCAGCAACTTTGGCATTATACCTGGGGTCCAATAATATGTTGCTTGCCTTGATATCTCGATGAAATATTGGAGGATCAGCTTCTGTATGTAAGTAGAGGATGCCCTTAGCTGAAGCCAGAGCAATTCTCAATCTTGTCGCAAAACTCAAGGGTTCTTTTGCCTTCGCTGAGATACCAGACGCATGATCCATCAGATAAAACCCACGGGATAAGCACAAAGAAATTTGAAGTGAAATCGATCTTGTTTTAGGATAGAAAAATGGAAGTCTTAAGAGGAAAAATGTGAGATGTACCAGAGAGATTATCTCTAAGAGTGCCGTTTGCCATAAACTCGTAAACCAACATCTGCACACACAAAAAGAACAAATAATACATCTATTTCCCAAATGACATTGTAAATGATAAATTTCCTTGAGTTGGCTTGACGAGGATGAGAATCATATATGCAGTTTAATGTTGGTCAAGCTAAAAATAGGAACGATGGACCTAACTAAATATCTCAAGTTTAAAAGACATGAGACTGTACCTGTTCGCCTTCTTCGTCGCAATATCCGATCAAAGATACAAGGTTCCGATGATGTAACCTTGACAACAACTCTATTTCTGTTAAGAACTCTTTCTCACCCTGTAAAGATCCCTCTTCAGCTCGTTTTATAGCCACAGCTCTGCCATCAGCAAGAATCCCTTTATAAACTTTGCCATAACCCCCTTGACCAACTTGACTAGAGCTGTTGAAATTGTTTGTAGCCAATGCCATTTCAGCATAAGAAAAGTCCTTCACACCTTCAATTTTCATGGAGGCTTTCGATGCTGTGCCCAAATACAGGAGCATATGTTAACATGAAATAGCTCATACCAATAAACTTTAATAATGTGTCAGAAAATTCCCGAATCAAAAGGCAACTTTTGTTATGAAGACTTCACAATGCATATAATTGAATTTGGGACTTACAGGGTTGACACAACATATGAGACAAAACCACCACACAAAAAGATAATATATTTGCATAATTCTAATCTTGGAATGCTAAGACACTCACCACGACGTCTTTTTGATACTGCTCGGTAGTCCCTCGAACGCACTCTCAAGATAAGAAGTGAAACAATTGCTGATAATGTAACTGCTACTGCAATGGCTCCCAATACTATGCCAACCAGAGTACCCGTGCTTATTTTAGATTTTTGAGAGGTGACAAGCACTGCAATATAGCAACAAAAATGAAGATAAGGATATCAAATCTTTGTAACACTTTCATCACACACATATACCAATGAAAGGACACCAGACATGCGAATTACAAACTGCTTTTTTGGTTAGAATACTTCACAACTCATTTCATCAGCAAAAACTAATAAGATAGCATTATTATACCATTAATGGAACAGACATTAACTACTTGATACTCCACATTTAAAACTATAATCACTTAGAAACTGCAGAAAACTTTCCATGACCATTAAGGTTTTTATAGTTTTTCTACAAAGTAAGAACATATTCGTATTTAATTAGGATAAGCATCAGTTTATTTTGATATAACAATGAAAGGTTTAAGAGACAAACCATCTTTGTAAGGATCCAGCAGAGTGATGTAGAGAAGTTCATAAGGTCCAAATATATCACTGTCGGGAATGTCCCACCCAGTGAACATGCTCATGATGCGCCGTGCCTCGCTTTTATTAAAGGTATGAGAACTGTTTTGGTTAACATAGACAGGAAAAACCTTTAAATGCATTTTTAATCGAGGTCCTTGTTCCCATGTAACTGAAGCAAGGTCTAGCTGATTAAGATGCAATTTAAGACCAGAGGTCAAATACTCCTCAAATGGGAATCTGTAGGGAATGAAATTTGAGAAACCAGGACTTTTCAGTCGATATCCAAAGATCAAAGGGGCAGCACAGAAACAAGATGTAGGAGATGTTGGAAGATATTCATAAGGGGGTGGGCATGATTGAGTGAGACAGGTAACATTAGTTTCTGTTGAACTCTGATTGTTCATATCACTATTCCGAGATCCACAAAATTGGACTAGGTTGGAATTTGAGCAAGCAGGATTCCCTTTAAGCCTGAAAATTATATAGAAAAGGTATCAGCAAAGGACAGCCTGAAAATTCTATATTTGTCTCTCAAAGTAGATCTAAAGTAAAGTTCATATTTTTTTACTACTACACATGCAATGGGACAGTATTTTCTGCAAAACAAAGGGAGATAAGCATCATGCACATGTAGACATAATGTAGCATTGCTAGGAAAGAAGCAAACCAGAGCGTGACATTCTGAGGGAGACTGGTACTGCCAGAAATATTTGAAAGGCTATTGTTTTCAAAATCCCTGTAGCATCAAAGAGGGAAAAAAATATTGATTAGTGAAGCATGTACAAGATGCTTCAAAATTTGCCCAACCTAGAGCATGCACCTTCGATGTTAGAGAGCATGCTGAAATCAGCACATTGCATCCATCTTTTCTCTCAGAAATCAAGAATCAAGTATAGAAGTGTGCTTCAGAGTATTATAAGTATATAACGTGACAGGGAAGCATTTTCATGTACACTCTCGCCCGCACATATGAACATTCTAAGCAATAATAATTAACCATTTTCATTTGAGCTCTTACAAGTCAAGTCCTTCAGTCCCGTTGGTCCTACTTTGCCAAATTGTAGAGGGGACAGAGCCACTGAATGAATTGTTTGCAATTGACCTGCCACAGAATGCGTTGAACCATTTAATTTATTACACACTTCTTCAGCACTTTGTAAGCTAATTAACCAGTAACATCAAACATTACAGCTTCTATAGTAACATGAGCTATAAATCAGTTTAAAGAAACCGAACTGCTGAGAAAGAATGAAAGAGCAAGCAGAAAAATGCTCACAGTAGCTGAAGTTGAGGAAGGTCTGAAAAGTAGGCAGGAATAGTTCCGTTAAGAAGATTGTGGGATAGATCGCTGCAAAATAAGGAACGAACATCAACATCCCAAAAAATCATTGCTGTCGTGATTCCGATGATTTCAAAGTTTCAAGTACTTCTAACATTTTAGAGATTTATGTTATACAATGTATCTATATAACTGACTCAGGTTAACTGCTATGTAAATGCTGATCATATAACATTCGCAATACAGAGAAACCTTACATGGTTGTAATATTCTCAGAAAGCTTATCTGGAGGTATCGGTCCAGCTAGCTGGTTGAAACTGAGGTCTCTGAGAAATCACATTGAAATTTTAAGTAACAAAAAATTAAAAGCCAGCAGAGTTATCCAGGAAAGGAACAAAAAATAATTATCTAGTCAGTTGAAAGCCACAGATAGCAAATATATGAACTTACAGATAGCCAAGATTTGCTACCCTGCTCAAGTCAGGCATTGGACCTTGCAAGCTACAGTTCCTGAGACTCCTGATAAAGGTCAATCGAGGCACAGACGAAGATCGTGTTAAAAAACATGTACTTCGAAGCATGTGTTATCACACTATAATAATGAAATGATATATCATACAAAGGTTCTGAGGACATGAAAGGTTTGTGAAATCTGGACTATTTGACATAGTGTCTGCATTGCAGCAGGAGTAGATTATCTAAGGTGAAATGAAACAATATGTAGAAAGGAAATGATAGTAGAAAATTTCATAAAGATACTCAAATAGTCGATATATATTTTCTGAAGGCAATAAAATGCAGCGATAACAGACTCAAACAACTCAAGGTAAAACTCTAAGTGGTTCTGTTGCATGATTAATTCATTACAACTCAAAAAGTTTGGATGCTTATCGATGCTGACTAGTACCAGTTTGATACTGAGACTGTTCAGTTGAGGATTCAGCAGATATATACAGATGTTTGGCAAAAAGGCAAAGAAAGGCTTCCATGTGACTTTAGTCAAAGAAACTTCTTGTCAAATTATAGGAACTTATGATTAAGGCATTAAATTGTGCTCATATGCATACATGCATGTGCATAAACACCCACATCCACAGGAGAAGAACAAGCAATCTTTACTGCCCAAATACTTGGAAATCTAGGGTTGCAATTTGGACTTACATCTTCAACAATTTAGTCATGTTGCCATAAGAAGGTGGGATTGTGCTCCCATCAAAGTGGTTGTTGTCAAGTTGGCTGCAAAATGAAAATAAGCAAAGATTATTAGACACAAAAATCTGTGAAGCTAAAATCTACTATATTGACATAATATCCATAAGCTCGTGAGTATAAGTAAGAGAGCCATACAGTATAAGTAACTTTGGCAATTCAGATAACTCTGGCGGAAGAGTTCCTGACAGGTTGTTGTTATCCAGAAGGCTGCAAATATTTGTCATATTAACAATAAATTGAAACATATGAGAGAAGAACAAGAAAGGGAAGAATTGAAATGAACTGATTATGTTCATCGACAGATAAATGACACATTCCTAAAACAGGAATCTAGAATATTGCAAACTTACAAGTGAACAAGACTTGGTAATCTGGAAAGTTCAGGCGGGATTTGCCCACTAATCGAATTGTTGTTCATGTGACTGTCCACAAGGGAAAAGAATATATGTACCATGAACCAATCAAGTATAAGAATCGAGATTATTAGCTCTAGTTAAAGAGAATAAAGCATCAGAGTAATCCTCACAAGTGCTTTGTTTTATTTAAGTATGCAAATGATTTAGGTATTGGTCCTGATATTTCATTCTGGTCTATCTGTATTCTGTCCAAGTTTGGTAGATAGCCAAGCTCTTCAGGTAAGGGACCTGTCAATTGATTTCCATTCAGGAGCCTGCAAAAATAACAACTCCATCAAAATAGAAGAGAAAACAACTGTAGAGTGTAGTTCAGCAATAGTAGCAATGTCAACTCTATTCACATTGACACCGTTGTCAACATCCAACACTAAATAAATCAGTTCATGAGCAATCACCTAAACAAATTTATAACTCAGAGACTTTAAAATGCTGTATCTGTTGTTTGCATTATGCTGTAACGGTGTTGACAGTCTAAGCTATCAAGCTAAAAGGAAGTTCAACTTACAAGAGTACTAAGGATTTAATATAACCAATCTCCCGCGGTATGCTTCCAGTAATATTGTTCCACATAAAATCCCTTTGACAAGATCAACAGAGAACATATATCAGTTGGACAACTAAACTGTCAAAAAGATAGCCATTCTAAAAGAGACATTGTTTCAGAGGAAAGGAAACGAGCCTTACAAAATTTCCATATAAGATAACTGGCCGAGTGATGGTGATAAAGTTCCTGATAAATTCATATCCAAAAGTTGCCTGCAAAAAAAAACAAAAATATTGTCACACAGTGTTGAAAGAAAAAAGGAAAGAAAAATCATATCCTGATTCAATCTGTATGCAAAATTCCATTAAAATTGTCAAAGTCATGAGCTTGGATTCTAACACAGCTTTTGCATGATGCTTAGCACAGGGTAATTATCGATTTGGTAGGAAATTATAGAGTTGTCATATGTGATTTGGATAAGAGCACAACATAATAATAGATTCTCAAACTGGCAATTTGCAAGCTTTAAGGTGATGTGTTTTGAAAAAATTGGCAATCTGCACCCAATTGCTCCTAACCTTGAAGAACAACTCTGGCCAGCATTTATTCAACATTAAAACAAGCTTCAAAAAAAAAAAATGGTGTTCCTCAGCATGCAGCAATTGTTACTAACAGAAAAGGAAAAAATTCAAGGCTTGGAACATACAATTCTCTAACATGTAGATAGCCATCCTCTTTTGTTGCATTGAAGCACAAAACCCCTGTCCAGTTTGCAGTGCACGGATCCCCTCGTCTCCAATTACTCAAATTGTTATTGATATCAATCAAACTGTTCTTGATGTCTCGCAAGGCCTTCACTGCAAAATTTTAAGCATTTGGTCATCATCATTTCATTTTTATCAAATCTGGAACAAAAAATTAACAGCATCACAGACACAATAACATGGTCCCAGTTTAACCAGATATCCCGGTAGGGTTGCACTTTGAATCATAATATGATGTTTTTGGGATCCTTCGAGACAGGCATCATGAACATTTCTTGCCTGGACATTTAGCAAGCAAGGGCGGACGCTTCAAAACTACTGGAATTCTCAGAATTTACACCATTTACTATGTGCAATCACTTGATTCACAGAACAGCAAAAAGTTGAAGCGACAATAAGGTTAATGCCAAACACAAATCACTAACTCCAAGCATTTCTAAGGCCATATTAAAAGGAGAAAGCTTGAAGTACTATTGCAGAAAGTATCTTCAAAGGAAAAGAAAAGAACAGCTCCCACTTTAAGCACAATTACCTTCTGCAGGGTCAGTAATTCCATCTTGTGCTGATATGAGAAATGAAGACCAACAGAGCCAGATAAGCAGAACAGCTCCAGATGTGCAAGTTCTTGACATAGACATCCCAAGAAAGGAAAAAACACCAGAATTCCGAATCATCTCCTAAAACCCAAAACTGAAAAGTTTTTGGACTATCCAAATTTCCCACCTGATATCAAGAAACAGACAAAAAAAAAAGATGCTTAAAGGGTTTAAATTTGAACAGAAAAGTCCACATATTCTAATAAAAATAACAAATATTTTTCTAATTACTTCTCAAACAAGGAAGAAAACTAGTCAAAACAACATTTCCAGACGGCAAGAGATGCAATAAACAAAGGAAAAATTGCTACCCAAAAACAATACATAAAGAGAAACAGAAAGCGATAAGATCTATATATTGAAGTGTAGAAGCAAACAGACCCAATCTATTGGTAAAGTTGAAAACCAGTAGCGGTGATGATGCTTGGGGAAGAAAAACTGGAACTAGAGAGCTTTGATGATTTACCAAGTTTTTGACCAAGTCACCATTAGAAATGCAGCTGCAGAGACTATTATTGATCGTGAAAATAGGTAAGATTATGATGATACCGATGATGATGATGATAGCCATCTTTTTCATAGTTCACTAAGCTTTTAATTGGTTTTGAATAAATAAAAACAAAATGGGCTTGGCTCTTTTGACTTTGCTGCTGGTAAGTTGAGCAGTTTAAAGGCATTAAATAAGAAAACTGGCTTGTCACCAACATAGACAAGAAGCTAGCCCTAGCTGATGTGTTTTTTTGAACAACATGGCCAAGTGCCAACTGCCAACTACTCCCAAATCATCAACAACCTTTACCTGCAACCTAAACTTTACTCCTAGAATATAATATGACCAAGCAAGTGGCTTTTCCCATTGCATGTTAATCACATCTGGAGCTTTAAGGTTAAAATATTCATGAGTCAACCCCAGCTCCCCATGTCATTTCATCAGCATTTTCTACTCTTATCCATCTTCAAATTTTCGCTGCTGCATTCTAAAAGCAGGACCACCCTGCTTTGAATTCCTTCTCTGCAACCTTGAAATTTCAAACTATGATAGCTACAGGCCATGTTGAAAATGCTTTCAAAAAGATTTTTCCTTTTTTTATTTAACAACAGGATTTTAATCAAACCCTTCTCTTTATTCCCGTAAAAAACAAGCATGAATATACACTGTCGTTGAACTGTCATCGAGAGGTGTGTACGTGTTAAACTGTACAGTAAAAGGAGTTTTTCTAATGCATATGATAGTCAAATAAATTAAAATTATTAAGATTTAAATTTGCTTGGTTGGAAAAAAAAAAAAAAAAGCTAAAAATACACAATTTTTAACTTATATTTGTAAGCGATTCAGCCATTGTGAACGCAAAAGATCCATGCCAGCTGGAAAGGATTAATAAATTATGAGTATTATTTTATGTTTTATAAATTATTGGACTGATCAGTACTGCTTCAGCCGTCTTAAAAGGTATTATTGTTATTATGATATGCATAATTTTTTGGGTGTCATGATTAATGGTACGGCAACATGATTTTTTTGTCAACGGATCCGGGATCCACATGAGGAAAATGTCAAAGGAGAAAATTATAAATTAGTTATTTAAGTTTTGAAAATAAATTAATTGATCTCTCTTATTTTAAAAAATAATTTTTTAATTTTTTAAATTTTTATAATTTGTTTTGATATTTTTATTTTAAAAAAATTATAAAAAGATGAATTAAAAAATGATATTTTATAAAATAAAATAATATTAAATAAAACCGAATCGATATTGATTAAAAGATTAAATTATTAATTTTTTAAATAAATAAGACTAATTAATTTATTTTAAAAAAATAAAGGGACTGATTTATAATTTACTCGACGTAATAGGAAAGGAATCATGAAGGAAATATCTCACTATGAATAAATTTGCATATCATCATCTTTGACAAGAAATTAACATAACATACGTGGGACATGCATGGAATCCCAGATATTACAATAGCCCACCAAAAACCCTAGAAAGGAAGTAGTCAATTATAATTTATAAGACTGCAATAAAATCATATATGTCTGTTAGAGCACATATATATATATTATTCAATCATATTTCACTAAACAATATTAGCCTATAGCGTGGTGATTTATAGCCGTTTTAGAATAAAATATTTAAACAATTATATAATTATTAAAAAAAAATAAGATTCTTGCAAAGAGATTTAAGATAGACTGATACATAAATTAATTTGAAAATACGTTTATCATGGAATTGTTTATAGGTTTGTAATTAGTAATTGCTTGGAATCTTGAGATTGCGATCTGACGATAAAAATAAGGAGCTTTACTATCTGAAGGAGACTTTCTGACCCATCGATAATAAATATTTTCGAATAATTGATAGAGCAGCTGCTTTATTTGGTGATGCTGAGAATTTTGGATGTCTGGGCCATTGTATTTAATTTCCCAGACATCTCAACCTCCTCAATAAATATTGGTGAGACCCTCGGCCCGATGCATCCCCTGAATTTATGATCTTCATCTAAGGAAAACCAACCTCTAGTAGCTATACGACAAGACAAGTGTGATGATCGCAATACTTCATCACCATAATATTATTAATAGAAAAAAACAATTATGTATTTCGAACCCCAAAGTCATGATGATTTGGCGAGCAGATAGGAATAAATAATGCTAATGTTAGAAATATATACAAATAGGAATGATGATTTGGTTTTTCAGTTTGGTTTTATTTTTATTTTTATTTTTTTATCAGTTTTTAGTTAATCGAATTGATTAAAATAATAATTGAAAGTGAATTGAATTGAGATTTTATTTTTTGATTAAAAAATTAAATTTTTTGATTTGTTTTTTTTAGTTTTCTATTAAAAATCAATTTTTTTCCTGATTTTTTAATTTCTCTTTAACTAAGCTGAAAGGTCACTTTTTTATAATTTGTTTTTTTTTTCGATTTTTAAGAAATGTTAATAGCTTAAATTAAAGTTTTAGTAAATAAAATTATAAAAAAAATGCTACGACTAGTGTCTAGATGGTCTCATGTCTATAAAAAATTGAGATATAACAATTTGAATAGTGTGCAACCCTAGCTAATTCAGTATCAAAGAGTTTATAACTAATTCGGTTTTTGATGAAAATCGAATTTTAAAAAAAATGAACCGAACCGAAATAATATTGGTTTTTGGTTTTTGTTTTTTTTCGATTTTCTTATATAAAACCGAAATCAAAATTGATAATTCGATTCGATTTTTCATTTTTAACCGAATAATGCTCATCCCTACCTATAAGAGTCAAATAGAATAAACTTGAACAATCCCCTTCTAAGTTACTAAAAATTGTTAAGTGTTTCCCTAGTGGAAATGGCTAATGCAAATTTTTATGCTTATGATTTGGAATGCCACAGCAGTTGACCCAACACAACGCTTCTTGGGGTCGACGCAGAGACGTTAGGAAGATTATTAGGTGGGTTGAGAACATACGGAGGCTTGAAAGATATAGCTGAGCAAAACATGCATAAGATTCAATGCTTGTTTTGATTCTATAGGTGGAGCTGACAAGCAAGGTCAAGTCAACTAGCCTCTACTTTTCTTTCTCATTCTAGCGTTCAACAATGGCTGGTCTCATGAAATCACCATCTTATTCTCCACGTCTAGTTATCAATCTGAGGATCTGACCATATCAACTTGAGAAAAAATTATTAACTTTGAGTTTTTGACAAATTGTAATTATCAATTTCAAAAACTCATCATCATTTTTTATCGAAAGTTATCGAAAGTTTGAAATGGATACACGATCGTTAGACTAAAACTATTAACATGTAATATGGTTTTTATGATAGAAGATGTATACGCATATGATTATGGCCAAAAGCTATGACTGGTCGTCTTTTCTGTGTTTATGACTCCTTCATAAGCATGGGAGAAAGCAGGCAGCTTAGGCTAAACGTTCCTTAAGTGTTAAATGTTTCTGTTGATGGCTATAATTTGACCCACAGGTCATACGATATTCTTGTTAATTAACGTCGCCAGCACAACTGGAATTCTTGCTTCAGCAAATCATCTAAGCTGCCAGTTCGCAAGCTATTATTATGCAAAGTATAAATCAGTGGACATAATCGTTTGGAATATGATATATATACAAAAAAAATAAATTAGGATTATAAAGTTGCAGCTTGAAAAACGAGAATACGAAAGTGTATGATTCCAGGTCCAGGTCCAGGTCCAAGAGATAGGCCAAATAGTCCATTTTTTGCCAGGAAAAATGGGACCAAAGCTAAGGCATCAATCCCATCACGGTCCCCTAGCTCCGATTTTTGCCTTCAAATATCCAATATAGAAACTAAGGGGTGAAAATCATTCCGTTAAAATAAAAAAACTAACCGAATCGAATCGAATTAACAATTTTAGTTTAATTTTATAAAAAAATTAAAAAAAAAGATCGAATCAAAAACTAAAATTATTTCGATTCAGTTCATTGTTTAAAAAAAAATCGATTTCCACCGAAAATCGAATTAGTTTTTTTTTTTTTTAACACTCCTGCCCAAGGCTAATAGTATTTTCTTATTATTTTATTTGCTAAAACTTCAATTCAAACTATTAACATTCTTTGAAAATAAAAAAAATATTCAAAAAGGTGGTATTTCAATTTGGTTTAAGAGAAAATTCAAAATTTAGAAGAATAAATGCAAAATAATAATAATAATAATAATAATTTTTAATCGAAAATAAAAAAACAGAACTGAAATTTGATTTTTTAACCAAAAAATTAAACCTTAATTGGCTTTAGTTTTGACTTTTGTTTTAGTTAATTCGATTAACTAAAAATAAAAAAATAAAATCACAACTAAACTGAAAAACCAAATGCTCACTCTTATACGAAACTAACGCGTGCTCTTTCGAGTGGAGCGGCCGATGAGAACATGGGCTGCAAAGTTTCTCAGCCCAGCCCTAACTAACTTGGATTGGATTGGATGTGCAGTGTCTGACCCTAAGACCCCACCTTCTTGGCAATGGTAATGGAGGTGTTACATCATACACGTTTGGTTTCCAAGCATGAAAGCTACCTGTGAAATTGAGTCCACAACCTTGTTTAGGCTGCACGAGAACTGTCGCAGCAAAAAAGGCCTAAAGTACGGGACCAGTAGTAGCCATCACAAGGTTTCTTACATTAACCTAGCTTGTCTGCTAAATCTACCTTTTCATTGAAGTCCAAAGATCCTGCTGGATAAAGTCATGATTTCACTGTTGCTGGATTCTAAGACGGAGAATTTTCTTACATTAACCTAGTTAGCGATGCCTACAGTACATGCACCTCATCGTTAACCACCAACTTAAGCTCTGTCCTCCGGTTGGTGCACCAGCTGATTCTAAGGCAAGAACATTCATTTCGTTTCTTAAATACGTAATATCAATCAATTACTTATATATACATGCCGTATTTTATATGTATTTTTTTATTCATCGGAACGTCCAATGAATTTATTGGACTATATAATAAAGATAAGTCTCTCCATTTCATAATAATCAAATAAACTAAAATCATCAGAACTCGAATCTTATTTCACTAAAAAAACTAAATGGCTATATAACCATTGGATATACGACTGCTAAACTAAATCTACTTGTGTATCTTTTTTATATATTTATAAATATTAAAATATTCTCAAAATCATATGTTACATCAGTTAAAATTAATTTATCGTTTTTTTTAAATTAAATAGCACAAAATCATGGCTAACCAAGTTTAAAAATCAGATTCTCTATGTCTAATGTCACCCAAAAAAAAAAAAGCTTTTTAATAGTAATAATTAATAAATATCTGATACAATGAGTCAGAATATATTCTTTTTATCATCCTACCTACAAACTTGGATGGAAATATTAGTTATATATTAATTAATAATATTATTTAATTTTGAATTGGAAGATTAGTTTTTTTCTTGTATATATATTTGCAAAAGCAGAAATTAATTATTAAGTATGGAGGTATAATGGTGGTATGTAGATGAGCACGAACAGCAGCCATTAATGGTACGGTCACAGTCGATGGGCATGAACAGAGAGAGACCGATGGCAATGGATAATCCTCGTATTCTGGTATAATCATAAACTCATAGAATAATATACTGACTCAGTTGATATGTCAGGGCCTAAAACCATTTGATTCCGTTGAATATCTGTCTCTTCAATAGGAGTGGCCAACGTGGCAGTGAATACCACGTGTAGATATGATATTGGATGGAATAGATAGAGATTGGATTCCAGTAGGGGCCCGCCTTGTGTGATCCAGGCAGGCAATAAGAGAAATAAAAACAAGGGTTCAGTTGTAAAATACTCCTGAATTTAAACGAGAAAAATAAATACCCTTTTAAACACAAAAATTCCTGATTTTGCACCCTAAACATTACGATCTTTTGATTTTGCCCCTCTTTTTCAATTCATCCTCTTTTTATTGTTGCTTTTTGTCAATGATGATATTTTGTTGTCGCAGAAAGCTACTGTTGTGGTTGTTGATCGTTATTAAGGTCAAGAAAAAGAAAACTTGCTAATGGTTGTCGGATCTCCGTATAGAAGAGGATCGATTCTTACAAAAAAAAAAAAATGATGATGGTTATCGGATTTAACGAAATATAGAAATGTTTTTGTTGTTTTTCAAGTTGAGTGTTTTTATTTTTTATTTTTAATAATGGATGCAATTAAAAAGAAGAATTAAAAGCTTTTTCTTCCATTACCCATACAATTTTTTTTAAAAAAAAAAAGGGAAAAAATTAAAAAATCATATTAGTTAAAAGATAAAATCTAAGAATTTTTTTTATTCGAGTTGAGATGAACAATTTACAATTTAGCCTAAAAGCAAGCATGTGAGTCAAAGATGGGTGGGTCGGCTAGAATAATAGCAAAGCAAGGGATGGGAAGGGATGAACGATATTGCGCGGTGGCTCAATGACCAGAAGTTTATGACAACGTTAGCTGGAGAAGTCCTGACCACTTAGTTTGAGTGGCTGAGACATGTCTGGAGACCTACGTCCAATAATGCCATGTTTTGGTCTCTCTCTGTTTTTTCTTCACTATTTGGATTATTATCTATATAGTCTATGATGTTTAATTGGCTACTTCCTGTATGTTTTCTATCATTTTCTTATCATTATCTCAAATTGAATTGTCCACTTTATCCTCGTCCTTTTTCTCTTTTTCCCTTCCTTTAGGATTTTGAATATAAAGGGTTCTGTTTTTTTTTTTTTTTCTGATACAAATAATAAAATATTTTTGAATCACTTTTTGTATTAATTAAAAATAAATTTATTATTTTTTAAATTAAATTAATATGAAATAGCGTTTAGTTTTTAATTGATTTTAAAAATCAGACTATATTTCATCAAAACAAAATATATCAGATACTTTTGTTGCCATTTTCTACCATGCTTTTTATAACTTTGGAGGTATTAATCTTACAATGTTTTCAAACCGACTTAATTATACAATTTTTGGGATATTTTTGAAAAATCATTGAAATTTCTTAAATAAATTTTGATATTTTTTCATAATCATTCCATTGCAAGATCAATCTGACACTTGAAGATATAAAAATAGAATGCAAATATATATATATATATATATATATATATATATATATATCGTGGATCATGATTTAGCAAGATAAAAATTACAATTATTAATATCATCAATACATTATCAATAATTAATAAATTTATTTTAAAATAAAAATAAAAAATATTTTTTTAACATTAATAGAATGACAGTTATTTGGATCATTATTCACTAAACAATGATTGTTATTGTTATATAACATTATTGTTATTGTAATTTGAATGAAATATCATTAAATTTTTTATAACCTCAAATAACATAAATAAATCTGTTCGAATTCGTAAAATAATTGCCGAAAAAAAAAACTTTATTTGGAATTACGATAGACATGGATGAGATTGTCATTGCAGCCGAAATAGAATTGGGCACTTATCATTGCCCATTTGTCGGGAAGCCAACTAGGGTAGAATAGTCCATAGCAAGTTCGATCCAATCTAATCATTAGGGAAACTATCTTAAAAAACGGGAAATTACTATAGATAAGTACTAGATTAAAAGAAAAAAAAAGAAGCAACTGATCCAAACGAATATCCCTATATAACCCAGCACAGAAACTCCACTTGTCTGAAAATCACTTTCTTCTAAGAGCCAAATTAGGACAAGGCTGTGCAGACATGGCTAATCATGTCAGAAGCAACACCAGGATCTCCCTTGCCATGGAGAGAACTGGCCAATGGTAACATGCACAATGCTATTCCTACATAATCTTTTTTTTGTAATTAATAACTATATTTGGTCAGAAAAGTACTCTACTAATGATCATTCTTTCAAACATTCTTGCTAATTGTCAGTCTTTCTTTCTTTCTTTCTTTCTAAATCTGGTGCAGGGTTTTTTCTCAAGATATTCCTACTGATGTTGTGGTTGTAGTATGTGAAGCCAGTTTCTCTCTTCATAAGGTATGGAAATGTTACTGATCTTTTGCATCTTTCATTAATTTGTAGAGGGGTGAGAAATTAAAGATTTAAAGAATGAAATTAATAAAGCAGTAGCTAGCTAGTGCTTAATTAAGAACATGCTTTGATTACTTTGTGCCAGTTCATGCTAGTGGCAAAGAGCAACTTCATAAGAAAACTAATCCTGGAATCAAAAGTACCAGACCTGACGAGGATCAATCTGTCTGACATACCTGGAGGACCTGAGATCTTCGAAAAAGCAGCAAAATTCTGCTATGGTGTTAACTTCGAGATCACAGTTCACAACATAGCAGCCCTTCGTTGCGCTGCTGAGTATCTTGAAATGACTGACATGTATTGTGATAACAATCTTGCTGGTCGGACAGAAGATTTCCTTGCTCAAGTAGCCCTATCGACCCTTTCTGGAGCCATTGTTGTATTAAAATCCTGTGAAGATCTCCTTCCCTTGGCTGAAGACCTCAAAATTGTCCAAAGATGTATCGATGTCATCAGCCTCAAGGTATTAGCTTGATTCAGTACTTAAACTAGTTACTTATGTGATTATCATATATTAATCCGGTTAATCTTTGTTGCAATTTTGATTGATGTTTATTTGATGCTGCTAATTAGGTTTGTAATGAGGCAAACTTTCCAAGCAAAACACCACCAAATTGGTGGGCTGAGGAGCTATCGATTTTAGACATTGAATTCATAGGCAGAATCCTGTCTGGAATGAAGAAACGCGGCACGAAAGCACTAACTTTAGCGAGTGCTTTAATAACTTACACGGAAAGAAATCTCCGAGATCTTGTTCGAGATCACTCCGGCAGCTGCACTAAGTCCTCCGATCCTGATGACCGTGATATGTTTGCCCGCCAACGCGAGCTTCTACAATCTATAGTCTCTCTGTTGCCCTCGGAGAAAGCCGCCTTTCCTATCAACTTCCTCTGCTGCCTTCTCCGGACTGCTATCTTCGTCAAGGCCTCACATTCTTGCAAGAATGAGCTCGAGACGCGAATCTCTGTGATATTAGAGCACGTCACGGTTGATGATCTACTGATCATGTCTTTCACTTATGATGGCGAGAGACTTTTTGATCTGGATAGCGTCAGGACGATCATATCAGGATTCATGGAGAAGGAGAAGACTATGGCCGTCTTTAGTGGTGGTGATTTTAAGGAATCACAATCTGCAGCTATGCTAAAAGTTGCAAAAACTGTAGACTCTTATCTTGGTGAGATTGCAACCCATCCAGAACTCACCATTTCCAAATTCAATGGGATCGCGATTCTTGTGCCGAAAGGAGCCAGGAAGGTCGATGATGATGTCTATCGTGCCATCGACATCTATCTAAAGGTATAACCACTAAAATTCTATCAGCTATACTTGTGAATTTAAGCTTTTTTTCACTGTTTGTTCATTTGAAAATAGGCATTATTGAAGTAATGGTTTTGAGTGGTGATTGCAGGCTCATCCGAATCTCGATGAGATAGAACGAGAGAAGGTTTGCAGTGTTATGGACCCATTGAAACTCTCCTATGAAGCTCGACTCCATGCTTCCCAAAACAAAAGATTACCAGTACAGATTGTCCTGCACGCACTTTACTATGATCAGCTTAAACTAAGGAGCGGTGCAGATGATCAGCCTGATGCTTCTGCAACAAGGAGCCAATTGCAATCTGATGTTTCACTTATAAGAGAGAATGAGGCCTTGCGGTCAGAGCTTATAAAGATGAAGCTTTTCATCTCGGACATCCAGAAGAATCAAGGGAGTTCAGCTAATAAGGGTATTGCTGCTGCTGCTGCTGCTCCTACCCAGTCCACTGGGTATCGAAAACATTCGTTCTTCTCGTCCATGTCGAAAACTTTGGGGAAGCTGAATCCTTTCAAGCATGGATCTAAGGATACTTCTCACATTGATGATAATATTTGCGCGGATATTACCAAGCCTAGGAGGAGAAGGTTCTCCGTTTCTTAGGACTTAAATTACTACCTTGTTAATTACCTTACATTGGACTTGTGTGATAAATTAGTTTGTGTAGATTGAGGTGGATGATCCCTTTGAATTATATATGCTGTGATGCGGTATTGTTTTGTTTTTCTTCAATTTCTTTCTTGATTTGAAGTGTTAAGTTATTCTAATAGGTATTGTTTATAAAGCTGAGACCCATAAGTGACCACAATAAAATTTACAAGAAGATGAAAAATATATCTATTCGGTTTGTTCATAACTTTAATAGAGACTTATTCTTAATTAAGGTATTTAATTTGCGGCTACTGCATTCTCTTCTCGAGGAATACCAATACTGTATTTCCAATGGAAGTGCTAATTAATCCTGATGAATTCACTTTTGATTGACAAATATAAGCAGAACCCTTCTTTCTTGTCTTTCTGGGTGTCTGTACGTAGAAATACAACCAGCAGATCAGTCTCAACCTCTATTTCACATTGTTTGATTTTGGTCAAGTTGTTCTTGTGTATTTCTATTAATTTATGAAAAAAAAATTCATGAACTGGGATTTCCAGTGGTTTTCATTTGTGGGCTTGGGTTTTAAAGGCCTGCTGACCATAGATATACGTACATTCACTCACTGGCTGGCTATTGAGTTAGCAGAAGCTTTTTTTGTGCGTCATGACAGGCCAATGGCTTTCGACTTTCATGCAGCAAATTGGCTTATAGACGATGCTCTAAGAGGCCTGCATATTTCACTTTACATATATATGTATCTTGTTTACTTGGGCTTAAAGTTCCGAATGACTGTTCTTGGTGTAGAGGAAGATGATCAAACATGCGATCACTGCTGCTTACTTTGGTGTTCAAACCGGAGCTGACAGACCAATTCGGTTAATAATCCTGCTGGTTATTTGCTGTGGAATGGAATCCCAGTTTGCGCCTTCAATTGAACCATAAAATTAAGATTCAGACTTAACTTTTCTTCAACTCGACGGCATGATTAAGTTTTTCATCTGGTTTATGTTCTATCCCACATAGCTAGATTCTGAAAGTCGACAGAGATTTGACAGCAATGCTAAGGTCACAGCAGCTGAACCCCTGTGCCATAATGAGAGAGAATTGACAGAAAAAACCTTGAATTCCCTTTAATTACGTACCTAAACGATCTCTTCCTGTTTCGTTTTCCTTCTAATCATTTGATCACTCAGATGAAAAATCTACTTAATCCATTAATGAGTGATAAATGGACATGAAAGTAAGGTCAGAATAATAATGGATTTCTCTGTTGATGTTATTGCAGAATAGATAGATGGCATTGACTAATTTTCTACTACCACGAACTTTGGCAAAGTTTACAGGACCAACAATGTCAGAATGATAATAGATTGGTTGCAACTCTTCTTTAAAAAGCTGGAATCCACGAACTTTGGTAAAGTTTACAGGACCAACAATATCAGCCTGCATGCAGAGACCAACGACTTTATATGGAATCAGATTGCTCGTATTGGCGAAATTAAGGCAAATTTGTGAAGATTTCATATGTATTTGCGTGATCAAAGGAAACAAATTCGCCTTAATTTCGCCAAAATGAGCAATCAGATGTTCGTTTCTGCTTCTAGCTCTAGCAATCGTCCTCCATGATTCACAGTATTTAAAGTTAGTTGGTCTCTGTACACAGGCTGATATTGTTGGTTCTGTAACCTTAATTTACCAAAGTTCGTGGATTCCAGCTTTTTAAAGAAGAGTTCCAACCAACCTGTTGGCGGTAGTAGAAAACTAGTCAATGCCATATATCTATATATGTATCTATTCTGTAATAACGTCAACAGAGAAACTTGTGAGCTTTTTCGTTTAGTTTTGCTGTGTTTTGTTTGATGATAACTCCATTATCCCGTTGTATGCAATGTCACTCTAATATTTGACGCTTAATGCATATGGTAGCATATTTTTAAATAACGAACATTATATTATATAATAATCATTATATAATGGTTTCGAACATCTTGTTATTGTTATTTTAGTATTTTAGTAAGTTAGGATCCACAATAACGACAACGATTCTTTTTTTAACTATTCGCGATTTAAAACTATGCATAAAAAGAGAGGGGAGGAAACTTAATTAATTGTTTAGATGACATGTGGTATGCAGATTTTTAAATATTGTTTTGGAGAATGATTGGTATTCGTATTTGATTGAAACCGAAAGTAATATGTTTTTATTGTGTTTGGTTCATCTACGAAAATTAATAAAAAATTTAAGTTTTTTGTTTATCATTGAGATTTAAAATATGTAATTTTCCAATATGGTTTTTTTTTTCTAAATAATTATGCGTGTAAACACACATATAATACTCCTTCTCTTGTAAAAAAAATAAAGTCTTATTAGAATTTTCACACAAATTAAGAAAATGTATCAAATATTGTGTCAATTCATATAATTTTTTTTTTTTGTATTTACTACATTTTCTTTTTAAATTAAATGTAATGTAGTTGAACAAAAGAAATATATGAATTTAATTTTTAAATAGGGATATAGTAGTAAAATTAATACTCAATTCTATAATTTATTTCTTTTTATTTTATATAAGACACATACATTTTTGGACATGTAAATAAGAAAAGAAGGACTCTCTTATGGGACCAATGGAGTATATTAATTACATTTAAAACTAATGTGTTAAATTAGATTCAACTACAAATTTAATTTTATAAACTTCAGCTACCAAAAAATAGTTTTGTGAGGATTAAAGTGCCATGGCAATTGTGTTATTATTGATAAAAGTAAGGGCATCTTAGTCCATTTAAAATAAAAATAAGGGCACTAAAGACAAAAGGATTTATATTACTTCCAACCTAAAAATGTGATTCTCGTCATTTAAGAAGGACAATAAATTTCTAATTTTTGCGAGAACATGATGTCCCAAGCATTTGATATTCTCCCATACCAAACACCCTCTTAATCGCTCTGTTTGTCTTTTCCTGTCTATGTTATCCTCTAGAAAGTGTCCATTGATTCCTGAGGAATGAGGAAATACAAAAGAAAAACAGAAAGAGAATCTAGAAAAATTACGAAACATTACATGCCATCTTGTGTACCGGTCGAAATCAATAAATTGTTAATCTGATTGTAAATGAGGGTTTTTAGAAAGATTTTATATATATTGAAATCTCGTATAATTTGAATTTTTTAATTGAAATTTTAAGTTTTTTTCTATCTAATTTAAAAGTTTTATTTTTATGTTGTTATTATTTTAGACCTTAATATGTTATTTAAGCACACACAACATGTTTATAACCAATAACGACTTATCACATGTCATGATGAATTCAAATTATGTGATTGAATTGATGACGTGATATGTTGTTATTAGTTAAAACTTATCACGTGTACTTATGTAGTAATATGTCATTTGCTAGTATCCGAAACAACAATAATAATAACATAAGAATAGAATTCTTAAATTAAAGAAAAAATTCAAGAGCTCAATAAAAAAATTTGAATTATATAAATTCTCGATATGCTCAAAGCTTATTTTCAGTTGAATTTTCTGTAAATATTCAAGATTCTAGACTTAGAACAATGACTAAATTTTTATTTTTTTACTCTGAATATAATTATTCGTATCTTTACCGTGGGATAAGATATCCCGAATAAAACTATATTAAAAAATATATATATGAAAGCGGGGGAAACGTCACTGTCAAAGATGAATATGGGGATTGGGGAGGGACTTAATTGGGATGTAGAAAGAAAGATTCGTAGGAGCACTTCACGACAATACAAGTTGGTTCGCCACATTAAATTAAATCCCACAGGAATTAATTCGCTAGGACGATGGTTGTTATCTTTGTCCCTTGCCTTGTTCTTCTTCTACATTCTACTCTTAATTTCTCACTCTTGCACCTTTCTCTTGATTTCTTCTCCCATTTTTGTTGTTGTTGTAGCTGATAGCAACATGTATTTGAGCTTACTATGTTACTCCCTCCGTTTAAAAAAAAATATATATATATATATTTTTTATTTTTTTATAAAAATTAAAAAATTTATTAATTATTATACCGTATCACCATATGCGTTTTTGTTTATATCCATTTTTTTATAAAGTTTCCTACACTTTTTGTATAGATTCAATTGAATCTCTCTATCTTTTATTTTATTCATTAAGGAACCTTCTATCATAACGTCATGAATTCATATACATTAGTAACAATTTTTATTAAAATAAGTCGTCTGTTCTTGAAATTATATAACTAAAGAACTCAGAAAATGAGAAATACTTTTTTTAGGTAGTTTATTTTCTCTTGGTCATTTAATTTTCACCTTAAATGAAAGAATTTAAAAAATAAAAAGAAATATTGAATTCTAGATAGTTAAGAATTCAAACCAGTACTCTTATATAGCATGTAAAAATAAAAAGTAGAGTTCCTTTAGTTTCAAAAGACGAATTAATTACTCTTCCTTGTTTCAAAAACTAACTATTTAATTTTTATATTTAAAATTTTTCTTGTAACTTAATCCTTATTGTTCTTTTAAAATTTATTTTGGTTTCTTGTTTTAAGAAATAGAAAAGGAAGAAAATAAGTATTAAAAAACATGGAATAATTGATAATATATATATATATACAACATTTTACGAAATAAAATAATATTAAATTAAATATGATCAATATGGATTAATAAACTAATTAATTAGTTTCTGAACCAAGGGAGACTAATTTATAATTTACTTAAAGAAGATGAATTCAATCAATACAAAAAAAAAAAAACAAAAAAACAAAAAGCTTCAATAAAAAGAAAATTGAAAGAGTACATTAATCAATTATGGGTAATAACTTTTTAATACCAAAAACATAAAAGCTCCAATGAATTCAGGTAACGTTTGGAATGGATAACAAATTAAGCATTTTTCTTTGTCCAAGTAAATGAAATTAATTAGTTGGTAAGATTAGTGGCAAACTACCTAGCTAGGGTCACAAAGTAATCGATCAACGTGGACCTGAAAATGTGTTTGACATTTACATT